ATGAGAGCGTTCTAATAGTGTATATGAGAGCTTTCTGATAGTGTATAGGAGAGTGTTCTAGTAGTGTATATGAGAGCTTTTTAATAGTGTATATGAAAGCTTTCTAGTAGTGTGTATGAAAGGTAAAGCTTTTCACCAGTTTATATGAACAGTTCTCACTACTTTGTATGAGAGCTTTTGAGTAGATTATATAAGAGGTAAATGTTTTCACTAGTTTATGTGAGAGCTTTTTACTAGTGTTTGTGTGAGGTTTTCAGTATATTATATGGAAGAGTGTAATTTAATATGTGTATATGCAAGTTAATTCTGATTTATGTCCCTGGGGGCACCTCATATTATACACTCACCGGCCACTTTATTAGGTACACCTGTCCAACTGCTCGTTAACACTTAATTTCTAAGCAGCCAATCACATGGCGGCAACTCAGTGCATTTAGGCATGTAGACATGGTCAAGACAATCTCCTGCAGTTCAAACCGAGCATCAGTATGCGGAAGAAAGGTGATTTGAGTGACTTTGAACGTGGAATGATTGTTGGTGCCAGAAGGGCTGGTCTGAGTATTTCAGAAACTGCTGATCTACTGGGATTTTCACGCACAACCATCTCTAGGGTTTACAGAGAATGGTCCGAAAAAGAAAAAACATCCAGTGAGCGGCAGTTCTGTGGGTGGAAATGCCTTGTTGATGCCAGAGGTCAGAGGAGAATGGCCAGACTGGTTCGAGCTGATAGAAGGGCAACAGTGACTCAAATAACCACCTGTTACAACCGAGGTGAGCAGAAGAGCATCTCTGAACGCACAGTACGTGGAACTTTGAGGCAGATGGGCTACAGCAGCAGAAGACCACACCGGGTGCCACTCCTTTCAGCTAAGAACAGGAAACTGAGGCTACAATTTGCACAAGCTCATCGAAATTGGACAATAGAAGATTGGAAAAACGTTGCCTGGTCTGATGAGTCTCGATTTCTGCTGCGACATTCGGATGGAAGGGTCAGAATTTGGCATCTACAACATGAAAGCATGGATCCATCCTGCCTTGTATCAACGGTTCAGGCTGGTGGTGGTGGTGTCATTGTGTGGGGAATATTTTCTTGGCACTCTTTGGGCCCCTTGGTACCAATTGAGCATCGTTGCAACGCCACAGCCTACCTGAGTATTGTTGCTGACCCTGTCCATCCCTTTATGACCACAATGTACCCAACTTCTGATGGCTACTTTCAGCAGGATAATGCGCCATGTCATAAAGCTGGAATCATCTCAGACTGGTTTCTTGAACATGACAATGAGTTCACTGTACTCAAATGGCCTCCACAGTCACCAGATCTCAATCCAATAGACCATCTTTGGGATGAGGTGGAACGGGAGATTCGCATCATGGATGTGCAGCCAACAAATCTGCGGCAACTGTGTGATGCCATCAAGTCAATATGGACCAAACTCCCTGAGGAATGCTTCCAGCACCTTGTTGAATCTATGCCATGAAGAATTGAGGCACTTCTGAAGGCAAAAGGGGGTCCAGCCCGTTACTAGCATGGGGTACCTAATAAAGTGGCCGGCGAGTGTATATTCCTGTCCAGGGTTAACCCAACATCTCAGCCATGATCCTGATGGACAAGTGGTAGAAGATGAATGGATGTATTATACGTCATCACCCAGAATGTTATTAAACTGACTAAAAATATTTAGGAATTTTGACAATTCACTTTTAAATGAATTTTGCAAATAAAGGTGCAAGTTTGAAATTGAAAGTAAGCAGAAACGCTGGCTTCTGATTTTTTTAATTTCCCCATTCAGCGGGGGGGAGAACCCACTGAAAAGATCATTATAGTGGTTGGTTTTAACATCCATGCTGACATTGAAGGTGAAAGCTTAAGTGCAGCCTTTAATGCTATCTTATTTGCTTTATTCAAAATGAGAATAGTCCCACACATTCTAATCTTCATACTTTGAACCTTGTGCTGATATATGGCATTGGATGTGAATTAATAACAGTATTTCCTCAAAACCCTGTCCTCTTTGACTACTTTTCAATAACCTTCAGGGTTACTTTAAAAGATGATGCAGTTATACATTTTAAAGAATCTGTTCTAATTTATGTCCTCTGTATCACTGAACAATACTGCTGAGGACAACCAGTTAATCTATCCCTCTTTACAAATTGGTGATTTTGTTGATGTGGTTATTAGTTCCCTGCTTACTACCTTAGACAGTGCAGCCACTTTGAAAAAGAAAAACTTTAAAAATAGAAAGCTGGCTCCCTGGTTTAATGCAAAGCTGCGCACTCTGTAGCAAAATGCTAAGAAATTGGGGAGAAAATCACACTCTACATGCCTACAGGAATCCTACCTAATCTGGAAAAACAGTTACTGCTGTATGAGATGACCCATCATAAAGCAAGAGCAGTTTTTTTCATTAATAGAGGAGAATAGGACTAATCCTAAATATCTTTTTAATACGGTTCCCAAATTCACCCAGAGCCATAGCTCTGTTGAACCGTCCATCCCAGCTGCACTTTGCAGTAATGATTTTATGGGATATTTTTTTAAATAAGATTGAATCTATTAAAATAAAATCATTAGCACCCCTCTAACTATGGTTGGTTTATCTCTGGAAGATGAGGCAGCGTCTGAGGCAACAATAGAATCTGAACCGGGTTTAGACTGCTTTGATCCAGTTGAACTTTCAGAGTTAGAAAAACTACTGTCTTCATCTAAGCCTTCAACTTGTATGTTAGATGCAGTTCCAACCAGGTTATGAAGGAAGTATTCTTTTGATCTCTTTTTCCATTTTTTAGGTGATTAACCTATACGTGTTACAGGGATATGTACCTCAGGCTTTTAAGGTAGCTGTAGATAAACCTTTACTTAAGACATTGTCTCTTGACCCAGATGACTTGGTCAATTATAGACCTAATCTTCCTTTCTTTTCTAACGATATTGAGAAAATTGCTTGTGATGACTTACACGATAATGAACTTTTTGAAGAGTTTCAATTTGGTTGTAAGGCTCATCATAGCACTGAAACAGCTCTGGTGAAAATCACTCCAGGGGTTTCCTGTGGAGTACCACAGGGATAAGTGCTAGGACCAATTCTCTTTATTATATATATATATGCTCCCAAATGGTAGAATTATTAGACAGCATGGGATTAATTTCCACTGTTATGCTGATGATACTCATCTATATCTGTCTATAAATCCAGATGAAGCTAACCCATTACATAGACTACAGGCATGCTTTGAAGACATAAAAAAATATATGACTCTTAACTTTCAGCTCCTGAATGCAGACAAAACAGAAGCTATAGTCTTTGGACCAGAGTCTTTGAAAAAGAAGCTGATTAGATTTTTTTTTTTTTTATCATTATTATTTTTTTTTTATTTGTATATTTTTAAAGTAAATAATTAAAAAAAGGACTTTGAAATTACTTTAAAAGTTTAAATATGTATTGTGTGCCATTTTTGGCATTATTTCATATGTGATTTGATTTACAGTAATTATAAAATAATTCTATTTCTGTCTCAGTAGTTATTTTCTCTTTCTCAACTTTGATATAAACTGAAAATATTGTGTGCTGTGAAAAAGCATGTGGTGCAACTATGCATCATAAATAAATGTCCACATTTGTGCCTTCCTATTCAGCTGAGGATTTCTATGAATTATTGTTACTTTAATTTGACCCTATTTAAATTTGTCTTTTCTTCATGGCGAAATTTGTATTTTTCCCCAACTTTTTTAATAGACAAGGTTTTGCCTAATTTCTACACGATACAAGAAAAAACATATAAATAAAACTCATTTAAGGCCTATAATTTAACTATTTGATTATAAGTAATTGTACATTTATTATTTTTTACAGACTCATAGCCTTGCATCTACTTCACTAGATGTCGCTGGTGAATTCACAATTAATTCCCTGCATTTTTCAAGATATTGGGTGAATTGATTACAACAGTTCATAGATTGCACTGTACTCTACACGTGTTTTTACATGTTTTAACCAAACAGCAGAAAACAACACATTAATAATCCACCTTAGTGTTGGACTTTTGCAAATTTAAAAGTAGTTAGCACACCTCTGTTCTTGTTTTTACCTGTGTGCAATAAAAATGTAGGAACAAAAGGTGCTTCACAGCACCACCAGCTCAATGCTTAGCTTCCCTTTAACACATGTAGAGAAAAATCTCTGGAGCTGCCACTGTCCACCAATATTAAATATTTAAACTGTGATTTACACAGACTGCTGAAACCTATTTTATATTGTGAATAATGAGAGCATAAACTCAGTATCTTGTATTTATTCTGATACTTGGGTCAGTCTTGTTGTGTATGTTGGAATTTAAAGAAATTTAAAATGTAGTTGCAATTCAGCAGCGCTGTAACTCAAGTGTCTCAACAACTTTAGAAAATCTTGGAAGTAAGACATTGTCCAGACTCTTGTTCTATCTGCAGATAGAGTGGACCTCGGATAGGACGTAGAAATACCCTGCAGGTGTGAACATACCGAGAGAAGATTGAGAGCAGGAAGTGGTTTTCTGACTTTGACAGACTGATAGGGCAGGAAGTGCAGGCTTGCTCTCACAGGAAATTGATTTTAACAGTCAACAGTCAGCAATACACCCACAAGTAGCCTGGGACAACTGCAAATGCGTGGATACAGGGTTTTGTTCTTACAGATACTGTCAGGCTCAGTCAGAAGGATTAAATGCATTTTCTTAAGATTTCTTAAAACAGAAGTTGTAATCCTTGGCTGTGCACACACTGTCACATTTTTCAAGCAGGTTATTTAATGTGTGAGATACCATTTTAGAAATTCCCTTAAGCTCATGAACCTGTTAGATAAATATATATATATATATGTTAACTATCTCTTATTGTCCAATAGTGAAAACCAGTTTTGATATAGCGCAAACTGTTTAATTTGTTCTTTAAGATTGTTTAGGTTTTCTTTTAAATATAAAATTAAAGCAAAAAAAGGGAGAGAGGATTGGTAATTAAAATATAAAGTCTACAAAACAGAAGGATTATTTGCAAAAAGGTGAAGTTCTCAGTGGCACTTAATGAGGAAGCAAACAGTGTATGCAGCAGAGAAGTTTGAGTCCTGCAGCAGAGCAACCGCAGGCACAGCAGCTACTTGCCTGTTGTTGTTGCCGGATAACGTTTTTTACGAGACAGGAAACGAGACAAGAACAGAGACTGAACCAGAGAAGACTACTTTGTCTATGTTAGCAGAAAAAAAGCCCTTCAAGATAGCAGAAAGTCAATAAGGACGCCGGATAACCTCTTATGAAGGTAGTTAATGCAGATTTGAATTGGAGAGAAATTCAGCAGCAGGTAAGTTAAAGTCTGAAATGGGAACAGAAGAGAAAGAATCAGAAACTGCAACGCAGCCTCCATCAAAGCAGCAGGGATCACCAGAGAAGGACTCTCCTGTTGAGCATCCTCAAACATCTGAGAGCACCGACCCTCTCAACACATACAAGTGGCACACTGGCTCCAAGGGAACGCTCAACGAGCAAAGAGAAGAAGGAGATGGAGCTGTAGCTCCCTCCACCTCCACTATCGACAAGATTCAGAAGGCCTCCAGCAACAAATGGAGCAAGATGCAAAACTGGCGCAAAGCCCTGAGTGAGGATCCTGGAGACAAAAATTCAACGGCTGGGAAAAGTGGAGAGGGAAGTAAGGCTGAGAAAGGTGCAGGGGGAACCAGAAAGAACCCATTCAGAAGAGCCCTGTCGGAGCCTCCTGGATCTCTGTTTGCAGCTCTGTCACCATCCTCCAGCTCTACCAGCTCAGCCCAAGCAGCTTCAGCCTCTTCATCAGCCGCCCCAGAGGCCTCAGCGAGCTCCTCTAATGACACCTCGCAGAAAGGAGGTGGAGGTGCAATCTTTAAAAAATACCTGTGGAATGTGACCCAGAAGCTCAAGAGGCCAAAGCTGCAGAGCCGCCACAGCACAAGTAATCTACTACCAGGTAACCAATATTATCTGAATCTAAATGCATTCAAGTGGGCAGAACGTTGTCGATCATTTACATGTTTATGATCATTAAAAAAAATTATTAGACTGCATGATTTCAGCTCAAAAAACATGCATGCTCCTACTCCTATGAGCATCTGGCTCCCATGTAGCAAGGTGTTCACCACATGTGGCCAAACTGTGATTTCCTGTTGCATTTCAAATGTTCTGGTGGCACAAAGGTGTGGTATGTGAGACCAGTTCTTTTCATTTTACTGAAGCATGTTATATTTACATGTAACCTCTGAGCTGACATGCTGAGAAGCGACAAGGAAGTTAAACATTAATGAAAAACAATTGTTACTACTGTACCTGAAAATCAGCTGACATTAAAAGTGGAAGTCATTAATTCAAAAATGAAACAAGCTGTATGCTGGCAGCTCACATGGAAATGAGTGACCTTAAGGTCAGAAAATTGAGATAAAGTTGATATCTAATCTATTAATGCTTATCACATTTTTTTGAATATATAAAATGAGAGAAAGATTGAAAATATTCTGGAAATGATTGGAGTGGACCAGTGATTTGTTAAAAGAAAGAAAGGTAGAGATATGTACAAAGAAGCTTCTATTTCTGGTGAAAGTAATTGAGAAATATGAAGCAAAATGGTAGGACACCATGAATGATCCGCTCATTCTACCAACCCCTAAACCACAATGACCCCACCTCCCAGGCCACGCCCTCAATCTCTATCTTGTCCAGCATAAACATGATATATAACCTGCTCACCTTGGCTGTGCACATATTAATGCATTAACTGGTAAGTTATCAAACACCGCCTAAATAAAACCTGGAAGGTCTATTTCTGACCTGGACATTGCACATCCTGGACCAGTGGATATTTAAAAACCTAAATAATAAAAGAGCATGTATCTGTAGGGAATTACTTATTGGAAAACTTTATTAAAAAGAATATTAAATTGATGAAATTAATAAAAGTAAAAATAAAAATTTAAACAAAATAAGAAGATTGGAATTAAGATGAAGAGGAAAAGAATTAAATGTTTAAAGATGAAAAATAAAAAAATTGTAAGAATAAAAAATAATAATACACAAACATTATAGATGTAAAACACTATAATAACAGCAAAAAATATTTTGAAAAAAAGAAAAAGCTTTTATTTTTACTATGAGTGGGATTTCTGTGTGGATAGCTACTTTAGTCTATAAAAGCTTTTGGTTGATGATTGAAAGAGAAAGATCAGCTTAGAGCTCTTGACACAATGACTTCTAAGCAACAGCTGAACAACATATAATCAATACAATAATAATTTTCTTACCAGTTTAACAAATACCGGTTTAAAAGTATCATATACTGCTTAAAATCTAATTATTGTGAATTCAAACAAACATATTCTGCCTGTAGAACAGAATTCCCACATCTGATAGAAATGATGCCTTGGATGCTGAGGAAGGACAGCACAGGGAGCAATAATGCCACAGTCACTTTCCTAACTTCATGTAGTTATACTACTTACTGAATCCAAAGATAAAGTGATATTTTTGGCTAGGAAAAAAAATGCATTTCTAAGAATTACACCTTTAATGAAGAAGGGAAATAGAAGAACTTGCACATTTATCTGTTTTCTACTTTAGAGCAACATAATGTTAAAATTAAATGTATGTAGTATGTCACGTTGCTTTTTAATTTTTATTTGAAATGACTCTTGGTAGTAGCTTATAAAAAATATATTTGTGTTTTATCATTTAAGATATTTTTGGTAATACTGGTTTCAGCCAATGACCTGGCCCATGAGGCCCTTTGGCAAATTAACTGTACATCTGAGAATCTATATAGTACATGAACTAATTAACATTTCTGTGATTGAAGGAATGGCTATATATACAGTAAATTGAGCTTTTCTCTTAAACTTCCTGTGGGAGGAGGGGGGTGGATTGATGGAGTTTGTTAGACTCAAAATGCAAATAAGAAAAATACAACCTGTAAATCAAATGCCTATGCCACCCTGAACTGGAAACAACCCTCAGTGGTTAGCCACAGAGGCCGTCCATATCACAAAACAATGGTTCATCATTCTCAGGTAGTGTTTTTAATAGTACTGTTAGTTTATCATATGCAGAAACTTTTGACTAAGGGGATGACCTTGTAAAAATGCAAATAACATGATAAAAAACACTCATAACTTGGCTACCTTATATTGGCTCAACTACCATCACATTTTGAACATGCATCCTAGTAAATGATTTTAAGTTTGTTCGATCCACTTGGAATCGAGCTACATCTAGATTTACAAAACATAAATTTTAAGGACTGAACTATTGGCGTTCTAAAAACTAAATTGATTAAATGTTTCAATCAGTCTGAAAAGACAAATTAAAAGGCAGACTTGTGTAATAAAGAGTTGTGTATAATTGCATGAACCTGTAGTGAAGGCATTGTCTAAGAAACCAATCTCTGTCCAGCTCCTTCTTCTAATGGAAGATGGCTTTAAGCTTTGAGGTTATTCTTTTCATTTTTATTGATATTGTTAGAAAACCTCAGATAACTCATGACCAAAACAGAACTTTGAAGTTTTTTGCCAGTGCCTAACTCATCACCTTAATTACAAATGTCCAAAAGTAATTCAAAAATAAAAGAGCACAGGTTTGCTGTCTAGATAAAATAAAATGAAAATTATCTTTTTTTTATGCACATTAAGACAAATGTTAACTTTGTATACAGGTGGTTAACATTAGGCGGACCTACCCTGCCAACATGAAACAATTGTTTTAAGGTAACTAAATATGATTAAGTAAATGCCAAAAATGGTTGCATTATTTTTTTTTTGGTGTGGATATACTGTCCTAAAACGTCTATTCTACAATCGTTGTGGTTAGAAATAAGCTTTTGTAGCAGCAGCGGTGGGCATCATCAGAAAACTTAAAGGAGAACTAAGATTCAGGGGGGGTGGGGGGTGGAAGCACCATGCTGAAGCATTTGGACGTAGACATTAGTGAGTAGGCTAATGTGCTCTCCTTGAAAAGCAATGCTGGCTTTGAAGGGATGCACACAACTCCAAATTGCACAACTGGTTGATAGGAGACATAAATGAGTTGATTTTAATTAATTAAAGGGCAAGTCAAGCTGATATCTGGAAGTAATTTTATTTTGTAAATTGATGAAAGGGGAGGAGCAGGTAAAAATGATAAACAACATCCTAAATATTCAGAGTGCTGCACCTGATTTAAGTTATTACAAGGATGGGCTTTATAGAGGGTTGCATTTATACTGTAGGTCACTTTAACTTAATGTTATGATGATGAAAAATAATATATTGTCCAAGCAATTATAAAACGTTGCGGATTTACCCCAAATTCAGGAAAAACAAGGAAAAATATCTGATCAAGATCCACCAGATGCTTAATTAATACACCCTTCATTCCAAAAAATTTTTTTTTTTAAACCAAACCACACGATGTTTTGCTTCCCGTCCAGAAAGATTTCTCAATTAAAAATGTCTAGAGTAGCGCTGAGTTCCAGGCTTTATAAAGTAGCCAACACAAAAACATTGTTATAACTTAGAAAACAAGCAAATTGAACCAAAAACAGGTCCACCCCATAGTAAAGGGGAGTCTTCACAGCTGTTAGAATCCAGATGATCCGATAAATTGATCTTCCATAAAATTCAATTCAGATTATTAATATAGCACCAATATTGGAAGAATCTTGGAAACTCAATGCCTTGAAAAATGCCTGCCTTTAGTTATATTATCTATTATTAAGTTTGCTAAGATAAACTTTTTAAATGTAATGATGACTTTTTGTATGAAATTAATTTCATGAAGTTAGTTTATCTTATTTTGGTGAAGTTATTACAACTACAAAATAAAAAGATTAAAAAAAATAAATAAAGTAAACTATCAATTTTCAATGAACTCTTCAGATGTATCTATAATATTACTTCTATAATTAGGTATTTTTATACAACATAAATTATTGAAAATGTCATAGTTTAAAAATTAATTCAGGTGAAATAATAGTGCTGTTTGGTAAATCAAAAAGCAATCAATGTGAAATAGTGTTGAATGCATCCTATTCTTTTTAACAGCCACCTCACTCATGGTGATGATGGCATCATACATTGCCACAAAATCAGCCAATAAGATCTGCATCATGCTACTTTAATCTTTAAATACTTACCTTTTATGCGTGGACTCAACTGAAATATTTCAATTGTGCATTTTTTTTATTCAACAGTTCACAATACTTATTAATGATGACTATAAACAAGTTATCTACTGACTGAAAACAATCTGTACTGGGTAGAATTTTGGATAAAGTATTAATGGTATGTAGCAGATAAGACCCTTTAAACCTACAGTGAAATTCAATTCAGTTTATTTATATAGCGCCAATTAACAACACATGTCATCGCAAGGCACTTTACAGTTCACCAGATCATACAGTCAAATGGATTCATAGTTTTCTATCGAAGGAAAACCACTTGATTGCATCGACTCATTGACTCAAATACAATCCCTCACACTAGGCATGCTTGTAGCGACAGTGGACAGGAAAAACTCCCTTTTAACAGGAAGAAACCTCCAGCAGAACCAGGCTCAGTGTGAGCGGCCATCTGCTGAGGCCGACTGGGGTTCAAGGAGACAGAAGCAGAGATAGAAAAAGCAGCAGTAAAAGGCGGCCCCGTACTGTAAACACACAGCCAGGAAGACGAGCTCCGAGCCAACTCCCATGCCAGAGGACGAAGAGAGAACATCCAGACAGTCATAGTCAGAGAAACAGGACTACACTGAAAAACAGGCTGATCTCCAACATCTATAAACAAGGGTATTGATATCAGCAGCACAGCTGATATTTTTCTCCAGGATGGTGTCACAGCCAAACAGGAACAATGGAAGAATAGAGATAGAATGTATCAAAATGATGAAATAGGGGTCCCTATGTCCTCCATCAGTCTAAGTCTATAGCAGCATAATGATAGATAGCTCAGAATAACCTGTGCCACTCTAATTATAAGCTTTATCAAAAAGGAAAGCCTACCCTTAAAATTAGACAGGGTGTCTGCCTCACGGACTAAAACTGAAATCTCACAGATGGCACAGAGGAAGCTGCACCATCAAGCAGCTTATTCTGAACATCCTTTTATAAGGTAGTTTAAGTGAAGTTATGTTGTTGGGCCTGAATATTATGTTAACATCACTTTATTTATCTCTGTACAAGTGACTTTTTACCATCATTTCATTCATTGGGTAGCTCTTGTTCTACTTTTTTTCTTTTAAAGTCTGCAGAATTTTTTTTTTTTAGCAAACATACACTCTGTGCAAATTAAGGAAGTAGTGTGTGAACATTGAGCTACTTAGAAACAACAGGATATGCACAACTCTTGGCATGTCATGAAGAAACAGATAATATCAGTAAATGGGTGTGGCAAAACACTGAGGGAGATAAGTGTCGTCATGTCAGGCTGTAATTACCATAACTGAAAAATAAACAAGGGTTAAAATTAACCCAAAATCATGGTTCGTCTCTGTATTTCTATCTTCTGTGTGTTTGTGAAATTATTGTCTTTTTGCAGGTGTGGAGGAGGTTGAAATAGCACATGCCTGTGAACCTCCAAAACAACAATGGGCTCCACTTCAGGAGCTCCCCTTATGGGACATCACCAACTGTGTCCTGGAAGATGGACAAATCCTAATTTCTCAAGAGGAAGAGGTACCAGATCTCAAGCAATGTATCTAAAAAAAATGACAAATGTAAAAAAAATAGGCAACTTATATTTTATGTAGGTTATGTGAAAAGGCTCATGATGCAGAGTGGTGTATTTCAAGGTCTCATTTTCAGTCGTTTTGATGATCACAGCTTACAGCTAATGAAAAACACTTATCTAATATATTTTTCTCTGAAAAATATATTAGATCAGTAAAAATAGATGCTTACTGAAGAAACCTTCTTCTATGGTTATGTCATAGTCTATAAGGGGAAGACTTCTACATTGACTGTAATGCAGCAGACAGTCACCCTCCACACGGAAACTAAACTCCAGCAGTCACTGCAAAAAAAGCCAGACTAGTTGTACGCACATAGATCAATGGAAAGTTGAGTGGAAGGAAGACATGTAGAAGAAGATGCATAATGATGCATACCACCCAGGTGAAAAGGCATAGTGCCTTGTAGAACTGTATGGGGAAATTCTGACATTTGTTAGTCATCTTATTGATCTTATTAAATATTCTATATTTCCAATAAACTACATGTTGGCCTTTTGTTTGCTATAGTCTACTGTCAGTGAAATCAAGATAAATAAATCACTCTGTGTGGGATAAGTATTTACATTTTCTAGTATCACTTTTTTCATTGAAGTACTGCAATAAATTAAGTTTTTCACTCATAACTCATTGCACATCTATTCTAAAAGACGGTTGAGGAAAAAGAAAAAAGCCTTATAATGGAGAGTTTCAAAACGTGTGTGTGTGTGTGTCTTTCTCAGCCCGCGACGTGGATCCGAAACCGTGTCAGCAGCTGCTTGTCCAACCTCAGCATGCAGAACATTGCTGACATCGATGCAGGTCAATACACACTAATGTGAAGTAAAGTGAGACAAAAATGTACCAGTGCTGGAAAAGCATCTGTTTCTGACATCAGGCAAGTGATTCTGCACACAGTCACAGCGGAAATAGCTGAATGTTTGATTGTGAGGTTGACTGTCAAATTGCTTCCTCCATGCGTTTTTGAGGAAGATAGCATCGGGGCTTGTTGCTTTAGTAGTCAGATGAAAAGACGCAGAGAAACAGAAGCAAAGGGAGGAGTGAAAAAGCATCTTGTTTGCATTCAGCTTTAATTTTAAGAGAACATCAGAACCTGCAGCTTCAAGGTGCTAATCCTGCATTGGTTTAGTTGGTGAGCTCTTTCTGGAGAGGCATATCTTATTGCACAGAGGAAGGAAATGTTAAAGACAGCTTCTTGAGTAACAAGACCGTTAAACGCCTTCGTACTAAATGATGGGATTTAGACGCTGGATTGTTTGCGGCGGGTCTTTAGGTAAGCAAATGCTCGAATCTCTCTAAATCATCCAGATCTTTTCCCCAAATTCCTTGTTGATAGAATGGATTAAGAGAAGACTCTAGACTTAAAAAGAAGAGGAAAAGATGTTTTGAACATTTTTAAGAAATACATTTGCTTAAAAAACGAATCTCTGTATGTTAGACAGATTTCTGTAGCTACCATCCTCCAGCGACAAACCACATCCTCTCTGGCTCACTTTTAGTTTATCACCTATTATTGCTGCTTTTGGTAAATGCTTTCTCCAGTAAACAAATATACACTTTCGGCATGGGAACCGTGATGCTGAATTTTACTTAGGAAATATGTCACAGACCTTCTTTTAAATTAGGAAATGCACATTTTAGTGACAGTTGCTGTTAAAAAGAGTTGGTAATAAGAGTCTACTGTAGGTCTACCAAGCAAAATACACAAAATCATAAAGCTACGTAATATGATAGTATCAGGTAATCTTTCAAACATTAGCTTTTTTTCTTCACTAGCTGAAAATGTCCTCAGTGAAATGTGTTAGATTTGTCCAACTCAAACAAAATGTTTTTTTCAAAAAGCTAATGTTTTCCAAAATTTTGCCATTCCTGTCTTTCTCATGTTAACACTTTTCATGTCAATCTTCAGAATGCAGTCCAGACCAGGTGGGCGTTCCAGATGGTCCTCTGCCAAAACGCCAGGAAGGTGGCGTACGGGTGAGTGAACATCACATAATCTGTGGGCCAAGAATGCATTTCTTCCATGGTAAAATACATAATCACCCCTAATTATTCTACGTAACATCTTCCACCTCAGGGAATGATCAAACGCCGCCTGAACAAGGACAAAAGGAACAGTGCCACCCAACTGAACCCAGGGCTAAACAAACTCAGGTAGAACACAATTTATTTTGACAGGGTCAAATATTTTGAACTCCCTTGGGTTTGCATCCATAAAAATAAATAAATCTACTCTCTTTAATTTTCTTACCACTATCCTAAATTGATTTCATTGTGCTGATTTCACAACATTAAACAAACGACCCATGATAAAAGTGGACACAGAAAATTACATAGACTAGACTTGTGTCAATTAGCATCATATGTAAGTGCACGAGAGAGTTTTGTTTTTTAAGGGGTGATGTCTTGTGATTTTAAGGAGAAATGTGGCCTTTAATAAGATTTAACTGCTGATAAAAAATAACATTTTAAGCCCTATGATGACCTACTAACCAGTCCTGGGTTTTTGTGCGTTGTGTCACTATGAGCATTGGATATAGGCCCAAGCCTCAATACAACTTTGCAACAATGAGTGTTTACAGATAATTGAAGGACATGTATTTGTTCTTTTCTTTTTAACACTTAGTAATTTGCGCTCGCAAACTGGAATTTTGCGCGAGGGGCTGAACCATGGTTTGCGGGTGATTTAACAAGAGTGATTGCGTAACTGGTGGCAGGTGCAAAACTGTTGGAGACACCCTCTTTAAATGATGGTTTTGCACGTTTTGTGGTTTGCAGCAAAGTAGTATGTAGTTTATACAAACTAGTGCATTAAGAAATTTTAATCTTACAGTGACACCCCCACCCCCTCCAAAACAAAAAAATATATACCTATATATATATATAAACTTTGGCAACATTTATTCCCTAAGGTGGTATGTGGCTGAATTTCTACTTCACTGCAGTAAAAACAAAACAAAAAAACAGGTGTTTTGTATTGGCCTGTAGAAAAATGCACAAACCAAATGGCTCACAAGAAGTGACTGTGGAGGAGATTACTGCGCGTACGCATCCCCGCAGCATTGGCATGTTGCTCCACAGGCGCAGGGGGGAGGTCGGGGTTCTCCTGTAGGGCGTCAGGGCGACATGGCATTTAGAACGTCGGACAGCACTTCTGAAAAACGAGATTGGGAGATCCCAGCTCTCGCTGCAACTGTACACTGGAATGACCCAGATGCAAAAAAGTGCAATGCTCCAAGGAGTTTTGTGATATCTGGTATTGCGTGGGACCTCCTTGTGGCTGGCTCCAAATCCATTCGGAGTTACCCCAACAGCTCCAAAATGGCAATTTTGGATAAACGATATGTTTTGATGATCGTTTCCTCGTTCATTCCAAAAATATTCACACGGAGTGAAAAAATGCGTTCTCTGCGTCTCCTTGCTTCATTTCCATGTCTCCTTCTTGCGACAATAACCGCTGCCATGTGTGCGCAATTACGCATACAGACCATTTGCACCTTCTTTTGAAACGTGTCAAATATAGAGTCAGATACCGTTAGCAAAATTGCTTTCAGGTTTGATAAATCACTTTGCGAGTGCTAAATTAATATATTTACATGTTCTCCTCCCACAAGACGCACTTTTGCGTGTAAACGCCCCATATTGCATATTCATTGCAGAAAAAGTACTAAATGGATATGAGGCGCTATTTAGCACGTTTTAAAGACCAAATCCTTTTAGCACGTTGTTGATAGATCAATTTGTAAATTTTTTAGCGTGCGCAGTGAAATAGCTCACGTTTTTATACATGCAAACATTTGATAGATCCGGCCTTTAGACTTTAGCAAAACAAAAACAAAAAAAAAAAACAAAAAAAAAATTGCCTAATCTAAATTCACTAACCATTGTATATTTGCCATAAAAAGCTGATATTAGCTGATTGATAGGCGCCTAGCCTGCAGTCCAACATTTTAACTGTGATCCTTATCAACTGTAGCTTTTAACTTACAATCTGATTGTGTAGCACTTGGACCATTGAAAGTTGTTTTCTTTTAATGCTTTCAAACTGTAACCTTAACAATGCTGTAATAGAGTAAAACATCCTTTGTATTGTTTGATTGCAAAGGCTGTACCTTGTTTTCTTTTGGTTCACTTTTTTCCCCGTGTTGCTTTTAACCCAAAGGCACTACGGTTCCCGTGAGTCTGTATCAGTTCCAGTGGGGAGTCTGGATCTGAGCGCTGACACCAACACTGTCATCCGACCCGTCCACAGTTCAATTTTAGGGGAGAAGTACTGCTTCGAGGTAAACTTTGACTTTGGTTTTACAAGTTAGGTATGCTCGCTGGTCTTTTTTTTAAACTCTGACACAGGCCTGATGGATTTCGTGTTTTATAGGTGATCAATTCTGAAAACACCCACTGCTTTGGCTGCTCGTCAGCTGCTGAACGAGACCGCTGGATTGAAGACCTCAGACGTGCTGCTCAGCCCAATAAGGTGAGGTATTCTACATATGAAAAAAAAGTCACAACATTTTGATACAATGTAAAACATTCACCTAATCTTGGCAGGATAACATCGAGCGTACTGAGAACTCCTTGAGTCTGTGGGTTAATGAAGCAAAGGATCTTCCACCCAAACGGCGTTACTACTGTGAAGTTCACCTCGATGGAACCTTGTTTGCCCGAACAAGCAGCCGAGCTGTTGGCAAGCCAACTAATCGCACCAACACGGCTGGGGACAATGTCTCAGGGTCTTCGGGAGGCCAGGGGACGAGCGGGGGCACGGCTGGTGGGTGTCAGCTATTCTGGGGGGAATTCTTCGAGCTCGACAACCTTCCCTCTGTCTCCCAAATAAGCCTCCACCTCTTCCGGGAGGAAGACTCCAAGAAGAAGCGCCATTCCAGAGATGACTCCAGCCTGCATCCCCTGGGCAGCGTGACCATACCTTTGGGAGATATCAGAGGGAGAACCTTTCAAGAGAAATGGTATCCCATTACACCTTTCAAAGCTTCGGCCACAGCTGGGAACAAGGAGGTGTTAAGTCCACAGGCTTCTCTCCGCATCAAGGCCCGTTTCCAGAACCTGAAAGTGCTGCCGATGGAGAAGTACAAAGAGTTTGCAGAGTATGTGACAGTGAGATACGTAGAAATGTGTGGGAACCTGGAGCCTCTTCTTAACGTGAAGGAGAAAGAGGAGCTAGCAGGAGCTCTTGTCCACGTACTCCAGAGTATTGGGAAAGCTAAGGTGGAGATAATATATGCACACATGATCACAACCTCAGCAAAATGTTCTTTTAAAAATGTATAATAATTCCCATGGGGGGGTTTACTTCTAATTCTCAAAGGAATTCCTCATTGATTTGGGCGCAGCAGAAGTGGACCGACTTGGAGAGAAGGAAGCATTGATCTTCAGAGAAAACACACTGGCTACGAAAGCAATAGATGAATACATGAAGCTGGTTGGCCAGAAGTACCTCATTGACACACTTGGTAGGTGATATAGGTGACAGACGTTTCTTGTAGAGATGATCCTGATCATTGCAGATTCATGAAGCTCTACTGAAACATCTATTCTTGTTTATAACCTAATAGTGTATAGGAACAAAAAGAAAAAAACATGCTGAAAATACACTGCTGCAATTCTTGCATCAAGGTTACCTCCATTTTTATCAGTATTAAAGGGATATTGTGTCATCTAGCATTGAAATGGTGGTATTTCACTCAAATGAACACTTAATCTTTGCATGTCATTGCCTCAAACACGTATTGCGCCAATGGCAGCCACCTTGTAAAAAAAATAAAGACTTTACAACCCAGATGGAAGCATGTCATCTGAAGTGAAGTGAAGGCTTTAAAAGCTGGCATTTACTGTGACAAAAATCAAGCTTTAACTGCATCTTTGAAAAATACTAAACCCATCTAAACCTACAATTCTATACCAATAAGATTGCTATATGCTATAAGTATCTACTGTTATGTTTTGCATGGTAACAAGCAACACTGTCTAATTAAAGCAGGTGGATAAAGTTAGCTTTACACTAATTTATACAGTAATGTTCACTTTTCAAGAAGAAACACGGCATCCTCAGAGTCCCTTTCAAAATATTTCTCCCTCATTAGCTCCTTCCACCTGGAGAAGGCTTGCCTGATGTTAATCCTTGTTTTTAAATGTTTCCGCTTTTTGTTTTCCTGTAAGTTTTCTTGTTTGCTTTGTTTGGGATGGTGAAACCGTTTCTTGTGCTGCTGCTGCATATACATCCTGCACTGGGCTGCAGTAGTGCAGACTTTCAGTTGTTGGGTTAGTGTCTCCAAATGATCTGCACCACTGCTTCTCAATCACACTGAACTCCCAGCAAGGGGAAATGCATTGTTATTCATTATGCATTGGTACTATTTTATCCCCTGCTGGCTTCTGCTCTTTCAAGATGGCAGACTGTCATGGCGCTTTGCAAAAAACTGGCCTTGTGTATAAATTAACTCAAAATTCCTCATTCATGAAAGTAATAGGACATATGTATCTGTAGTCATTGATTTCAGTCAGTAAAAAAGAGAAATTGTTTAACAATGTCTCTTTAAAGGTTAACGGTGTATAATTATATAATAAGGCTAACAACTGATCTTCTTAACATCTGTTTCAACATTGACAGCTACTATAACTGTGGCAGTAGTGGTCGGTATATGTTGCTAAAATTGATTTTGTTTCTCCATGAAGGGGACTTTATCAACAGACTTTATGCCTCAGTTGAGAACTGTGAAGTGGACCCACTCAAATGTCCCGCCGCTGAGCTGTCGAGCAACCAGCAGCATTTGAGGGAAACGTGTGAAGATGTGGTGCAGAAGATCATTGAGCTGCATGGGTGAGATAGAAATAGCATATTAAAGAAGAAGAAAAGCGAATATTGCTTCAAGGAGATTATTATAATGTCTTTTCCTTTTGCAGTCCATTTCCTGAAGAATTAAATAAGATTTTCTCCAACTGGACGGAGCTGTGTGAAGACATGGGGAAAGCAGAGATTGGACAGCGTTTAATCTCAGCCTCACTCTTCCTTCGCTTTTTATGTCCTGCTATTCTGAGTCCTTCTCTTTTCGGCCTGACACAGCCGTACCCAGAGCCGAACACCCTGCGGACCCTCACCCTAACTGCCAAAGTCATTCAGAACTTGGCCAACTTCACCCTGTGAGCAGCACTAATACATATATCACACTGACAACCAGTTAGAGTTGAAATGATAAAGGAAGTGAATTATTTTTTTGTGTATTTAGGTTTGGAGAGAAGGAGGAGTACATGCTGTTCATGAATGAATTCCTGCAGCAGCACTGGGATGGAATGAGGTGTTTCCTGCAAACGGTTTCCAATCAAGACACTGAAATCTCAATGACATCCTTTGATGGTTATGTAGATTTGCCCCTACGTCTGGCTGTGCTGCATGGCCTCCTGGTGGATATTATCTACAAGAAGGAGCAGGTGGGACAGAAAATTATTCCAGTTTATTTTCCATTGTAAACTATATGCAAATCAGAGTCCAATATGCATTAGATGTTTTTATACGAGGCTAACTTCCAGAATTTCCCTCTCAGGACACAATTACCAAGCTGCATCCTCTGCCTTCCATTCTGAACCAGATAAGTGAATCACTGGGTCCTGAATCATCCCGGATCATTGTCAACAGGTAAGTTAGAGCTCTTAAAATAGTGCTGTGCCATGAACTTTAAGCTGCTTAAAAAAACATTAAAAAAAAGAAGTAAAGAAAAAAGCATATCTGGATCTTCAAGAATCCCAATACAGCTATGTTTCTAGTATATGAGTAAATTATATGTTCATGTTTTCCATACATGTTTTGTATACATCTTTTTAACAATGTCCATATAAAAGACTTTATGTTTTACATATATGAGCAACTGCCATTATATGTAGGTTGTAAATATAAAAAAAAAAAAATAAAGTTGTCTTTCTATGTTTTATATACTTATTTTTAAATGGCATCTGGTAATACAGTATATATGTGGCATTACAAACAATAACATATAGGTTTTTAGTATAAAAATATTAAATGGCAGCCTATGAAATTTGCAGGGAGTTTAAAAAAATATATATTTTTATTATGTCATGCATTTGCCTTTAAGTTACTGTCCTGAGAAACACATTTCTACCACCATAGACTACAAACAGTCCATGGATAAAGTATTAAATACCGGTCATAGGAAAAAAATGCTGTTGAAGAGAGGATGCTGGAAGAGAGGAATTATTACTATAAACACAAAGTTCCCATCCTAGCATTGATTGTGCTTCAAATTCTCCAACAACAACTGAATGTATAGTCTTTCATAAAACATTTTAAAAGCTGCTAACATGTTTGGTAAAATTACTGAAGTTGGCAATAATTTAACAGACATCTGTTGCCTGCCTTTTTTTAACTTAAGAATTTCGTTTTTGTGAACAAATTTAGTTACACTCATGACAGATCAGTCTTATAAATTTGATTTTACAATTTTCTACCAAAGATATTGGGAAATTACTGTTAGACTGCAAACATTTCAATCTAAATAAGTCATTTTTTCTTTATATAAGAGCACTGAAGTACTTTTCCAATGGAACAACACGATTTATGTTTAAAATAAGGAAAAAATAATTGCATTGCCTTATCTAAAGTACATATTATCTAATTATCTTATCTTAAGCGTAAAAAATTCTCATTCCAATGGAAAATCACCACATTTACCTACTCAAATTAAGGGTATATGCACTTAATTTAAGAAATTTGTACTTACTCTTAGATAGTTTTTGCAGTGTACATGTATTGTATATAAGCACGAGAATTAATATAGGTTTCATTTTGTACGAATGAACTTGAAATCTTAGACCAAGACTTAGATTGAGCTTTATTTATCTTGGGATTACTCCTTCAGGGAAATTTTGGATCTGTACCTAATATCTGGTCTCACTGTGTGATTCGTTACCGACAAGGTTGTACAACATAGGATGCAAACGTTAATCGTTTATATTCTTTTTTCTATGTGGGCTACTTTGCAGCTATACAGAACAATCAAAGCCGGTGTATGTTCCTCCTAGAGACTTGAGAAAGTACAGTCCTCTTCAGTCATCTCTCCAGAGGCTGGACTCCAAAGCCCTACGAGACAGGTACCGTACAGCATATACATAATAGTTCAATTAAAGAGTGATTAATTAGTTGACAACGGATAAAACACTGGCGCAAGTCACTGCCGCTGCTCATCTTTGCGTTTTACCTGCATTTTGGATTACTTCCACAATCTGCTGGCACTATCATCTGCCTCCTCGTCCACAATGTGGGCCGGTGGGACACACTGCTGGTTCATATGTGCCTGGCTCTTTGTACTGCCTGTTCACCTGCAAGTTTGCTCCACTATTCGGCCAGTGACCTGTTCTGGTTACGCTATAATTTGCCTGGGCCTGTGCCAGAGGCACTTCACATTCATCCCGTCCACCATTCCACCACAAGAGCTCAACAGCAATAAAGTCCATATGGTCCAGTGCTCGATGCCCAACTGCTCCACCAGGTGGAAATCGACCACAGCGTGTTAGTCTGCCTAGCTTGGTCGGCTAGCACCACCAAGAGCTCTGACAACACTTCTTTCTACTTCTGCTCAAAATCCACTCTCTGACAACAAGGGATATCTCATCCAGGACCTCATCACCGACCAAAAGCTAGACTCTCTATCTCATACCGAGACATGTCAACAGCCCAAAGACTTTTCCTATTGAAACCAATCCACTCCCAGTGGGTTTATTTACATCTGTCAACCCCGTGGCTCCAGTCAGGGAGGAGGTTTCGCTATAATTCATCAAGCGAAGTAGAAAGTCTTGCCGATGTCTGTGCCTGTCTCTAACTCATTTGAATCCACTGTCTGTGAGTTGTCTTGTCCCGCTCCAACTGTCATTGCTACTGTCTAACACACCCCTAAACTAAATAGTGACTTCAAAATGACTTTGCTGCTTCCCTTACCCATCTATCCCCTCTCTCACAATACATTATACTGCTGGGTGATTTCAATATCCACTATCAGTCTTCCTCTCACCTAAGTCTTCACAGCCTGTATAGAGAGTTTTGGATGTCAATGACATAACACTATTCCTACACACTCCAAAGAGCTTATCCTGGACCTAATCCCCTCTTGACATTGAAGCTGATGTATTCCGCATAACTGATCACTTTCTCCTCTCATTTACAGTGAAACTTAATCTCTTCACTTCTAAAACACCACGCCTCATTTCAATCCGGGATTTAAAGAATTTTAACCCTGTCACTCTTGCTTTATGTATTGATTCCTTCTGTACCGGCTCCCGAGGGGGAATGCCTATTAAACGCGTGCGAGAGCCCCCTGAGGCGTGCAGGGAAAATTGCGGCTGATCCGTCGCACACCAGCCACAAACTATTTCAGACACTTCCCGCTTGCAAGAGGCTGCAGTCTATCAGGACCAAAACCTAACACCACAAGCACAGTTTCTTCCCATCCACTACCAGCCTTATCAACAAGGCCCAAAGACCCCATGACACTGACACTGCCTCTCTCCCTCCCTCCATTATGGACCTAGAAGCTACACCAACGTGACTGCCTGCGTTACATTAACACACAGTCTACTGTATATAACTATATATTATATATGGTATATTGTATGTTTTATATTGTATATAGCTATAGATTCTGTATTCTGTATATATATATATATATATATATATATATATATATATATATATATATATATATATATATATATATATATATATATATATAATTTGTCTGCACCCTAGACACCAAGTCAAATTCCTTGTAAGTGCAAAACTACTTGGCAATAAACTTGACTCTGATTCTGATTTCTACTTGTGCACGCTATGTTTAAAAGTTGCTGTTTGCATCGTTCATAAAAGCTTACTTTACAAAAGAAGATTTGCAATTTTTCCACTCTGTCAGACTCACCACCAGTAAGTGAAAATGGGGACGAGCACATAGGACGGCCTTACGTAAACATATCACCAGAAGCACTTACAATTAGGAGGACCACTTATTTAGATGATCCACCTGGAAAAAGAATATCCACAACTATACCTGCAAAGGATTTCTTGATTCTACAGATGTGGTGTTATCAGAAATGTCTGCTCCACTGCAAAAAATGTAAATCTACATAAGTCATTTTTTCTTGAAATAAGTGAATTTTTTCTTGAATTGAAGAGGAAAGTGAGACATTTTGCAAATGAAACGAGACAACTTACATTTAAAATGAGAAAAAATGATTGCACTGTCTTGCATATTATCTTATTATCTTATTCTAATAGTGAAAATACTCATCCCATTGGCAAACTATCTTATTGACCTACTCAAATTAAGGGTAAATATACTTAATTTAAGACCTTTTTACTTATTTCTAGATCGTTTTTCCATTGTGCTGGTAAATTTGAAATGAAACATATGGTTAATCCCAGTTTTATTTTCACATGGAGTGAGGTTAGTTGGTTATCTTTTCCCCTGTAAAATGTAATTATCATTTAAAATGGCCTTTAGTATTTACCACAACAATACATTTGTTTGATGTAAAGAATTACGGTGTAAAAGTAAAATAGCATCAGAAATCTGCTTCACTTCACTGTATTGTTTTCTCCACTTTATCATGCAATGCTTTAAGTCTGTGTTGTATTATAACACCAGACTCTTTTAAAGACCTTTGTCAGCTAAGTAGAAAGTAAAAAGGCTCACTAATAGATTACCAATAATAAAGCATGTCTTTGTTTTTTGCAGTGAAAACAGACCTACCAGGACCATGAGGGAGAAAAAAAAGCAATTGTCCAGAACTCAGAGTGCTCCTCACTCCAGGTGGGTGGTAACAGGTTACATTTCCCTCAGCTATATTCTTTTTATTATTTATTTTTATTACTTTTCAGGAGTATTAATAAATAGTTAAAGGAGAATATCCTTGTTTTGTTTTTTTCTTCTGCCTGAATATTTTGATAATTTTTTTTTAATGCAGTAATTTTCACACAACTTTAAATTTCTTTATCTTTATATTATTCTTTAATACCACATCAGATGTCTCAGATACGTTGTTAAGTAGCTTTTGTTCTGAGTGCTTTTTCAATTGATTTGAGTAATTTCTTGAAATGCTATTTTTTACTTTTACTCGAATAAATTATTTTGGCTACTCTCCCCACAGACCTCCTGGTCACAAAAGACAAGTCCTTAAGAGGCAGATAAGTTCTGAAGCTCTGCCAACGTCTGACAATGAACAAGAGGCGGATGCCAACCAGCCAGTTATAACGCCTCCAGATAATGTGAGTACAAACAGGCCGCCATATCAAATAGATATAACTAAATCTATATATTTCTTTATTTTTTACTGATAATATTAATTTTTTGTTGTGTGAAATAAATCCATCTGCCTCCTCTCTTCCTTGTTTAGATTGCAAGCGGCAAACGTCCACCTGCTCCAGTTCCTTGGGTCATTGATAACCACAACAGGGAGTCAGGGGAGATGAAAACTGAGAGCGAGCAGTTCAGTTTACTGGACAGGGTATGGTCAAATCAGCCAGTAAAAAAAACAACCAAATACTTCACACTGGGCTTTAATTTCATGCATTGACATGAGGGTGTAATCTCTATCCAGCACGCCCAGGAGCTGTCTGAGCTCCGTCTGGGGATAGAGCAGGTGACAGAGCGGGAGCTGGACATGGCCAAGCGCCTGGAGGACTTCATTATCCAAAGCCAGGACCAGAATGCAATACTGCAAGCTGAGGTGGAGGAGCTCAGGAACCAGCTGGCTGTGCGAGAGGAGCAGCTCGCCAGCGCCACCTTCAGGTGAGACTGCATAGAATTATTTTTCCTGGTTGCAGGCCTGTCTGGTAAAGCTGTTTATAACAATCTTATGTTATGAATTAATCATACAGTATGTTCTCTTTGAGTTATCTTCTTTATGTTTATTCCCAGGCTGGGAGTGATTGAAGAAGAAAGGGAAGAAGATGTGCGGAACCTGAGTATTGCACTTGGAGCAGCCGAGAGAATGAATGTGCTGGTAAGGAAAACAATAATCTCAAATTAAATATACAGAATACTACAACTTTCTAAAAAAATAAGAATATATATGATTTACATATCGGCTACTTATTTTCTTTAAAATAATCTCATTTTATTTTTACTTTCACATGATATATACTACAAAATAAAATGCAACACAACTTAATAATGCCATATAATGAAAAATTATTATATTATAAGTGTAAAGAGACACTGCCAATACAGCAATCAAACAATTTTTTTAACTATTAACATTTTTACTAAAAGAAATATGAATTTTAAATATGATGAATAAAGCAATAAATTATACCCTTTATTCATAACCTAATAAAACCCATTACTTGAAAATGACTCGTAGATACAGTATGTTTTAAAATTGAGACATTTGATGGGGAGTGTATAAAATAGAAATTATTCCATTGTATGAACTTATGGTATTCATAATTTCTACCTTTGCACTTTATTTTGTTTAATGTATTTCAATTGGGTGTTAAAATATATTAAAAATGGAAATATATTAAAATGAGATTAAATAAAATGTATTAGGTTTCCAATCATCACATTTAAATGCAGCTTTAATCATTCAGTTTTATTTCTGAACATTAAACACTTCTTTAGGGATTAATGTAACAGCCAGTGTTCCCAAACATGCCTTAAACACTTTCATTTTTTTCATGATAAAAGAGTTAATATAAAAGCCTGGAATTAGACAAAAACATTTAAGCAAAGAAGAAAATCACAACAGTAACTGATCAGTCCTTGGAAGCTTTACTGAGAGAGCAGCTATTCCTTTTCTTTATCAATTAATTCTTCATACAGAAATTATCTGTAGGATTTTTCTTATTTGGAAAACTATAAATAGCTTGGTTGATAAAAAACTACTTAAAAAAAACTATTAAGAAGATTTTGAAAAGGACTAGGTATTTGCTGGGTTCAGGCACCCAGATGCCATGAAGAAAAGACTATAGCAGTAATTGCACAGACATAAGGTATGCTCCCAATACAAATTATAAGAGTTGTGAGGCCTTTTTATATATAAAAAAAAATAAATCAAAGTTAAGTCAGCTATTGTAGAGAGTAATATTTTCTTATTAGCTGTATTTTCAAGTTGAAAATGCTTAAGATAGTTTCTATTGTTCTAAGTAGTGGTAAAGGTGCTGGTTGGTGTGTTCACGTTTAGGTACAATTAGTTAAAGCCTGAACACGTTTTACCTGTTTTAAAGGGCTGCAGTGGATTAACCACTTCTTTCTTACTAGCTCTAACTTATTTGCACTTACATCCTGAGAAGGTTACAGGTTCCCTGGTTCCATCCCACAGATTATTATTCCATCAACCAGATATTCAGCCCCGTACAGGCATTAAACAAAGGGGATGGGTTAGGCTATCATCGCAGCCTCACTCCCTGTACAGGAGAACGGAGGACCTCGCCTATTCAGCCAGGCCAACAGTTCCCTTTAACAAGCCCACTTTCAGATGCTTAGATGGGTATGGGGCATTTCAGGCCAGCGAAAGAAGCCAAATGACCCCCATTCCAAAGGGGTGGACCCTTTCGCACAAGGCTTTGTTGGCCTACTGTATAATTCCTTGAACTCAACATGATTCCTGACATTTTGAATTGAAAAATCTTATTGGGTGGGAAGCGAAACGTCTTCAAAGTTGGAAACAAAGTCCAGTGGATTATTTTTTATTTTCTTTTTTCAGAATGACTATGACCTGGATGACCGAGAATCTTCAACAACACATTAGGCAGAGGACACATTTAACTGTGATATAAAAAGTTGCAATGAGAAATAGATATTATTTTGATTACAAGGAAAATGACAGTACCACTTAAGTTTGCTAAGCTAGATCTAAACAAATAAGAAAACCTTTAAAAATGTATCCTTATCTGTTATTTAAGGAGTACATATGTCTAAGTCATTAAAAAGAGGAAAGGACAGGCCATCTAAAAACCTTACACAATGCAATGAGCTATATATATGTAGGATATATTCCAAAAAAGTAAAAGAAAATTAATAAAAAAAACCCACTGGACTTTGTTTCCCAAGATTGAAGACGTTTCACATCCCATCCTTGAAGTGTTTTTTTAATTCAAAATGTCTGGATTAGTACTGCTTTACAGGCTTTATAGAGTAGCGCAAAAAAGCCTTGTTTTGGCTTTAACATGCAAACTGAACTGAAAAAACAGGTCCACTCCTTAGTAATGGGAAATCGTTGAGGTTGTTGTTGGCCTGCAATTCCCAATACTGGCCTTTGCCTCTGAAAAGGGAGTTGTTAGGGTCATTGTTTTTTAACATTTTCTGGAACGACTATGTACTGGATGACTGAGAATCTTTACCAGTATATGTAGAATATATATGTTTAAAACACAATAATCACTGCTTTCATTTTTCCTTCTCAGGAGGAACAGTTTATAGGCATGATGACGGACCTGCAAAAGCTTAAGGACGCCTACAGCACGCAGAATAAGATCCAGCACCCTGAAAAGCCCCACATCAACAGCAACTGAGGCCAAACAAAAACTAATCTTTTTTTTAATCATTATTCAAATTTCTGCATTTCAAGAATACCATACAGACATTCTGGGTGCATACATGTGCAAGGACATGTGAGATATCCTGTCTGCGTGATTTTCTTTATTAAATTCAATCCAATTCAGCATCAAAATAGACAGGCAGCATAAAATTGATACTAACGTGTGTTTGTATGACATTAGACTGTTTAGATTATCTGTGTGTGGTACTATAGGTTAAAAAGTGTGTGTACAAATAAGTGTGTATTGTCGAGTGGGTTAACGTTAGTGAGTTTGTCACCTGGAGGTTCACACTTGTAGGAGAGCATAAAATGCAAAACCCCCACCCCACCCCCCCGATCCTATTTTTCCCCATTCATGCCCTAACACACCCAGCCCACCAGACCCTATCTCACCAATGGACCAGGGACTCTGGGGCGGCGCACCAGAACCTCCAACTCCACCAAACCAACTAGGAGCGATAGTAGGTCGGACGAGAAGGGACACTTTTGTTCTTGTACAGATGTCTATGCTAAGCTCAATAAAAATAAACGTCTGTTTTTGTTTTGCATTTTCACTTCTGTTATATCCAAATATCAAATGTGTTTGACTTGCAAGCTATTTTGATCATGAAAAAAAAATCTTCAGAGTCTAATTTGTCAAGTTAAAATCCAATTCTTCAGATCCAATAAATGCAAATTAAGCATTTAATTTTGATTGTTAATATGCAAAAACGTGAAATGTTTTTTACAGACCAGATGTTAAAGAGAACAAAGGAAAAAAAAAATCCCCAAATATTTCGATTCAAATAAAACAATAAAGGCTATACCAAGCATTTGTCCAGATAGTGTTTACTTTGTCATTATTGAGCACAATCAGCAAACATAAGACTTATATTGGCAGATTGGCAACTTCAACAGTGGCAAATATTGTATCCATTAAATATTGATTAAACTTTTCCATCACTATAACTAAGATCCTAAGAATAGCTTTACTCTCACTAGAATTTGTACTGATAGTTCATTGATCTCTATAAATAAATAGAGATCATTGAGAGAGTTCCCATCCTGTGCACCAAACACAACAGCAACAATGATCCGGAAGCAGCTTTTCACTAAAATTCTTTAGTGTAAAATAACCACAATGGCTGTTTATTGTTGGACACAAGGAAGTACAAACATCAGCGACAAAGAGTTTCCAATAAATACCCAAAATTAAAAGAGCTGAATGCAAGCAAACTTTTAAACTAATCATCGATGAGGGTTGCTGGCTAATATCCAGAAAAAAAAAACCCAAGCCATCTGATTCAGTAAGCGCATTTTCAAATGTTTTAAAAGAGTGGATGTACTCTGTACACCTCTGATTTCTGGTACAAGACAGTCCCGTCATCTACAGAGAGACTCTGATGACTCTGCAGTCACTGGTGATGGTTAATTGAAATGCAGCTAATGATCTCTAGGGACAGGTGTTCCTTTTATGAAAAATAAATAAAATAATATATTTTTCAAAAATAGTCTATATTTCAATTAAACAAGGATTTTTTTAATGCCAGTTGTCAAAGCTACAGTTGAAACAAATTTAACTTTAGAAGTGATTCCCAATCAGGGGTATGCATACCCCTAGTGGTCCGCGAGGGCATTGCAAGGGGTAAATGAAAATATTTTATTTCCTAGGGAATAAAATATAACCTGGCAGTCGGAACTGGGTTGAGTTCTATGTTATCAATCTGGGATTGCTGCCGTTCAGTTTGTCCGTGAAAAGGAGGGACATTTAGTACAATACTTTGAGGCTGTCGTCATTCCTTCATATCCCGCCCCAGAAAACACTGCTGGCATGTCATTGGTCCCACCCTCAAGAGTCTTTCAAGATGGATTTGTTGTGAGAATGAAAACTCAGATCTAGCGACAATCCAGATTGCAGCACAAGGTTAAATAAAATAGGTCTGAAGTCTGTTTTTCTTTGTGAGGACCCACTTTAAAAATAAAGCAAGCATTTATCAACCAAAAAGTAAGTTCTCCTTAAATGTTTGAGTTCACCTTTAGCCTTGACACACATCCAAACCAACCGTAACACAAACACGATGTAGAGAACAGCCTGGGATCAGCTGTTTTTCTCACTGAGCTATCAGAGCTCATCAAAGCAGCTCAGGTGTCTTTTTGGAAAATAAACTAAAACTAATTAAGTCAGTCTGAATATGATTTTTTGTTCTGTATTGTATTCCAAATTCATCAAATTGAAATGTGATTATAAGGGAGTTACTCGGAGGAGCTCAGGTTTTACAAATACAGGTTTATAATAGGATTTTGTTATGTATTTATTTCAATCCTTATTATCTTTAAAGAAACATTTTTATGTTTTCTTATTTGAGATGGAACGCATAAAATGATACGAATTAAATACTGTACTTAAGCTAAAAGATTAAGTAAATTTGTTTTTACTTTATGATAAGTTATTGTACATTTCACTTTGGGACAGTCAAAAACTATTTGATATAACATAAATATTAATATATCTATCATAAATATTTGTAAAATTCTGTTAAAGGCACCGTAGGAGATCTTTTCTGACACATTTTTTACCATGTGGCTTAAAGATCTCCCCACAGCTGCTTAGCAAGCAGTGAAATAGAAGGTCTTTAAGTGAAACTCAAATAAATGTTCCCCACTGCAGTGAGAAATCAATGAATAACCTAAACCAATCACAAAAGACGGTCCGTTGTACATGACTGGTTCCAACACATGGCGGTGCGCTGTCACTAGGAATCCCATTGAACAGCAGCCTCAGGCCCGGTCGTGTCCACGCGGTTTGCCATGGCGGCAGGAAGGCGTTTTTTATGTACGTAATGCAAACTGCAGGCACCAGGATAATAAAAGTGAACATGTTTTGCTGGCAGATTATGGCATTTTAAGTTAATATAGGCGTTAATAAACTGTTTCAGAGGAGTGATCATACGGGTCTTCATCATCAGTGCTGCCCGTCTCCCTGCCAGCTCCCAGATCAGCGACGCGCTTCTTTAGCTGCTCAGATGGGCTGTTTTGTAGGCATGGTTTTGAGGGGTTCAAAGGGAGAGGCATGGTTGTGTATGTTCAAAAATATAGCTTGCTGGAACCATTTTTCCGAGATCTCCTACTGCACCTTTAAGTAAGTACAGCATAATGAAATACAAGCATGGTTTTGTTTTTTTCTTATTTCTGCCTGGAACTCAATTCTTTTGGAAAAACACCCTTTTATTTGAATTTTCAGTAGTTCATTTATATATATATATATATAAATATATATATATATATATATATATATATATATATATATATATATATATATATATATATATATATATATATATATATATATATATATATATATATATATATATATATATTTTTTTTTTTTTTTTTTTTTTTTTTTAGAATGCCAGGTCTAATTTCCAATGTCAGTGCACTCTGACACTGATTAGCTCTATAGATATGAAGGCTGTTTTGATTCTTTATCATTCAATCAAAAAAAAAGTTGCTTAAATCAAAAAATATATTTTCAATAAAAAAACCTTCATTTCAATGAACAAAAAACTTTTCAATCAAAGAAAAAAGTATTTGAATGCAAAAATATATTTGAGAAAAAATACATTTGAACAAATCTTTTCTTTGATTGAGAAGATTTTTTTTATTGAAAATACATTTTTTTTATTGAAACCACCTTTTTTTTTTGTTTGAATTATAAAGAAACAAATCTACCTTCATATATACACCCCTCCCATGAAAACTGTAGCTCCGTCACTGATTTGTTTTCATTTGACGTAGCTGACCTCTATGGCAGGCCGTTTTGCATTTGAAACATCTAGAATATATTATCCTGTCAAGCTAATAAATGTCAAAACTGCCTGCCATAGCCTCATCTAAGGCAGGAACTTGAGTGTGAACAGGTTTCTTCAGGTTAAAGTCCTCCTGCTGTAGCCGATTCCTGAAAGACCCGCTTTCGGTCACGTCCGAGGAAAACTTGAAGGTATGGTTAGAGAAATAAAATAAAAATTATTTAAAGCGGAAGCTTCCTAATAGCGACGCTGCTCGTTCACGTCACTGTTGACATAAATGTCTTTCTTTCAAAATATGTTCTTGTTTAAAAAAGAAAGTCGAATAATACTAACTTGTCGGTTTGTAGGTTTTTGGTTACCCTCGTTCTTTAATTTTCATCGTAAATAAATAATAAGTCTTACTTTCGTTTTATTCCTGCCGCCGCGCCTTAAGTTTCGTTTGTTCTCTCAGCAGAAGGTTTCATGATGGCCGAAGGAGAGGATTCTGGGTTTTCTCTCATGAGCCTGGAGGATGAGCTGACCTGCAGTATCTGCCTGAGCACCTTTGACTGTCCGGTCACCATACCCTGCGGACACAACTTCTGCCAGGGCTGCCTGCTCGCCACCTGGAGAGACTCGTACAGCTGCCCGCAGTGTCGGACCCTGTTCGCCACCAAGCCGGAGTTGAAGAAGAACACGGTCCTCAGCACCGTGGTGGAGACCTTCAGGGTCAGGGCCGTTAAAGGAGAAGGTGCTGCTGCTGCTGCTGCTGCTAAACCGGAGAAGAAGAAGAATGTAATCCGCTGTGACACCTGCATGGAGGCAGAGGCGGCTCAGACCTGTCTCACCTGCATGGCCTCCTTCTGTGAGGAGCACCTGCGGCCCCACAGAGAAAACCCCATTTTCCGCCTCCACCAGCTGTCTCTCCCTATAGGGGATCTGATGGAGCGAATCTGCTCTGACCACCACAAGCTGATGGAGCTCTTCTGCACCCAACACCAGCGTCCCATCTGCAGCCTGTGCCTGCAGCAGGTCCACAGAGGCTGCCCCTTTACCACTCCAGAGGAGCAAAGGAGCCTGAAAGAGGTTTGCTCATTCTCATCATCAGTGGTGTCAAAGTACATACATCTGTTACTTAAGTAGAAGTATAGATACTGCAGTTTAAAAACACTTTAGTAAAAGTTGTAAGCATCAACTTGACCTTTTTACTCAAGTAAAAGTGAAAAAGTATGTGTCCAAAATCTACTTAAAGTATAAAGTAACCTTTAAAAAAAACTGTCATATGCCACTATATGAATTGAAAGCTCAATTTTACGACTATTTTGAAAACTTCTTTGAGATGGGGCCAAGGATGAGGGAGGTCTTGTTGGTCTCCATCTCCCGATATGCTCTCGCCTGTGTCCGACCTTTCAGCCATTTCAACATCCATCCATTGTCTAACACGCTTATCCCAAGTGGGGTTGCGAGGGGTGCTAGTGCCTATCTCCAGCAGTCATTGGGCGAGAGGCGGGATACACCCTGGATAGGTTGCCAGTCCATCTCAGGGCAACACAGAGACAAACAGGACAAACAACCATTCACACACACATACTCACACCTAAGGGGACTGTAGAGAACCCGACATTTCAACATCTTTTTCTAAATCCTACGTTGTAGCATGGCCTAGACAATTTACGTTTGCAGGAAAACACCTGCTTGCTTCTGATTATTTCCTTTGGCGGCAGCACAAATTTGACGAATAGCTAACCAATGAGTGTTTGCGTTATATGACTCATTAACTACACTAGTTTTCATTGGATGTGGATAACATTGTCACTACCCGATCCGTCCCGGAAGCATGATCTGATTCTGTGCATGCGCGAACAGATATACATCTGGGTGTCCATATATACTGTAATTATGGTACTAAAACCACTTATTCCTATCCTTAATTCACTAAAGAATGTTAATGCAAATCTTTAAAAAAATGTTTTATGACTTTAGTGAGACAATGTTTATGCTTTTTACATTTTCTTCGTTAAACTGCTTCTCTGCAGTCATCATCAGAGATGCTCAGAGCAGTCCGGCAAAATATGATTAAACCATGTTTATCTGCATTTTAGTTGTTTCTTTCTTTAGATTACACACTATATGCCATAATGTTAACATGAGAGGAAAACATAAAACTCAAAAAGACTAGATTTATGTTTAAATCCAAAGTTGAAAAAGTTAGCCACGGGAATTTGCGTATGATCCCATTTCCGGTGCAGGTCGGGCAGAGACGAGTGATAAAGCAGAAAGGTGTTTAAGGCATTTATTTTCTCAGGAAATACATTATTAACCTTTAACACATTATATTTTAGTATGTTTACTATTTTTGGGGAGGGAAAAGGTCATTTAGGTATTTTTAACGAAAGAAAATCGAGGACGAAACGGATGTATATCTGGAGGTGCATGCACAAATGAGCTGAGGGCGCATGCGCAGAACGGATCGTGCTTCCGGGACGGATCGGGTAGAGACAGGCACCAATGATCTGCATTGGATGGCGCACATGACGTGAAATAAATATTTATAAACATTAAACCATAGCCAAGAGTAACGAGTAACGTTTGTTTTAAAAATGTAAGTAATACAAATTACAGATACTTGTGTGAAAATGTAATGGGTAGAAGTCAGAAGTAGGAAGAAACTAAGTAATGGAGTAAAGTATAGATACCTAAAAAGTGTACTTAAGTACAGTAACGAAGTATATGTACGTGATACCTCTGCTCATCATACAGACAAATGGATAAGGGAAATTACAGTTTTTAGGAGAGAAAAGGAGAGACATGCGGGAAAAGACCACAGGCTGGATTCAAACCCTGGTCGCCCAAGTTGAGGACTAAGGCCTCCGTACATTGGTCATGCGCGCTAACCACTGTGCCACCTGCACACCCAAACTGGCTGTAATTTCTAAACTATAACCAACCTAAATTGTAAAGATGAAAAATCTAATTGTTCCAAGGGATGAATCGGTTACAGGCTCTTATTATTATAAGAAATTGAGGAAGTATCACTTTGCAAAAACTATTCCTAATAAGTAACTCGTCTTATTCCATCGGCAATTTGTTTAAATAACCTTCTGAAATCAAGGAGTCAGAGGATGACGAGAGCACATACAGTTATTCATAGTCAGAGAAACAGGACTAAACTGAAAAACAGGCCAAGCTCCAACATCTAAAAAAAAAAAAAAATGGTGTTGATGGCAGCAGCATATTTCTCTCCATGATGGTGTACAGGAACAGGACCAGATGAAACTACCATGGTGAGAAAAAAACAGGAGCATAACATTAGAGATTGAACTAACACATTCTGTAGAATGTCCTATGTCCTATGTCCTCCAGCAGTCTAAGCCTATAGCAGCATAACTATAGAGATAGCTTTGGATAACTTGAGCCACTCTAACTATAAGTTTTATCAAAACGGAAAGTTTTAGACCTACTCTTAAAAGTAGACACAGTGACTGCCTCAGGGACTAAAACTCACAGTTGGTTTCACAGGAGAGGAGCCTGATAAATAGAAGATCTTTCCTACTTCCAATCCAAACTTAAATCCAATCTAAATCAAGTGATTGACTAATCAGCTTCTTTTTTCAGATACTCTGGTTCAAAGACAAAAACTTCTGTTTTGTCAGAAAGTTAAGAGTCATCCAGGTTCTATGTCTTCAGACATGCCTGTAATCTATGTAATGGGTTAGTTTCATCAGGATTTATAGACCGATAGATATCCACAGTTTACCTGCGTCAACACACAATTAAATGAATCAACAGGTGTCAGTGAGTGCATTCCCTTTTAAAGTCAGCCGGTGAGTCACGGGGTTGGAAGTAGCTAAAAAGTTTGGGAGTAGTTCTTGAGAAACGGAGAGTAAAGCAAAATCAAAGATGGCATCAGAGCCATTTGAATTTCTTGCATTAACAATTTACAATGATTATCTGGAGTAACAGATTATGGACAACTGAAGCTCCCCTGATGGTTAATGCCTGGAAATGATCAGATGTTGTTGAGTCACTGACTTTATTGACTCTTAAAGACATTTGATTTTATATTGCAAGCAACTCTGTTAATTGTATTTATTAATAGTCTCAAAGGGCGTCGGCTGTAACACCAGTTTCTAAGCAGGGAATGTGGGATATACCTGTGGCTGACACACAGTTTGAAATTATTTATAGACCATATCATACGGTGGGCGGCCAGCAACCTAAATCTCCTTAGTGGCTAAAAAAATGCCCACATATCATATATGCAGACGTTTTCTGTATAATGTGCATGCTACAGGGTGTAGATGATCAAATTTGGTGTCCTGAGATAGCACCAGAAATGTTAATTCAGCTGCATCACTAAATTCTAGATTATTTCTTTTTTTTAAATCTTAGTGTCCAGAAGATACAATTACAAAGCCCTGTGCAGAGTTTGACTTTCCTCCATAGTTCAAATAATGTGTAGCTGCAATTGGCAACAGAAGGCCTCAGTTCAAACCAGTCTGGGCACTGGGCATGTCCTATTGATTGACCCTTTTCTAAAGCAGACAGGGAGTCTGTGTGTAACCTTAGTTGTTTCTCCAGCATTTGGGAAGTAGTGTGTAATACACATGGTGTCTCAGAGTGCTGGAATCTTTTAGAAATGACTGGACCTTTGTTTTCTTTGCATCTTCATTGTTAAGCTTGTCACTGTTTTGTTACAGATTGGTTGCATCTTGTAGTTTACTCTGTCAGTCTATTATATATAACATGCATTTAAAGTGGCGGTTTCTATTGCAGCATGTTGTCAGCTAGCGTCACAACAACTCTTAGTCCACTATTTTAATGCTTTCAAGTAACAATAACCTGTTCCTTTCTTTCTTCAGTCACGGACACAATAGAGTGTAAAGCTGAAAGCGTTCTTCTTCATATCCACTGTTCATTAAGGCAGCTTAAACTACATTAGCAATATAGTGCTATTTAAGGAAAGGGAGATCTGATTACACCCTAACTACAATGGTACAAAGTACATCTATTCAGTTATACTCCTTACTGAATAGATATAGCCTTTATTTATATTTGATGGAACCAACAATCCAAACCATACCAGTGATAACAATAAACCCTTTGAATTTATCTAACTGCTATAACAATAATAATTGAACTTTATTGATCTCACATTGGAGAAAATTACCTCTGCAATTATCCCATCCCCTTGGGGAGCAGTGGGCTGCCATCGTGCGGCGCCTGTGGAGCAGTCTGGGGTTAAGGGTTTTGCTCAGAGACCCAGAGTTGCAGTCTGTGGGAGTGGGGCTCGAACTCAGAACCTCAGGATTCCAATCTCTATGCCCGAACCACGAGGCCGCCATCCCCCCCATTAATATGATCCCAGAATCCCAAGTGAATGCATCATGTTTTTGTTTTTGTTTCTTTTTACAGTCTGACCTGAGAGAGAAGTTGGGTTTTCTGGATGGAAAGCTTTCAAAGAATGAGACAGTTATTTCTCAAATGAGGGCTATGCAGAACAAGTTAAAGGTTTGTTTCATTTAAATGATTGAAATATTTGAATAAAGGTCTTTAAGCCAGCTGTTTTTATTTGGGTTTTACATGTGCTGATCTCGTCCTCTTTAGGAGTCAGCCGTCCACAGGAAAAGTTCCCTAGCAGCCGGGTATCAGCAGATGCGGGACATGCTGGCCAGAGAGGAGGGTGAAGCCCTGAAGGCGATAGACAAAGAGGTGGAGAGTGGTGAAGTGAAAATCAAAGGCCTTATCACAAAGTTGAGTGATAATGTCAACAACATCAGCAAAGCTAAAGAGGAAATCCACATTCTGCTGGGTCAGTCCCAAACCCTGGCCTTCTTACAGGTGGGATAACGTCTATACATCTTTTAAATTACTATTATGTTACTATGCATTAAACTTCTTTTCACATTTTTGTCAGGCTGTATCCACAAACTTCAATGAATTCAACCAACTCAATACTCCGTTTAGAATATCGGCTTGGTGAATTCAACATTTTTAATTCTACAGTGTCAGATGAGCCTTAGAAAATATATTTGTATTTTATTTTTATAAACACATTTGAATTGGTTTCATTGTCATTACCTGTTCATGCATCTGTGATATCTGGTTATAGTTTATTACTTAAAATAAAAAAAGTCAACTATGTTGTATACAGGCGACTTTTTGAAGTTCTGGAACATTTAGGTCTAGAGCCCAGGTGGGGAAATCTATTGACAAGAAAACTATTAGTGTTGAACTAAACCAATCTGGTCTGGTGAAACAAAAGGTCAACTATGAAAGCACCTTAAACTGATTGAAACATGGCGGTTGCTATGGCATTGTGTTTGTGTATTTATTTAATTCATGATAAAAAGATCTGAAAGGGGAAAATAATTTAGAAAGTATAATAAATATTTTGGAGAGAACAGATTTTAACAATGATAGCAAAACTGATGTTTTTTGAGATGAAATAAAAAGTTTTGAGAAAAAAAATACTTTGTCATACAATAAATAAAACATTATTGAAAATTGGAAAAAGCTCCCCTTAAAAAATATATTTTTGGTCTCAGATACAGTTTTTTTGCAATCAGAGTGAAAACATTTTCTCTCAAATGTAGATTTCTCTCTGACAACCTTTTTTTTCCAGCTCTTAAAAGCTAAGTCTCTGCTGTGTGTGAGTATTGTGTTCCTATTGGCCAGTCTCAACAGAATTCCTATAGCATCAACAATCACTCCCTTAACATAACAGCAAATAGAGATATGAAAAAAATAAAATAAAATCTCACTTTCATATGCTGTCAATTTTAGCACATGGTAACTGAAAACATTACACATTATGCTTTAGTGCACAAAGTGCTTTAATGATGGCTTAAAAAAAGAGCTGGAGCCAAAGGAGTGTGGCCTAAAGTCCAGACCTAAACTCCGCTGAATATCTCTGGCACGACTCGAGTATTGAGCCTTTTAAATCTGACTCAAATGTGCTGTTTGGCAAAGAACAATGGGCGAAAAACTTTTAGTCTTCAACTGTGCAATACTTATTGAAAAACTGGTTCTTACTTTAATAACAACTAAAGTCTTCTTGACTTATATCTTATTACTTTAAGAAGGAATCAACATTATGCTAGTTTAATAAATAAAATGAAAATAAAACACCTTGGTATGTAGTTTTTATGCAAACTTCTGTTTTATACTTAGAATTGAAAAGAAATACACTTAAAATGCAAAATATTTACTGTAAGCATTATCTTGGTTATTAGCATTTTTAAATGCACTAAATGCAAACCTTCAGAAATGGAATATTGATATTGTTTCTGTCCCAACAGAGTTCATTCAACCTTCCCCAAGCTGTAAGCTTTGATCCCTACACCCCTCGAATCACTCTGGACTCCAAGAAGGTCGTACAGTCCGAGGCCTTTGCTATGACACTGAAGAACTATCTGATTGAGCTTTTGAAACACCCTGTGGAGGCCAGAATCCCAAAACTCATAGCAGGTGACCATGCTAACACATTTATACCAGGAGTTTTTTTACCCTGAGCTGATGTTTTATAAAAGTGCAGTGAAGTAAATATACAATCTTATTGCAGACATTAATACTGGCGCATATGCAGTAGGTGAGTGGTTTCATTGGTAGAGTGGGGAAAAACAGGATCCAATCAAAGAAAATACTCTAAGTCATGCAATGATTTATCTGAGGGGTGTCCCATTGGATATTAATTTCATGAATTAGTTAAAAAGATGAATAAATACCCAAACTTATTTTTCAGGTGAAAAAGCAGCTTATGAATCAGGGCTTGGGCCTTCCAGTCCTGGAACTAATGTGGAACCCGGTGTGTCTATCTCTCTGACCCTTGGTTTGATTTATTTTGTATTAAATATCGTACTTTTAGAGTAACATTTCTTAAATTACATTCTTTTTGTTATTTTTGTAGTGCTAAAGTTTCCTCAGTTTAGGCTCCAGGGTCCAGGTCCTCAGGCCAAACCCGCTCAAAAGAAGAAACCTCAAAGTAAGAAATGTTTTTTTTCTCCCATTTATTGAACCCATACATCTAATTAATTGAATCATTTAAGGCAAAAATCTGCAACGTTGTTTTCAAATTTTATTGTCAAGCCAAAACAGGATGTCCTTATGAAGATGTCACTCCCAAGCTGAGAGATAAATGGGTTGCAAAATGACATCAGGCTGCAAATCTCTTTTTGATTTTTGCTGTTGAAACATGTTGTCCAAACATAGCTAGCCTTAAAACTGATATAGATGACTACTTCTCAAACACTACGGAGAGATACATAACGATACTTCATCTCCCGAGGAGCTTTTTGACCACCTCTTGACTTGGACCAGGTTTAGGACCGAATCGAGACTCTGAGTCCCCAGTGTCTGCTTCAACCTGGGAGGGTATGATGAGATCATGCCCTCCATGAGATCCTCAAAGTATTCCCTCCACCATCTCATTTGAGGCCAGCAACACCCACCGTAAACAGTGTTAACGCAGCTATTCTTTCCTCTTTGGAGGCGCTAGATGGTTTTTCCATAGTTGGGAGTTTAATGTGCCTCTTATGATATGGCCTGTTGAGTTTGTTCTATGGAGGACTGGGAGAGTCACTAAAATATCAAATTTAACATTTAGATCCTACAGAAATATTGTTTAAAAAGTATTTTCTAATTGTTAAATTGAAATTATTATACAGGAATTGTAAATTATAGTAATTTATTAATTATATTGTGCCAGTTGCCCCAGTAAATACTTTTATTCTTGAAAATGTTTTTAGTATGAATGATCCATGACTTGCATTGTAGTTAGTTAATGGAAACTCCACTCTGGTTCAGATGCAGGGACCCATTCAATCAGTGCCTCCATATTTGTAGTATTAATTTGATTTTGAGTAATGTTTTCCTAATGTATTGTTATTGTTGGATAAATAAATGTATTCCTCTCTAGAAACCAAAACTGAGAACACTCTAGGAAATAAAAAACTGGGAAAATCTATGGAAAACCTGCTGGAGTTTGGTGTGAAAGAAAACCAGAAGGGCCGTGCTGCTGCTGCTGAAAGCAAAGAAAAAACTGGTAGGTACCAGATTTAAATGAGCATAAAGCTGATTGAGAATTATCAGCAATTTAAAAAAAGAAGTCAGTGTTTCACATTAATGCTTAAAACTTACATATCAACAAATGAAAATATTGTTAAGTTAGAAGTCAAATCACTGATGCAGTTCAAAACAAACAAAATACAAAATAAAAAAACTAAAATATTTCTACCTAGCTCTTGTTACAGAGACTTCAGAAATTCCCACAGAGATAAGTTCTGCTGAAAAAAGAAGTGACCTTCTCAAATGTAAGGAAAACAAATGTTTTTGCCTCCTTTTTTATTAGCAGGTGTTTGTCATTAAAATTGTCTCCTGTTCTGTTTCTACTAGACGGCACTGTGCTCACCTTTGATCCAAGAACAGCCCATAAACGCATCGAACTTAGTGAGAATTTAACCAAAGCCTCAGTGTCTGATGACCACACGAAGTACCCCGACTGCCCCGAGCGCTTTGCCGTCTGCTCCCAGGTCCTCACCTCCAAGGGTTTCTCTGCAGGCCGTCATTACTGGGAGGTGCGGCTTAGCTGCAACAACTTCATCGGCATCGGCCTGGCGTACAGCAGCATCGACCGAAAGGGTCCCACCAGCCGGCTCGGACGCAATGACAAGTCCTGGTGCGTGGAGTGGTTCAACGTGAAGCTGTCTGCCTGGCATAACAGCAGGGAGACTGTGCTGGTCAATCCTAGCCCAAAGCGCATAGGGGTGCTGTTGGATTGTGAGGAGGGAAAGGCTACGTTCTATAATGTAGCAGACAGGGCTTATCCCTTCCACTCCTTTGCTTTTCCGTTCGCTGAGGCCGTCTACCCAGCCTTCTGGATTTTCTCCAGTGGCTCTTACATTACTCTGTGCAAGCTTCAGTAAACTACAGCATACAGTTAAATATGTGAACTGTATGTATTATTGAAGCAGGAGAAAAACGGCAGATTAATTGGTTTCATTTACTACCAGTTAGTGTGAAGTTTTGGAAATGGAAATTAATCTTAAAGGATCATTGCTAATGCTCCTTTCGGCTTTAAAAACCAAATACTATCAGTATATTTGTTGTTAAAGCATACAAAGGTTGCCCCAGCCTTGTTCCTTTTAACATTCTTTTGGTTTAAAGGTATACTATGCAGTCTGAATTTCAAAATTGCATTGTATGGAGGACCAACTCTGCCATATATAAAAATAAAGACAGAAATAAATAAATGCTCAATAAATAAAGAAGCATACAATTAATTGCCACCAAAAATACAATAAACAAATAAATGTAAGTAGAAATTAAATTATACAATGAGACATAAATGTATATAACTTTTAATTAACTTCTTTATTTGCTTTTGTAATATTTACCTTATTTATTTTTTGTCCTTTATAATCTTCAACTTTATTTTTGATTACTTATATTTTTAAGTATTTATTTATGTGCATGTTATGATATTTTTGTCTGTTTTATTCTTCCTTTGTCCTTCCTTTTTTTACCCTAGTTATTTCTTCGCCGCCATTTATGATGCGGTAAAATGCTAACCAACCAATGTGCGGAAGGTGACCCCCTAGGACACACCCCTCCTCATTTGCATAATGAGGCAGAAATGCAGACAGAAATGTAAAAAGGGCAGGCAGAAATAAATAGCGGCGAAGAAATAACTAGGGTAAAAAAATACAAAGGAAGAATAAAACAGACAAAATATTATAACATGCACATAAATAAATACTTAAAAATATAAGTAATTAAAAAATAAAGTTGAAGATTATAAAGGACAAAAAATAAATAAGGTAAATATTACAAAAGCAAATAAATAAAGAAGCTAATTAAAAGAGTTATATACATTTATGTCTCACTGTATAATTTAATTTCTACTTACATTTATTTGTTTATTGTATTTTTGGTGGCAATTAATTGATTGCTTATTTATTTATTGAGCATTTATTTCTGTATTTATTTTTATATATGGCAGAGTCAGTCCTCCATAGAATTGGTGATGGGTTGGTTTTAAAGGCTGCAACATGAAACAAGAAGTAATACTTCATCACACCATGTGGTTATGTCTTACTGTGCTCTGCTTGGTATACCTTTAAATACTTCTTTCTTCAATGTTTGTATGTCAGTCATGGTGTTCTCCTCCATATGTTGGTATTTCTGGGGTTCTGGTTTGACCGTTCATAAGGTGGTCTTAATGGCAGGAGAAAGAAATTAATGATTCTGTCCAGTCAGATTCTGGGCAGACAGATGAAAGCTTTACTACACAAGATGGTGGTAAGAGCTGATGGCAGATCATGACAAAAGAAATAACTCTTGCACGATTTTGCAGGAGCTTATTTTGTGGTCATATGACGACAAAATAAACTGCTGCTGGTTTTGGGTAAATACTGACTAAGCATTTACCTTGAGTTATACTCGGTGATCGGGAATCACTTGCTTGGCTTATTCCAGTTATGGGATGTATTTAATGATAACATTTGTTAAAACATCCAATGTAATCTAGGAATAAGACTGGGATTATCTTCCAATCAGTGGGGATTGGAGATTGTCACAGATTTGCTTTGTTTTCTTTTCTTATACTATTCCTACACAGAGGGATGCAGTAGAGAGTTGCATCGGTGGAACTACTAGATCAGATTATTGTTGAGATATCAAAATTATAATCTGTTCAGTTTTGGATTTTCAGATCTGTCAAACCGTTGCACAATATCAGGGGATGGTTTATTGTAATGTTATTAATTATTGCAATGACTATCAGTTCTGATAAATCCACAGTGATGTTGATCACAATTCAGGGAACCTCAATTAAGGGGTCTACTGGTGGGTTTAGAAACTGTCCGACTCTTTAGCTGGTGTTGCTCTGTCCTACCAAGGAGCAACCTTTTTTTGGACAAACACCTGTAAGGTCTTTACTTTGACGGCTGGGTGTTTGTTCCACACAGAAGTATCAGGTACTTTCAGCCTCCACATCGTGCTGCGAGAAGCTTAATATTTCTGCTCGAGTCAGACTAAGGCTTTGGTTCTTGCAAAATGGAGGCTGGTTTCTAGAAGGGCATCAAAAATATTAGTGAATAATAGCTTTGATTGGATTTAACCCCCATCTTATCCCAAAAAAAAAAGAAAAACATACTTCACGTATTGTCAACAATCATTATTATGTTAAAGAGGGACTAATTTAGTATAAAACTGGATAGACTCTTTAGTCACAGTAAAAAAAATGTCAAAGCCTATTTCTGATAAGATGAAAATACCAGACTGGCCCTTTAAAAATGTCCTTTTCATAACCAGAGTTATGAGAGGGAGTGAGTATATTGAATTTGTTGGGAATGCAAAGCCTTAAGAGTCGACTTTCTCATTTCTTTGACTGACTAAAACAGACATCATAGAGTCTGTTTTAGTAAAGAAATGAAACAACAGTCTCCCTGATCACCTGGTAGGCTTTTTGCCTTCTCTGGTAGAGTTTGGATGATGAGACAATTTGGAGAGAGGAGATATTCCACCCAGGTCCAGATCTGAACCTGAGTCTGTTGAGCTCTCAACGCCCCATAGAGATTAAATACTATAATTGCTCTATGGTAGGCGGGTGAACTCACTGAGATGCTCCTCTGGCTTATTCAGCCATAACTGGAGGGTGTGGATGTTTTCCAGATTAAATCAAGCTTGAATGTCAGCTGTGTTTAACCCGACAGGTAGTTTCTGTGTAGCCTTTAAAAAAGTCGTTATGGTTCTGTCTATTTAGTTCCCTTGTCCGTTCTGAAAGTAAATATTCTGCTGTTATCTTTGTTCAGACATTATTTTTAACAACTAATGTTTAAATTGCAAAGTTCTATGAATTGTCTAATTTTCTGCTTGAAAACTGCTTTTATTTTTAATCACAGCTTCATGTACTGTGTTGTGTAGCTAGATGTGTAGATGTAAACGAATCAAGCAACCATTTCTCCTCTTGGGTTCTAATGCACTGCTCTAGATAAAACCTTATCTTACTTTAAGATAATATGACAATAATCAGTTGTAAAGTTTTATTTTTCTATTTCATGAGTGACTGCATGGGTTCATGTTTTTCTTCTTGTGTCTAGCAAAAGCTTGTTGTCAGAACTTAGTCTTGATGTTAATTTGCAGATAAAAATTACATTTGAAAGTAAAAATATCACAAAGTATGCAATATGAAGCAGAATGACATTCTCCACAGTGATGTTATAGGAAGCTTGATGGCGTGTTTAAAGCAGCCATGAAGTGCTGATTAACATGGTGTCACATGTATTTTATGATGAGCCCCTCCTTTGATTTATGATTCAGACAATGAACTTGCATATTCATCTGTACAGAAATCATCAGGCAACAAACATTCAGGCTTCTTTTGTGCATGTGCTTCTGTTCCAAAATCCTGTGTTGCAATCCTTTGTACATCTGAAACTCAATAAATGACATTGAATTACATGGAAAAGTCGCTTTATTTTAGGAGTTGAAATCAGAGTGAAACTTGAAGTACTTTATGAACATTAAACAAATGGCGTAAATATTAAATATTCATGTGCTCAATACATGTCTATGCACGCATATGAGTGTATGGGAAGTAAGTGTGCATATATTGACGTCTTTATTTTTATGTCTACCAAGATTTTAAATGTTTCAACGCAGAAACGATTTTATTAAAGAAATTAAAGTAGAGGTGCTGAATTTTATATCATTGAATCTTGATCCCGAAAACTTTGATTTTCCAGATTTTATTGCTACTAACTTGATCAAAACAGCACTAGCTCTACTCTGAGCTTTTTGCTGTTAATAAAGCATATTTTATCAACAACTCTGTTGGATTAAAAGGCAAAAATATTCTGCTGTCATGTTCGCAAATGCAGCAATCGTATCAGAAGTGTGTTTCTCATTTAGATAAAACCAAAAAATGGAAATCTAGATAAGTTATTTTTTTCTTGAATTGAGCTAAAAGAGACATTTTGCCAATGGAACGAGACAATTTACATTTAAAATAAGAAAACACAATTGCATTGTCTTATTTCAAGTGCATATTATCTAATTATCTTAAAGAGTAAAAATCGTCATTCCATTTGCAGATAATCTTATTTACCTATTCAAAACAAGAGTAAATACACTTAATTTAAGAAGTTTACTTATTTCTAGATCAAAATCAATTGCCGTTATGCATTGCTCCTTTATATAAGTAAATCCCATTTTCTGTTACAATGGTTTTCATTTTTCCAGATAAAATCAGAGTTCAATTTGTTTATTTCTTGTATAAATATAGAAGAAAGAGCTAAGGATTTTGCAGGATAAACAAACCTGGATAACGATTCCATTTTAATCAGTGAGGTCCTTCCAAAAATAGTCATATCCCTTTGTAACCATTATTTAATATAGTTTTGTTTTTCCCCCACAATATTTTGAAAGTTTTTATTCTTAGAAGGGTGTGAGCTGGGGATATAGAAACCTAATTATTGAACTTCTGTGCTGACAGGAATATTAAATAACACTGTTTCTGGATTTAGACTTAGAAAGACTTTATTGTCATTTTGTACATTGTGTATACAGAAAGAAATTTCTTTCAGTACAGCTCTCAAGATATCTCCATTTTTAAAGCGCAGCAGTGATAAAATGTAAACATAATGGACCACCATGAATTATCAATATTAGGATTAAGACCTAAATAATTTCATCACATTCAAAGCAATTTGAATTTGGTCCTCGCTTTTTAGAAATAATGCTGTTTAAACTGCTAACTGACTGATTAAAATAGATTTTTCATTGATATGCAGACCTTGGACCTCTGAAGATTTTAGATGAATAGAGAGTAATTCAGTGTCTGTGATAAACATAAGAGGGGGAGAGACTACAGCCTTGTCTGATACCACGATTAATATGAAATCTAGCGCAAGTTCCTCATGAGAGGGAGACAGTGATATTAATATCTTTATACAACATCCTGATTATTTAAAAAAAATGTTTTCAACAAAGCCAAGAAGTTTTAAAGTTTCAAATTTAAATAAATGCTCGACGGAATCAAAGGCTATGTTAGAAATTAGAAATAAAGGAATGTTGATAATCTGTCTTTTAATCTCAGTGCTAAGATTGGATGCCAAGTTGTTAAAATGTATTTGGAAAAGTGATTGGTCTAAATTATTTAGTATACGTTTGTCTTTACCAGGCTTAGGAATTCATTTAATCATACCCTGTTTCATGGCTGTCATGAGTTCGTTTGAAGCTATTCATTCGTTTATTACTTCAAACTTTGGTCATTTTAGATCCTCCCAAAACTTTTTATAAAAGTTGGAGGTTAATCCATCAGGGCCCAAGGAACGGTCAGAGGGAATTTATTTACCGTAATTGCAGCATCAAATTCTGCTATATAATTATCATATAATCTTATAAAATTATCCTCACACAAATCTTGTGGCGAGTGGTTAGGGCATAGAGCTTGGAATCCTGAGGTTCTGAGTTCGAGCCCCACTCCCACAGATTGTCACTCGGGGTCCCTGAGCAAGACCTTTAACCCCACACTGCTCCCTGTTAGCCCCATGATGGCAGCCCACTGCTCTCCAAGGGGATGGGTTACATGCAGAGGTAAATCTCTCCAATGTGAGATTTATCAAGTTAAATTATTATTTGAAGGAATCATCTATCTTTGAGATCAGATGATGGGTTTATTAAAAAAATATCTTGTGCAACTCTGCTCATTTTGAGAGGAGAAATTGGAGACTTCGTTTGATATGTGAACAGGAATATTACACTCTACCATTTCCTAATAAAGACAGTGAATTTGTTTTTTGTTGTCTTTGTTTTTCTGATCTACAAAAATAGTCTTCAATCAATTTGGCTAAATCTATGTACCGGTATGCATTATGTGCCTATTTAAGAAAGATCTCATCCAAATCAGACTGATTTTTTAGGATATTCAAAACACATGTCATCTCAAGGCACTTTACGGCTCACTAGATCATACAGTCAAATTGATTCAAAGTTTTCTATCTAAGGAAAACCAGTTGATTGCATCGACTCATTGACTGGAAGGCAATCCCTCACACTAAGCATGCTTGTAGCGACAGTAGAGAGGAAAAACTCCCTTTTAACATGAAGAAACCTCCAGCAGAACCAGGCTCAATATGAGCAACCGTGTGCGGAGGCCGACTGGGGTTCAAGCAGATAGAAGCAGAGATACAAAAAGCAGCTGTAAAAGGGCAGCCCCGTCCAGGAAACACACAGCCAGGCAGACGAACTCTGAGCCAGCTCCCATGTCAGAGGATGAAGAGAGCACATCCAGCCAGTCATAGTCAGAGAAACAGGACTACACTGAAAAACAGGCAGATCTCCAACATCTATAAACAAAGATGTTGATGGCAGCTGCACAGCTGATATTTCTCTCCAGGATGGTGTCACAGCCAAACAGGAACAAACGAGGCAAAACTACTATGAGAAAAAGCACAGAGAGCATAACGTTAGAGATTGAACTGACAGATTCTGCAGAGTCGGAGAATAGAGGTAGAATGAAGCAAAAATGATGAAATAGTAATGGTATGTGAGGATTGTTTGAACTAAATCAGAGCCTATTTTGTTAGTCACCCTTGTTGTTTTTTGCACTGAAATATATAGAATATTTCCTAATAGAACATTTTAGAAATTCCCATTTTTGTAGACTTGATGATTTGCAATGATAATTTTTCATATCTTATATGATATTATATGATTTCCTTTATACAACAGCAATATTCATTATTTTTTAAAGAACGATGAATGAAGTTTCCAAAAGATCTTTTTAAAGTATTGGTGAGCAGTCATGAGATAATTTTCAGGGACTTCTAGTGACCCAGTCTTGGTAGATTGGTATGAGGACGCAGCTGCTGAAATCGAACGCACCCATTCCTCTCGCGTCCGCTTTCCGTGCGTAATGCGGAGAGGAGTGGCTTTAATTTGTTGCTGGTCATATGATGTTATTTAAACAAACAAGATCTAGCTGGCAAGAAGAAATCCATTCCAGTTGGCAGGAGATCCCAACGCTGGCAGCAGAGGTAGGTGGACATAAGCGGCAGATTAATTATTTATTTTCGGCTCATTTTGTGCGTAAGTTTCGTTTCTTCCTCGCGCAGCCCCGCCGTTGACAAACACTGCGCAGCTAATCATGGCCGACTTAGAGGATTCTGGGTTTTCTCTCATGAGCCTGGAGGATGAGCTGACCTGCAGTATCTGCCTGAGCCCCTTTGACTGTCCGGTCACCATCCCCTGCGGACACAACTTCTGCCAGGACTGCCTGCTTTCCTCTTGGACAGACTCCTACAGCTGCCCGCAGTGTCGGACCCCCTTTGAAAACAAGCCGGAACTGAAGAAGAACACGGTCCTCAGCACAGTGGTGGAGACCTTCAGGGTCAGGGCCACTAAAGGAGAAGGTGTTCAGCATGTAGATGAGGAGGAGGAGGGTGATGATGATGATTATGAGGAGGATGAGGATGATGATGAGGAGGAGGAGAATAATGTAATCCGCTGTGACACCTGCATGGAGGCAGAGGCGGCTCAGACCTGTCTCACCTGCATGGCCTCCTTCTGTGAGGAGCACCTGCGGCCCCACAAAGAAAACCCCACATTCCGCCTCCACCAGCTGACGGATCCCATAGAGGATCTGTCTAAACACATCTGCTCTGACCACCACAAGCTGATGGAGCACTTCTGCTCCAACCATGGCCGCCTAATCTGCAGCCTCTGCCTGCAGCAGGTCCACAAAGGCTGTGCTTTCACTTCTCCAGAGGAGCAAAGAAGCCTGAAAGAGGTATGTGGGGTCTTATTTCAACAGATTTTTATTTTCTGACAGCTCTGATGCTCTATAGAATATCCTTCAGGAATAGTTGAGCACATTTGCTTTTACCAATAAGAATAGTACTTTCCTGCGTAATTATTCTATTTATGTAATGGTCCTCACAGTTCTATTAGTTTTTATCCATAGTAATTAAGATGTTTTCTGATTCAAATGACTGCTCCTCCTCTGCATGCCATCCTGTTAACCACAACTTTGTATCTAAGGAAAACCAGTTGATTGCATCGACTCATTGACTTGAATGCAATCCCTCACACCAACCATGCTTGTAGCGACAGTGGAGAGGAAAAACTCCCTTTTAATAGGAAGAAACCTCCAGCAGAACAAGGCTCACTGTGAGCGGCCATCTGCCGAGGCCGACTGAGGTTCAAGGAGACGGAAGCAGACATACAGAAAGAAACAGATACAAAAGGCAACTATCAACTAGCTCCACAGGCATTAAGGAAACACACACCCATGTTAGAGGATGAAGAGAGCACATACAGTTAGTCACAGTCAGAGAAACGGGACTACACTGAAAAACAGGCCAAGCTCCAACACCTATAACCAAAGGTGTTGATGGCAGCAGCACAGCTTATATTTCTATCCAGGATGGAGTCGCAGCCAAACAGGAACACACCGGATGAAACTACTATGATGAGAAAAAGGGTTAGGGTTATTGGAAAAAACAAGTATTGCACAATGTGAGAATAGAGATACAGTAGAATGATGAGAAAGGGATCCCTATGTCCTCTAGTCTAAGCTTATAGTAACATAACTATAGAAATAGCCCAGGATAACCTGAGCCACTCTAACTATAAGCTTTATCAGAAATTAAAGTTTTAAGCCTACCCTTAAAAGTAGACAGGGTGTTTGCCTCATGGACCAAAGAGTAGGTAGTATTCCCGTAGGCATGTATTGCCATTTTCTCTCCAGTTTCCTAGCATTTTGCTTCAGAGTGTGCAGCTCTGCATTAAATCAGGCAGCCAGCCTTCTATTTTTTAAAGTTTTTTTCCTTTTCAAAGGGGCTGCATCGTCTAAGGCAGTACACAGAGAACTAGCAACCCCATCAACAAAATAATCAATTTGTGAAGGGGAATAAACTATACTTTTGCCCTCTGCAGCATTGCTCAGTGACACAAAGCGTAGAGAAAGTGAAACGGATTCTTTAAAATGTACAACTGTATTATCTGATAGTGCCAGAGTGAAACCTTCTTTTAAGAATTCTGTTGAATTAATCCTGAAGACATTCAATGCCATATATCAGCACAAGGTCCAAAGTATGAAGATGAATATGTGTGGGACTGTTTACATTTTGAAAAAACCAATAGCATCTAAGATATCATTAAAGGCTGCACTTAAGCTATCACCTTCAATGTCTGCATGGATTTTAAAATTCTCCACTATGATGATCCTGTCAGTATTCACACCAAATCAGATAGGAACTCTGAAAACTCATCTAAAATGTCAGAGTAAGGACCTAGTGGATGATAAAAAGTTAACAAAAGAAGGGGGTTTTGTGGCTTTGCTATTTGAATGAGGGAAACTAAGGGTTAAATGTTCAAAGAGATGTATTATTAGCTACCTTTGGAGTAATCATTAAGTCCGACTGGAAGTTGCTGCTTGTTGCCCTCCTTGCCCAGAATTACTACAATTTATGAATTTTTACATCTGGAAAAAAATACCAAAACAGAATAACTAACTTTAACATCATAGTTCAAATTCACTAGCTTCTGCAGTCTTATTTGTTGCCTTGTCATTGTCAATGGACATGAAAGGTAATTTCTTTATTTTCTTAAACTAGTTTTTAGTTTGATTATTATTAATATTAAGCTTATATTATGTCCAGGGGTGCAAGTGGTAGTTTCCAGTAGTCCTGCTATATGAAATAAAATGTATTGACTGATATTGATTGTTGTTGTTGTTGTTTTTTTTATTATTCACTTCATAGGAAACAGAGAAAACAAGGAAATACATCTTATTTAAATAGAAGCAGAAACTATTAGTAAGAAATACTCAAAGAAAATCTATGTGCCTTTTCATCTGGGTCTTTATCCAAAAATAAATGATACGCAACTAAATATTTATTCTGGATATAATTTAGGGATTCCTTTGGTAGAAATTAAAGGAAGTTTTGCATCACTTACTATGAGCTGGAAGAAATCAAATCCTAATAGCTAGACAAAGGTATTTTTTTACTTTTTAATTGGCAGATGGTGTTTATCCACCCCAAACTGTTTATTAAGTAGCATGTGCAGACACAGTTGAGCATTGAGCTGCTGAGTGCACCACTGGGGTGGAGCGCAAGCGCAGACATGGAGCTAAGAGACTGCTCTCTAGACGAGCTCAGCTGGCAGAGCAGAGTTTTTAAGAGTTGAGAGCGCATCAGACATGTATTGAATGAGATTAAAACATTTTACATTTGTCTCACCTAACTCTCAGAATTGTAACTATGGACTAAAGTTGGCACAAAATAGCAGACAGAACTAACTGCATCTATTGGGTTGCTAAGTTTGATTATTTTTACTCTTGCACGCTACCAACTTTGAATTCCTTGTCTTTTTGTTTGCCAAGTTATCTAAGCTATTTTATTTTCATTTATTATTTCTGGTCTTTCTTAATCAGAGATGGACTGATGGATTAATAGATTTATGCATTTTTCACAACTTTGTGCAACAATTCAAAGTCCTTTATATGGATGAAACTGTACAATACAAACAGAATAATAAGATAAAATCCAATTACACTACTTCCAAATATCAAAGGCTGCACGAATTTGTTAATTCAGTTAGAGCCATACATTGTTTTGTTTTTTCCTGTATGTATAATGTTTCTATAAGATGAAATTAATAATAAGCGAGTTTTCTATCATATGCTGGCCTCTGCAATTTATTTGAAAAATGTGAAAGAGAGCCATGATTAAAAAAAGGATGACTATTTGTGTACATATTTTGTCTTTTGTTTTTAGCTTAATTCAAACATAAAAGTGACAGCAACTATTTATTTTTTATAAAGATTGCTTTTTTCCAGTCCTCTACTAGGCCTAAAGTGGTTCCCAACCTTTTTGGACTTGTGCAGACCTTTTTGCATTTTGTCTTACCATTATCATTCTAATTTCATTCTTTGATTTCTTCCTCTGTAGTCTGAGTTCAGAGACAAGTTGGGTATACTGGACTTAAAGATCGACAAGACTGATAACATTGTGCTTCAGATGAATGAACTCCAGGGCAAGCTCAAGGTAACTTTTTCTCCCCTCAAACCAAAGTTTATAAAATGCAGATGAATCATTCCAATTGTTTTTATAACCACCATCCAGGATGCAGCAAACAAGAAAAAGATGGCGCTGGCTGCCGTATACCAGCAGATAAGGGAGATGTTGGCTCAGGATGAACGTGTGGCCCAGCATGAGGTGGATTGTGAGTTAGAGGCTGGTCAGAACAAACTTGGAGACCTTACCAAGAAGTTCAACGACAACAGTGAGAGGATGAAGAAAGCCAGAGAGGAGGTCTACAATCTGCTGAGTCATGCTCAAACACCAGCCTTTCTTCAGGTGGGTTCAAGTTACTTCCTCTTTTTGTAGCACCACCAGAAACATGCTCTTTTTTTTTCACCAAAATCCACATTTATAACAATGAATTATGAGTTTCTCTTATTACTTAATCTATTTATTTTTTCCACAGGCATCTTTTGAGCTGCCCAAGGTGGTTAAGTTTGACCCCCACCCCCCTCGAGTCAACCTGGACTCCAAGAGGGTGATGGCAACCCAGAGCTTTGCTACTACCCTGCAGGAGAGCCTGACGATGCTCTTCAATCAGCCTTTTGAGGCCAGAGGGCCACTGCTTAAACCAGGTAAATATACCAGTACATCATAATCAGTAATGTTGTGTTATTTTTTTCTCCATACAATAGAGCTAAGGCTGTTTGATAAATATATTTTTTCCCGACAGAACTGAACACCGGCTCTGATGCATCTGGTGGGTGAAAGTTATACAGAAAAAATGGATATATCAGAAATAAATACCTTTTACTTTGACATAGATGCAGCCACTTTTAATGATTAGAAGTGTGGGAAATATTCTGTGTCCTGATATGAGCTTTGTCTTTCTTCAGGGAAGGCAGAAGCTTCTCTCCCAAGGGCTGAAAACAGTACATCCTGGACTGAGTCCCGTATGTATATATTTATTTTGCCACAAAACGGGCTTAGATCAGATTTTCTGAAGACTTTTCACCAGTCCTTATCAAATCTGTCGGGTCTCACCGGAGCAATCTCTAGTCGGAGCGCTAGTGTTTTAACAAGCAACATAAGCACATCCTGAGCACATTTTAATTGGATGCAATTGATAGACTTGGAGTATTTATATAATTTATTTGGAATGAGATTCGGGACTGAATTGTAGATGCTTGGAAGATTAAACCACATCTTCCCCCTCTGTTCAGTGATGGTTTTTCTCTTTTTAACAAAGATTCAATTCACTTTATTTATATAGCGCCAATTCACAACACAAAATGAGTTGATTGCATCGACTCATTGACTCGAATGCAACCCCTCATGCTAAGAATGATTGTAGCGACAGTGGAGAGGAAAAACTTCCTTTTAACAGGAAAAAACCTCCAGCAGAACCAGGCTCAGTGTGAGTGGCCATCTGCCGAGGCCGACTGCTTCTGTCTCCTTGACAGAGATACAGGCGGCCCCGTCCAGGAAACACAGCCAGGCAAACGAGCCAACTCCCATGTCAGAGGATGAAGAGGGCACATCCAGTTAGTCACACTCAGAGAAACAGGACTACACTGAAAAACAGGCCAATCTCAAACATCTATGAACAAAGGTGTTAATGGCAGCAGCACAGCTGATATTTCTTTCCAGGATGGTGTCACAGCCAAACAGGAACAGACGAGGAAAGATGGCTTCCTGTCGCCCTCTTTCAAATAATCTTTCCAATATCTTTCTATTAATAATTTTTTTTTCTTACATAAAGAATGCTGGAGTTCAGGGGGAATATATTTGTTAGGTACTTTATTCTTTGCTTTTTTTTACAAACTTAAGAGTTTAATATAAGAAAAGTCATAGTAGTATTGAAAGCAAATATGTTTTATTATACATGTATGTAATGAAAAGGCAACAAATTCTCTTAATTTCATCTGTGTTCCAGAATCCTATCAGCCACCAGATCAGAGACCTCCACCCAGGTCTCATAGTCCAGGTTGTCCACCTATCCAGACAGTCTACCAGCCGGTCCATATTCCATTTTACATACAGGGAAAGCCACCATGGAATCCAAAGCCGGGTCAGTCCACTGGTTTTACCAGGCCTCCGTTCTTTCCTGGACAGAAACCATGTGAGTAGCAAAAAACCCAAACATCAACACTCAAACCCAGCATATCTTACCAAAAATAAACCACCAAATAATTAAAAAGCTAAATGGTAGCATACTAACTGTTGGTGTTTGAAGAGCTCCAGCTCAGAATTTTTCAAACTTTAGCAGCTCACAGACAACCAAGAAAATGGCAGGAAAACCTTTGTTTAAAGCAGCCCATTTAGCTGTGTCACACAATAGTGGAGATGAGAGCCATCCACCCAAAACCAAAGATAAATAACTTCCTGTTCATGATCCATTCAGCACCATACCCTGTTCACCTCTGGCATCTTGAGTATTTCTGATAATCAATGAATTACAGAGTTTAAACTACTCTACCCAGGAATACACAATGCTAATGAATATTCAGCCCCTTAATGCATTTATAACCAAGTATGGGTGCAGACCTCTTCAGCTCAGGGTTGTGCATCAAAATAAAAGGAAAAATCTGCATAGAGGGGATAAATGGCTACAGCCTATAGAGCAGCCACTCCTTCTATGCAGTATGTGCCTTGATACCTGCTCATGGAGGACAGAGGTGATCAGGACCAGGATGAGCCTGAAAACCTAAAATTCAAACATTATTGGAAAAATATTTAAACCCTAGATAAGTAATTTACATTTGTTGTTAGGGGTTGGTAAAGAGGAAAATTGTGCAATATGTTTTAGGATATAAAAACCTATGCTCATTGAAAGGTTCAGTTTATGCTTGAGACACGTACGTTCTGTACAGACAACGTCTGTGTATGTATATTTTAATGTAGAATAATGCAGTCCAGGTTTGAAGGGTCTAGGTGTTGGACTTTATTAACTGGCCCTGTTAAAATCAGAACAAAATGCAATAAGATCAATTGCAATAGTTTTTTATTGAACGTACACAAGAAAATTTCAACCTCTGTTTGACTATTGAATCCTTTTTTTTGGTACAGAGTAATGCATTTTAGGTTTAAAGAGTATAGGTGCCCCTCTCTCATACCCCCTTTCTTGTCAGCCTACTGTCAGGAAAAACGAGCCACTAGTTCCATTAAAAACTAAAATAAAAAAGTATATAGAGGGTTCACACATAAAACACAGGTTAAATGCTACAAGTCTTGTTAAAAAACTACTGCAGGAAAGGGAGGGATTAGCAGCAAAGCACAGCCTCTCTAATGGTGCATTCAGAGCGGGCGCGATGCCTGCTGCCAGCGGTAAATCCCACACTCGGTGCTCTGCTCTCACCTCGTGCTACTAGATAGTGCTGTGGTGTTGTAAAACAGCAGCACCACATGGAGAGAGCGGAGTGGTGATCGCTGAAGTTAAAAGGACTTGAACTTTTCTTGAAATCATTCAGGGACTCACTGTAGGTAACCCTTTTTTAAATTTTAAATGGAATACAGAGAAAATGATGTTAACAAAGGTAGAAATATGGAATGCCCTCAAGAGGTCCTTAGGTGGTTTTAAAAAAAGACATTTTAATTTAGTCCAAGAAGGACTGCTCATCATCCTCCTTTACCTCCAGCACAGAGCCCGGTCTGTCACTGCCCTGCATCAGTGCTCTCTACATGGGTAGATTTACAAGAAAGTACTGCCGAATCTCACTGTCATCTAGACACAGAGGTGAACTCCCCGCATTGCCTACAGAAATCACTGCATCCACTATGGCGGTCTGAATGCACCATAAGGATGGGAATGTGCAGCACGACCCTAAACACTCCGAGGCCATGTCTTTGAAACCCCCCTGATTCTTTTTTTTATTCAATTTTTTTTTATAAATATGGCCTTGCACACTGACTTTATTTACCTAAAGCTGCAGCTGAAAAGTCTGCCCCACTCTACCAGGCTTTATTATATGGGGCATTTTGTGCCGAACAAATGCTCGTAGCACTGGTATAAAAATGCTTGTCGATGTCATTCTTGTACCTTTTATGATGTAAAGAAATGTCTTCAATGTGAGCACTAGAGGGGTCTTATGCCAAGTCTCATGTTTGTACCTGAAACTGTTTAGGAGAGACGGCGATTAGAAAACTCTAATTATTTAGGATTTTGGCACCACCAGTATTATAAAATATGGTCTGCAGCAGCTGCACCATAATACCTCCTTTTACAGTACCTGCTGTAAAGCATTCAAAAGAAAATATTGCAATATCTTACTGTTTGAATCTTGTTTCAGACAAGAACGCTGACGGCAGCCACAAGCCCCACCAAAGTAAGTTATTCCTGTATTCTGTTCACACATTTACCACCATTGCAGGACCACACTTACTATAGCCCTCACATTAATTTCAGCTTGGATAATGTGAGGGCTTTAGTACCGTATTTTCACGACTATAAGGCGCACTTAAACGTCTTTTTTTTCCCTCAAAATGTGCGGTGCGCCCTATGGTGCGGTGCGCCTTATGTGTGTTGTAACTACGACTTTTGAGACCACCTCATTGAGGAGATGATGAAAGAGTGGCTGAATGTAAGGAGACCAGGTGTTTTTTTTTCCACTCATCACCATCGCTGTTAATATGTAACTCCATGCGTGCCCATCTCACAGCTGATGTGAAAAACATGGGGAAACAAATTAAGGCTGTGCTCGCTGTTCAACCGCTGGACATCGGTGTGAACCGGACCCAGCAGGTGCAGCAGAAGCAGCGAGTTTACATGCAAAGTCAATGGTTGACGCGCGTATAGGTGCAGCAAAAGGTCCTGCAGCGCGTTTTGAGCTGCAGGTGCAGCGCGTCGGGAGCGCGCCGCCAACGCGCTGCTGCTGCTCGAGATGGAAAAATTGAAGTTTTGCTGCTGGAAGCGCCGCATCAACCAATCAGAGAAGCTGATCTGGGAGCTGACAGCGAGACAGACACAGCGCTCTGATGACATATGATATTAACGCAAATGAAACGGGCTGGGGAGATGATGAAAGGCAGGTGTATGTGAGGAGACCAGGTGCTTTTTTCCACGCATCACCATCGCTGCGTGCCCATCTCACAGCCGATGTGGAAAAAAAAAGATGAATCAAATGAACGCTGTGCTCGCCGTTATCCCGGGGGTCTGACAAAGGAACTTCAACCGCTCGACATCGGTGTGAAGCGGCCGTTCAAAGTAAGGCTGTGAGCGGCGTGGGAGCGATAGATGACAGACGGAGAGCACAGTTTCAGGATAAGTGGAAGGCAGCGCCGGGCAAGTTACGCCACCGTTTGCGGATGGATTGTAGATGCTTGGACTAAAGTGTCTGCTGGCTCTGTTGTTCAAGCTTTCGCAAAAGCCGGCATTATTTCTGAGGAGCCGCGCTGCACGGAAAGTGACTGACAGCGAAGAAGGGGAAACTGGCATGTCTGATTTAGCGCAGCTGTTTAATTCAGAAACAGAGGATGGTGACTTTGATGGGTTTGATTAATACTTTGTAATAAATACATGAATAAAGCACAATCATACTCAGTTTTGCTCCCGCTCTATTTTTCTACCTGAAAACTTAATTCAACAGCAGCCTCTGGGCGGGTCTCCTCCTCTTCACCGCGGTGGCTGGCAGGTGTTTTTTCATCTAAATAATCTAAATCTTGCAGCTATATTTGCTGTGATCAGTGGGAATAAAGTAGTTTTAATATGTTTTTAAGTGAGAAAGTCCACCTGAAAACTTAATTGCAGTCAGTTCATCCAGATTATCTATTTCTGTCGGAGGCGCTCAGACCCCCACATGCCAGCGGTACACCGACAGTAAATCCCTTCAACAGCAGCCTCACCGCGGCGGCTGGCAGGTGTTTTTCATCTAAATAATTTACAGTGCAGGCACCAGGATACCGGCAATAAAAGCGAACATATTCCGTCGGCAGGTTTCAGGATTTTAAGTTAATTTAGGAGTAATCACAGCGCTGTGTCATCTGCGATGTTTCTGTCTCATGGCCAGCTCGCAGGTTTGATTAATTTGTAATACATACATGAATAAAGCACAGTCATACTCAGTTTTGGGCCCGCTGTATTTTTAAAATACGCAGTAGAGCTATTTAAAGGTAGTAGAGGACATGTACCTGTATATAAAAAATGCGCCCTATAGTCCGGTGCGCCTTATGTGTGTGTTAAATACAGAAATGGGACACATAACTGAGACTGCGCCTTTTAGTACGGTGCGCCTTATGGTCGTGAAAATACGGTAAGTGTGGATCTTTGAGCTCCTTTACCATTTTGACACGTTATAACAAACTTATATTCCTGTAACAGGAAGTTGTACAGTGATAATTCAATTCAGTTTATTTCTATAACGCCAATTCACAACACGTCATCTCAAGGCACTTTACAGTTCACCAGATCATACCTTCAAATTGATTCAAAGTTTTCTATCTAAGGAAAACCAGTTGATTGCATCGACTCATTGACTTGAATGCAATCCCTCACACTAAGCATGCTTGTAGCGACAGTGGAGAGGAAAAACTCTCTTTTAACAGGAAGAAACCTCCAGCAGAACCAGGCTTAGTGTGAGCGGCCATCTGCCGAGCCCAACTGGGGTTCAAAGAGACAGAAGCAGAGATGCAAAAAGCAGCTATAAAAGGCGGCCCCGTCCAGGAAACACAGCCAGGCAAAAGAGCCAGCTCCCATGTCAGAGGATGAAGAGAGTACATCCAGCCAGTCACAGTCAGAGAAACAGGACTAAACTGGAAAACAGGCCGATCTCCAACATCTATAAACAAAGGTGTTAATGGCAGCAGCAAAGCTGATATTTTTCTCTCCAGGATGGAGTCGCAGCCAAACAGGGATAGATGAGGCAAAGCTACTATGAGGATAAAGCAGAGAGAACATAATGTTAGATTAAACTAACAGATTCTGCAGAGTGGGAGAATAGAGATATGATGAAATGGGGGTCCCTATGTCCTCCAGAAGTCTAAATCTATAGCAGCATAACTATAGAGATGGCTCAGGATAACCTGAGCCACTCTATAAGATTTATGAAAAAGGAAAGTTTTAAGCCTACCCTTCACAGTAGACAGGGTATCTGCCTCATGTACTAAAACTGGTAGCTGGTTCCACAGGAGAGGAGCCTGATAACTAAAAGATCTGCCTCCCATTCTATTTTTAGAAATTCTAGGAACCACTAGTAAACCTGCAGATTGAGAGCAAAGTGTTCTGTTAGGAACATAAGGAACAATCATATCTCTGATATAAGATGGAGCTTGGCCATTTAAGGCTTTATATGTGAGAAGGAGGATTTTAAATTCTATTCTGGATTTAACAGGAAGCCAATGAAGAGAAGCCAGGATAGGAGAGATATGATCTCTCTTTTGTTGAAGGATTTTATTTTGAAGGGCTGTTGAAGACCTGGACTGCTCTTAGTACTTCCTGGATGTGTGAGTCCAGGTCTTCAACAGCCCTTCAAAATAAAATCCCTCTCCAACATTTGTTTACAAAGTTAATTCATTAAATAAATAAAATTGTGCAAAAATAATTTCTTCTGTTACAGTTAAAGTGAATTAAGGGTGTAAAAACTATAATATCTGTCTGTTTTTATCCTGTTTCAGACAAGAAGGCTGACGGCGGCCACCAGCCCCACCACAGTAAGTTATTCCTGGATTCTTTTCCCACATTCACCAGCACTGCAGTTATTGATCACAGCTTGGACAACTTCAGCTCAAGGATAATAAAGCTCATGGACCACACCTACTTGAGTAATAAATACATAATATTTATATTCCTATAACAGGAAGTTGTACAGTGGTAACAGGAAAATAGGAATGCATGTTTTCCATTAAAGATAACAATTAAAAAGTTTTCCCTTCAGCGAAATAGAGGGGTGAATATGTTGCACTCACAGAAAACTAAATAAAGCGGCATTTTGCTGAACAAGATTAACCTTCTAGCAGTTTAGTGATCCCAGATTGGTAACCATAATAAAATGGTTAAGGATATTGGGAATAACTTAGATTAATACAGGGTTTCCGCGGGTCATTAAAAGTCATTAAATTATTATTTTTTTAATTAAGGCCTTAATTGGCATAAAAATTCATTAAATGTGATAATAGTGGCATTTAAAATGCTTTATTTAAAAAAAAAAAAAAGGTTTATAAAAACTATTTTTTTTTTCAGATATATTATATCATATTAACTGGTTCCACATGTTTATGTATATGTATATATATATATATGAGAGTCATGGGTACTTGTTGATGGCATTAAAATTGTTTCTAAGAGCTTTAAAAGAGCATTAAAAAGCATTAATTAGAATTATTCATTTGTGTATAAACCCTGTAATAACAATGCAAGCCACATTAAAGCTTGTTTTCAGCCCTGAGTTTTCAGTAAAATCTTGCATGTTTTATGCTGATTTCACCATGAAGCTGTTGTATTAGACATGTTTGTCAGGTGACTACTGTGTGTCTGCTCTGATCTAGTTAGCTGTCCTTAGGACGAAGTTCATCTGTTTCTTTGCCAGGTAAAACAGTGGCTTCTGTCAGACCTGAATAACCACATTACACACTCAGGCTTTCTAAGGTTTGGCCCTGGACCTCATCCAATCCAACCTAAGATGGCGTTTAAGAATTCAAGCTTTTAACTTCCTGCATTTTGGATAAACAAACCACCCTTATGATACAAATGAAGTAAAAGTAGTACACATTTTATTTCAGAGCAAGGCAAACATCCACCAAGCGCCCAAGGAGGTCAGAAACCTGGTGGGAAGGGACCCGATTCTGCTAAGAAGGACAAACCGAAAAGCCATCCACCATCAGAGAAATGGGCCGGACACAACCCTCACCCTAGAAAAAATAAGTAGGAGTCTTCATCAGCACACCTGGTCTATACGGAGGGGACTACTAAAACCCCATGCATGAAATTAATGTTGTAATTGGTGACATTTGGGCTTTTTTAAAGGTTTTTGTTTTGGGTTATTAAACCTAAACTAATGCATTATAAATAATCTGTATTTTCCCCTTTATTCAGTAATATTTATAGTTTAGCTACCTTTAAAAATGGGAAAAGCAACTCCTTTGTGAAAGTAAAGAGGAAGGCCAGTGATTACTATGTCAATCAGTCCAATAATGGGGAAAATAGATGTTCCAAACATTCCACCTAATCTAATTGCCCACCACTTTGCGTTTGTTTGTTTAATAATTTTTTTTTTTCTGTGCACAAAGCCAGAGCAAGTGGTGAAAACCCACTATGGGGAGCTGAAGGGAAATGAGTCCAAGATTTGATAACCTTTTAATGATCATGCTTGTGAAAGTATATTAGTTGCTTCATACAGCAATACAATATTTATTAATACATTCCTACTCTTATGCAAAATTTTTAAGTAAGGTTATAGACTAACTGCCTTATGTTGATGACATGTTGATACTGTCATATGCTGTAATGTTAACCGCACTTCTTAGTTTGCATCGAGAGATATATATATATATATGTAGAAGTTAAAGCTACATTAAATTAAACAAAAATGAAGCTGGATAACAATGAAAATTAAGCGATGGCCTTTTATTATAAATACTGGTTATCTGTGGATATTGCACTAAACAAAGTAGCATAATGCTCATTGAGGTTGCACACTTTTAAGGAAACACGAATGGAGAAAAGGGCTTATCTATGTCATCTGCACATTTGTAGCTGATTTAAAAATCAAGAAATTCAAAGTTGAATTTACACTTCATGAAGTTGGAATGATTGAGTTGATCTCTCATAAAGGCTTATATAACATTTCAAACAGCAGCCTGCAGAAACGTTACAAAGAGATTATGATTCTGTGTTTGACTCTAAATCATTGCTTGGAAATGAAGTGGTTACTGTAAGCAGGAAGAGTGCCATATTTTACCCCAATGTTATACAATATATGCAATTCATTTAAATGTGACTTAAAGGAGTCTGTAGCTTGAAACCTCTCTCTTGTAAAATACATTTTTAGTGGAAATGTCTGTGAGAATGCTTGATGTTTGGACAGCTTCCTTTACTGGTTAACAAAATGCTCACGATTATTTAGCTGAAGATTACCCAGAAACATAAATCCTGAGGTTAAAGTACTCAACAGCTTTAGTTCAGTATTTATTTTTCCTTGAGCCTCGGGTCGGATTTGGCTCTTTGCAATTAGACATAAATGATAAAAGGCAGATTTAAGAGTGTAGATTCTGTTAACAATAACCAGGACAATGCAAACACAAGTCCTGATGATGCCCCTGGATGCTAGCAAATCAGCTGTTAGACCTGGACAGTCTTTAGCCTGACGACACCCTCTAGAGTAGTTTTTTTTAGTTGGTCTACAATGTGGAAGTCTGTAGTTCATTTAGCCTGTGAGGTGATGGCACGATGTTAATCCACTGATGGTCTAATGGAGAACAAAGGAGTCATTTTAAGCTGCTTAGGTTAAAATGGTAATAAAAAAAATAACACCGCCTGTTACATGCCTTTTGATTTATTAAAGAATAACTGCTTATAGCTTGTTTTCCCGAAGACCCAGAACAGAAAACACAGACACAGCTTGTTTGTATGAAAATATTTATGGGAATGTCTTCATTCAAAACATTCTCTTTACATTCATTTCAATTAAACTTGGACCATGTCAGATTATGTAAACACTTTTTTTTAAATGATTGTTTGAAATAAAGGCTTGTTTCCCCCCTTGATTTTTTTTTTTTTGTAGTTTTTCTTTAAACTTACCCTCACAATTTCCCCAAATGTAATTGATTTAACATCCTTACAGTAGATTCTTCAGTTATTTTATTTCTCACAGCAGAAATGTCAGTGGTTTAATATCCAAATAGTATTTCAGTCATTTTCTTAACCTGAACACCCTCTTCTGTTTTCTTAAACTTTAAATATCACACATGCACAGAAAGGCATTCTGCCCAAGCAATAATAATGTCAGTGACCCCACTACAAAACAGTTCTGTCGGATCAGCTTTAAATGTGAAACTGGTTCAAACCCAAAGAGCTGATCTTCCCAACACACACCTCGATTAAACGGTAATTATGTGTCATCCAGCAAGGGGACGCTGGGATTAAAAAGCATAGGCATCATACTGGCTAACTGATTCCGTTCCACCTTAGAAACTGCTGTAGAAAACTTTTTCTACAGGCTTTTCTGATATTGCTCAGAATCACATCAATCCTGCAAGCACCTACTTAACAGACAGATGTCAGGAGCAACAGCATCTTCTGAACACTACATGCAAACAGATGCTTGAACTATTGAAATAAAACAGCGTGGGACACCTCAACTTCTTAATACTGTCCTCAGTCTGCCACCTTGTGGTGATCACAGGTAAAACACGAAATGTTAAAAGGACTGCTTACACAAAGTCAAATCTCAGCAGGTGTGATTACATTGCAGTAACAGGTATAGAAGCTACATCCTAGGCAGTCTAAGTGCAACACAAGATATGTAAACAAAGGTTTTACAGGTTTAGCAAAGTGGCTCAATATTTACTTGGCAGTGCTTTGAAATTAACCCTCAACCAATCAGCTTTTGTCTTGTAGGAACATTTCCCAAGTCTTTATATTAAACTCCATATTAATAATAGACTGTATGTAAGACTAAACAAAAGGCATCGGCGCCCTTTTGAAATTTGTCACAATATCTAATCTGATAGTCCGATACAAGGCAGCATGAGGTTTTAAGCGGGGAGAAAACACGGGTTTGTTTATATATATATATATATATATATATATATATATATATATATATATATATATATATATATATATATAGTTATATATAACTATATATATATATATATATATATATAGTTATATATAACTATATATATATATATATATATATATATATATATATATATATATCAAGATCAGAAAAAATTATTAGAGACAGAAACAAAAGCAACTGCAATGACTGCAAATGCTGCTTCTATAAAATACTTGTGGTATTGAATGTAAATGCATTCAATAAGCAATTTTTGTTAATGAAAACCATCATTGTTCCTCTTCATAGTTATGCTTTGTGTTGGGCTATCACATAAAATCTATAAAAAAAAAAAAAAAATGTCCCTGACAAAGGTCGCTAATCCGTGTATCATTCGTTCTTTCTATTTTCAATTGTCAATCAAAAAACAAAAAATCAAAAATTGACTGGTTATTTTGTTTTTTATCGTTAAACCAAAAACGAAAAAAGGATTGGTTTTTCATATTTCAATTCTAAGCTCAGATCAAGAATACGAAATGGAAAAACGGACAGCAACGCAGAATTTGATTTTAATATTTAATCGGTACAGTTTACATGACCCGGAAGTTTGGTGGAGCGTTAGCTAAAAAAACAATTGGCTTACTCCCACCACGTTCGATCAAACTGCACCAGATAAGGCAGTCGGACCTATCAGCCATGGACAGTTACGTTTTATTTCGAGGATCCAAGCGTGTGACTCTTGAGGAGGACATGACAACGGAGAAAATTTGCAGGATTTTCCAGGTATAACTTTTTTCTTGAAACTTTTCTGTGCACTGTACTTTTAACTAGCAACAACAAACAGCTTCTCGATCAACATAGTGTGTGGTTCTAGCGTCGCCATGGTAGCCACTTCATTACCCCAACTGCTGCGCAAAGAGCTATTTCCGGGTCACGTAAACTGTACCGATTAAATATTAAAAACAAATTCTGCGTTGCTGTCCGTTTTTCCATTTCGTATTCTTGATCTGAGCTTAGAATTGATATATGAAAAACAAATCCTTTTTTCGTTTTTGGTTTAACCATAAAAAACAAATAACAAAATAACCAGTCAATTTTTTATTTTTTGTTTTTTGATTGGCAATTGAAAATAGAAAGAACGAATGATACACGGATTGTCGCTGTCTCAGAGGTTTTCTTTTCATTCAACTTCATGAATGTTTTGGCAAACATTTCAGCATTAACTGATTACTGAACCTTTTTTGTTTAGTTTTTACCATAAAACCGTCATAAAGGAACCACTGAGAGTTGTTGGCAACAGGACTCTTTGTATCACAGCTTCATGGCCTGCTGAAGGTTTAAATTTGGCTTTTAGAGGACTTGGGAAACATGTCAGATTTGGTTTACTGAAAGGAAAACTATTTTAAATAAAGCAGAATAAATAGCACAATATGGCACAAGGGATCAGTGCAAATACACAGAAAGCTTTCTTTAACATATCCTCACTCGTCCTGACTGCTCCAGAAAGTAAAAACGCCTGAGCTATGGGTTGCAACAAATAAGGGTTTGAAGAATCTAGACTTTTCATTTAGTTATGTGAAATATTTAAAACTATATAACTATTGCACAAAATCGATCAAATGCGATCACTCAAACATGAGTGTGCATACGAAGTAGAAACCAACTCGATCAAATGATGGACCAGTGAAATCAGACTGAAAGGCAGTAACAAACACACGAGGAGCTTGGGATCACAGTGGCCAACTAGGGGGTTCTGGAGGAGCCACAAGGCGCCGGGCTGTCCGCCTCAGAGCTGCTGGACTCGTCATCATCGTCGGTCTGCTCAGCGCTGTGGTACAGCATGAACGCCTGGGTCTTATGGGTGATGGTGATGGTACAGGGTCCCTGAGCCCAAGGCTCCCCGTCTACCTGCATTGGCATTGTGGAGCTCTTCAGAACCAGCTGAGGTGAGAAAATCACCCCACATGTTGTTATATGACATGCTCCTGATCTATAAGTAAGGTCTAACACACACAACCACATCAGCAAATAATCCTGAAGAAATATAACTGTGTGGTACAAAATTAGATAACACTGAAACTACTAAATATAAATATATTCAGTATTAACAATGTGTACATTCAGATGTTTTTTGATATTTTTATTCCTACAGGCATTCCTTAATATGTAAATAATTGAATTGATTTTTTTTTTACTTTATCAAAGTCTTTTTATCCATTAATACAGTTAAATAAAAAGGCACTAAAATATAATTAAACAAAGATAAGTGAGGCAAACAGGTCTTTCAGAGGTTTCTTTGTTATTTTCTATTTCAGACAAATTTATGTTTTACAAAAATATGCAAATAGGACAAAGCTGCCCTTTTCAGACCAGGTGATAAAATGCAAATTAGCTAATTCAGATACAACTATACATCACTAAATGGCAATAAGACCAGCTCCATGTTATTTAACCTATTGTATATACAAAACCATACACAGGCCTGCTTATATTTGGGTAACGTCCCAGATACATGAAATCACTTAAACTATCAACACTGCCGAGTCATTTCAGTTAATAAACTACATGGGCGTATTTAAGTAAAAAGATGTGATAAAAGAGAAAGTAATGCTTGTTTTCCAGCTTTGATGACACAAAAAGGTGGAAATCCACAAAGGTTAGAGATGTACCATGGACTAATTTTATGCAGGCAAAAGAAAAAAATGTTCCAGCTAAACTCATTTAGTTTTCTCAGTTTATTCTCTCCTCAGGCAAGCAGACAGAAAAAGACAAACATTTCCTCCATGTTTAAAAAAAAAACAAAAAAAAAACGCCCACCCAGATGCATGCTGGTCCTACCATTGACTGCCTTTTTATAAAAATAATTCACCCAAATTAATTATAACTAGGGGTGCACCGATTGCAGTTTTCTTTAAAAAGTCTGACCTGCCGATTCCGATTTTGGTTGATACCGATTTGATTATTTTTTTGCTATGACCAACACTTTCAATGTTACAATCTTTTCTTGAAAAACATGCCCTTGAATAATAGCCTTGAACCATTATAAACTTGTTTTAACTGAGGTAGAGCCTTGACATAGAAATGAATTAAATAATAAATATTAATTAAATAAAACAAACTTAAGACTACAACATTGGACTTTTGATTTTTTACATTTCAAAAAACAAAACTTCAACAAAAGATCAGATTAGAGAACTGTTTTAAGATTCTTACCAAAAATAAAGTGCACAGTAGTATTTTGCTTTTACAAAATCGCAAGGTTCAAGGTCCTTTGAGAACATACTAGCAACTTAAAAGAAAATCCCCCGATGCAGGAGCTTTGTGTCCATTTAAATGTATAAGCCATCTAAACAGTAACTTGCAAAATCTTACAATACTAAATCTTCTAACAACATTATCAGGGGTAAGCTTTGATCTCACAGTCTTATTGGAGTCACTTGAGCATTAGTGGCAGGTTTTTCTTGATGAATAAAAACATTTCTGCTTTTCTCATCTATTACTACTCATCCAGCCAAGCTAAACAGGCGTTCACTTTCAATGCTTGTGCATGGGGCAGAGAGATAGGTTTCCTCGTAGTAGCTTTGTTTTTTTTCATTGCTCATAAGAGCTAACAGCGGGCCATCAACTGACTGTTTTCTTCCGGTGACTTTCGCTTTAGCCCTAGCTTGATTGGTCTTTTCAAATGCTGCATATTCAGCGGCGTGGTGGTTTCTTAAATGACGAACGAGGTTTGTAGTATTAAAGCTTTTGGAAGTGGTTCCACCCAGACTAATTTCGGCCTTACAAGAATTGCAAATTGCGAGCTTTTCCTCCTTTAACAGTATAATAATTCCAAACCAACGTCATAGCTGCACCTGATGACCTGTGAACTGCGACACCGGATGTTGTTACAGTTCACTTCGACCCGGTGGGCGGGTCTTTCAGTCAGCCGTCTCTAAGAGCAGAAAAAATATGGAATAGAGACTGATTTTAAGACACTCGCGGAGGTAAATAGATCGGTGGTTAAGATCGGTTTCCTATGTATATATCGGCCGATCACCAATCACCCTAAATTAAGTAAATCGGGGCCGATCGATCGGCCGGCCGAGTTATCGGTGCATCCCTAATTATAACTAAACAAAAACAAAGGAACATCACCAAATAACCAAATAAAAATAATCTCATAATAGACATCAAACATTAAAGTAGAATACGCTTAGCTAGATTAGCCAAAAAAACAAAAAAACGTTGTTTATTATTAACAAAAGATAATTGGCTCCTACAATGATATTAATTGTAAAATTTCAAAAAGCTCAGCGTCGGCACACAGAGACTATTGATTTTGCTCATAAGAGCTCCAGAGTAGAGACAGCTTATTGAGGTCAGCGGCTCTACCTGCCTTTATCCTGCTCTAAGTAGACTTTGACATTTAGGATACAGTAGCTGCATTTTTTTCAACCATCAAATTGTGCTAATTGTAATTACAAAATAATTTTGCTAAATGGAAAAAAATATTTGCCAATAAAATGTTTTTACGCTTTGATGAGCTGTTTATTTTCGTCGCATCGCATTATTATATTTCGCTACACTGCAATGGAAACTTTTTGGCATCATATGAGTCACATGATCTGCAGCTGGACTTTACTGCCTTGTAAAAACACAAGATGACTTGAAATAGAGGAGCATGGCGCTCACTAGAGCTGTGGCTGAAATATGGATATATCTCATGTGTTTACATCCCACGCTGCCATGTTTTAAAGATTTCTCGTGTGAACAAACATATTCATATGCAACTTTAAGAGTATTTTTTACTTAATGGAAATATCCCAACTGCGTAAAGTTGCATTTTCGAAATTAGGAAAATATCTAGGGCTGCAACTAATGATTATTTTGCGAATTGATAAATCTGACGATTATTTTTTTGATTAATAATCAGATAGCCAAAGGTTCTTGAAGAAGAATTTTTTATTTTTTTTATTTTTATGGCACTAGTGGCTCGTTTTTTTCAACAGTAGGCCGACAGGAAAGGACATATGAGAAAAGGGGAGAGACATGCACCAAAAGACCACAGGTCGGATTCAAACCCGGGTCAGTCACGTCAAGGACTAAGGACTCTGTGCATGGGTCCTGCCCGCCAACCACTGCGCCACCGAGGCATGCCCAAGGAATTTTTACTAGTGCTGCATCCATGCCATTTTTTGCCCTCGATACCGATACCCGGCTGTGCAGTATTGGCCGATACCGATACCATCTGTTCGAAATAATGTGTGTGTATATATGCAGAACTGCATACTACTTGGATGTAAAATAATAGCTTTGTCAAGCTGCTGCCTACCTTTGTGAAGCAGGAAAAAACTAAAACAAAGTGAATCCAGTAGAACTTTTTATTGCCTACCTGGAATGGGTGACAATAGTTGAATAAACTTTTGGCTTTCAAAATGGTATTGGTGCCCTAATTGTCATTACTTGCTGATACCGATACCAAATCGGTTAATAAATCCGTTAATCTTAACCATGTAAGTAAATCTAATGGATATCACTGCCAGGTGGGAAATGGCGCAAAAAGACATTTTTTTCACACGTGATGGGAGACATTTTGCAACTTGCATCCTGGGTTAAATCCGATTGATAATATCAGTAGAATTTTTCATTTCTTTATTTGTATCAAATGTAAATCTTGTCAAGCACATCATAGCAGTAATGCTTCTGATGACTTTAAAACGCCTTCAGCTGATTGGTACCACTTCTTTTTCTCAGTTAAAAAGCAGAAAGAAAAAAAAAAATAAATACAGGTGCAATCGATTCCTGAGTATGATTGATCCCTTCTGAAATACTGTAGTAAAGACACAACAAATGTCGTTTTAGGTAGACGCACACGCAGGTGAACCTCACAGGACACCGTTGTGTAATTCTGTTGCAGTTTGGGTAAAATTATGTTTGTTGTAAAAAAAGGCTTAGATATTCTTTGCTTGCTTTTTTCTTGTTCTCTTTGTAATATTGGTTTAACTTTTATCAGGAAGTGATGTAGGCATAGATTCAGCATGTTGGCTGCGTTTCTGTTTGCAGTCTCAAACATTGACGCTCGAGTGTAAATAATAATAATAATAATTGAACATTACTGATCTCACACTGGAGAAATTCCCATCTGCATATTAACCCATCCCCTTGTGGAGCAGAGGGCTGCCACTGTGCAGCACCTGGGGAGCAATCAGGGGTTAAGGGTCTTGCTCAGGGACCCAGAACGCAGGGTGGGGGGATCAAACCGGGTACTTGCAACCTTCTCAGAGCACAATTGGATGGATTAAATACAGAGGTAAATTTCTCCAACATGAGATCTATAGAATTCAATTATTATTATTATTATTATTACTACTACACGCTGGTAATTGAGACCTAAATGACCTTCATAAGTTTACCTTTCATCCATTTACTTGGATGTTCGCCATTCTGTGTTGGAGCGATACATATTGTGATCTAGACATGTGGCCGTGGTTGCCACTGCAGTGTAGTACATTCATTTAGCCACTATTTCAGTTCTTGCATTGCATAAGCCAAGAGATTGGATGTTTACATAATTTGAGTTATATTTATTATGTTGTGAACTAATTTCCACAGATGGATGTTTAAGTTTGTCTTATTAGATATATTTCAGTTTATTAGGTCTAAACCTCTGTTGTTGCACTATATTTTGCCTAATGGCATTTCATTTGTTATTGCATTGAGTATTGAGGTTAAAAAAACCTGCTGACCGTAGCGCCAAATGAAATGAAAGCCTCCTTGTCTTTCTACCTGTATCCTCACTGATACACCATCTTTGTTGGCTGCTAAAGAACTAGCCCTAACCTTTTACTCCTTAACAGTTGTAATTATTTAATGGAACACAGAGAAATGCAGCATTGTGACTGATAAACATGGATTATAGCTTTAAGAGTTGAGACAGAGGAAATAAAAATAGAAAGAGGCGACTGAAGAGCAAAGCAGCAGGTGAAGTGAGGACCATGAATTAAGTTTAATTTGATTCTACAGTGATGCATGGAAGCATACGTCAGCAAAAGTAATTGGATTTACATATTATCTCCCTGCAAACACTCCTAATAAGCCGAGTAGGAAGCTCTGTGATGGGAGTGTGTGTTGGTGGGTGCTATGGCCTCACCCTGACAGTGTGTGCCTGTCCCAGTCGAACAGGGTTGGCCAACTTGACCTGTATCTGAGCACAGTGGAAGGATCCAAAAACACCCACAACCTCCAGCAGCCCGTCGTCCAGCCTGGAGGTTAAAGTCGACAGCCACTTAAGCCTGGATAAATCAACCTTTTTGGTATTTTTACAAATAAAATCTAACATGTCTGAATCAGATCAACAGCCTGAGCTCATCTCACCGAGTCGGGGGGCAGGGTTCGTCTCCCATACCATCCCAAAGCCGGCAGCCTCCTCCCCAGTAGCCGATGTTACAAACGATTATGCCCTCCAGGCTGGGCAGTGCCACTCTCTCCCCATCCAACTCCAGCTGTGGTGTTCAAGGTGAAAAAAGACCTTAAGAATTAAACTTTAAAACATTATAAAACACTATAATCTCACTAATCCCTGCTTAGATTAATTTATATTGAAGGAATTAAAAAAACAGATGATTCATCAGACCACAAAGTGTTTTTAGCTTTTTTGTCATATGGCTGCAGATGTTTTCATTTAATTTCAGATCCAAGCTACAGAGAGGGTTGTTTTAACTGAACTATAAGTTTTTTTTTTTTTATGTTATTAAAATGGACCAAACACTGCCTACTAAACATGGTGCCAGAAGGCAGATTGCTATTCTTTAACTTCCAGTATCTATAATCCCATTACCGTACACATGTCGCGGTCCAATATTTTCAAGTTGTTTTCTACTTGGAAGAATAAGCAAAGTTTAAGTTGGTTGGTTTTTCGTGACACAGATATGACTTTCAGGCATGTTTCCCACCTTTTCAGTGTAGGGCCCTGCAAGGTGCCTGATGTTAGCCTGCTTTTAGCAGTGCTGATGGGTTTGGGCTCACTTCAATACTTTCATTCAGTGGTTTAAAAGAAAGATCCATGCTGTGCTCAGCATTAGTACCACTGACAGCTAAAAAGATCCCCAGCAACACCATGTTTTTTTTTCTTTAAAGTGTTTTAGGGCTTTTTTGGGGGAGTTTAATTTATTTAATTTATGAGCAGATGCTTTTCTCTTGGTCCAACAATCTCCCAATTCACATGGCTGTATAACTAGCTATGCCGTTAGCAGCCATTGAGCAGCTTGCAGTTCCAGTTCAGCCTCGTTTTTCAAGGCTGTGCCTGAAAAAGCTAAACCATCCATTTTCATTAGAGGGTGATACTTCTTTTTAAACTTTGAAAAAAGGGCATGAATCGATAATTTAACCTAAATATTTTCACCAAATTGTGTGAATCTGCACTTCTCCTTCCAGGACCTCAGAGGGTTTTTGACTTCCCCACTGTTCCCAGTAGTTATCCAGTTTAGATTCAAACATCTGGACCCAATACTGGTTTTTTTAAAAATGTATGCTAACTGCTTTGAAACTGTAAAGCACAATAATTATGTAGATGTTTGTTTTAGGCCCGCTTTGGATTAATCTTTTTATCATAACTGTATAAAACGGAGCCTTTAACTTCTAGCAGCATGCACTAATGGATGGACTTATAGGCTTAACTTGACTTTGCATAAATACTTAAAAAGGTATTAACAGTAACCTGCTCAGCTGCCAGGTCAGAATGTGAACAACCAGGACTACTTTACTGTACCTCAATCCTCTTATCCAGATCCTTACACTCCTGCACTAAACAATCTTTGGTGCCATACAGGAAATACACAGCCTGAGGGAGGAGATGAGAAGACAAAGCCACCAAATTTAAAACCAATACCTTTGTTATTATATGAAAATCCAAGTGGTCACATTTGAATGGGATTTGTGTATTTAAGCAAAGTGCTCAGACCTTGTTTATGATGCGGCTGGAGAAGAAGGAGGGCGTTTTCTCGCGATGAGCGTGGAAGTTGAGCGCCATCAGAGCATCAGGCCCTACAGAGAAGTAGTTGTTCATGGACAGAACCTGATGGGGGAGAAAAGCTCAGTGGGTCGGCTTTGGGTTGTAAAAACGTTGGCATGTATTAAGAGGAAAAAAAAGAAATAAAAAAATGTACCTTTGGTTTTCGAAAGTAGACGCCCTTTGAAGCTACCTGCACCTTCCATCTGAAAATGATCAACGTGCAGATCAGCAGAATTAAACTGACCAAGGATAACATCCGCCTTCATGTTCAAACTGTTTTAATAATTGTTTTTTTTGGTAGTTTTGTGTCCCCACCTGTCCATTTTGATCACTTCGGCGTCCAGAACATTACGGAGAACCTGCTCCACGGGGATCTCTCCAGCATACCCAGCTCCCCAGCCTAAAGTGTTGGAAAGGTCATTTCCTGTTCCCAGAGGCAGAATGGTCACCCTGGGGATGAACTGATCTTGGTCCTGAAAGAAAAGGAAAACATAGGGAAATATAATAACATAAAAAAGTACAAATATAGACTTAGTGGCATGGAGGGAGCAAAAGTGAGCATCTTTTAAACCTTTTTACAGCTTGTAGAACTACAAACAAAAACCGTTGGGATTTATTGGGATGCACCAACACAAAGTAAAGCAATACCATGAGGGGGAAGTTAATTATCTTTTTTTTTTGTTGGATTTTCATTTAAAGATATGCTGCGTGTATATGACTTTAGGTTTAGACTTTGGCCTCTAACAGGCTGTCCTCTATTACTGCTCTTTATTAAGCTCCCTTCATCAGAGCTAATCTGCCTTCCTATCCCTGCTGAAAATAAACATCCCAACAGGATGATGCTGCCACCACCATGTATCACAGAGGGGAACTGCTGCATTTCATGTGTTTTTTTAAAATGATATCATCATTTGATAAGCGGCTTCCTGCTGACCCCCTACAAGGCTACTGGAAAACTGTCACTCATAGTTACTATGAGTTCCTTCTTCTCCTCGTTTTACACTAAAATCCAGATATATGATACTAATAGTTGTCCTGGTAAACACATTCTCCCAATTTAGCAATGAATCTCAGCAACTCATCCAAAGTCTGTTTCCAGCTGCTCTGTAGAAGTCCATATCTTGGTAGGTTTTTGGTTGTATTATGCTCTTTCCATTTGAGATAATAAACAAAACAATTTTTCATGATAATTTCAATGGTTAGGATTAGGGCTAGGCGATTCACCGGATTTTTACAATTACCTTCATTCACTACGATAAATGGGGCAAATTTTCCCATGTCGGTAAATTCGGTTAATAAGCCGGCAAATAATTCTGCTGTTTTTCTTGTGTGCACTGGTGGCTGGTATTTCCTTCCCCTTTAAAGCTGCGTCACACTGGACGCAGCAGGATCAGCAAAAACGCGTCTGCTGCTTCCTTTATGCTGCTTATACCAGTTTAGTTCTGACGCACGGCTGAAGCATCTTTGCTGCTCTGGCTGTGCAGTGGAAAAGTGTGTCTGACACGCGTTGGGCGGAGCTACTCTATCCTTTCTTTGCCCTGCAGCTGTATTTGCTGTGATCAGTGGGAATAAAGTAGTTTTATTATGTTTTTAAGTGAGAAAATACACCTGAAAACTTAATCAGTGCACTCAGTTCATCCAGATTACCATCCTGCCTTACAATATTATTTCTGTCGGAGCCGCTCAGCCCCCCACATTCCAGAGGTGCGCCTGCTGCTCAACAGCACATTTTGCTGCGTCCTGACGCTCGTCAACCATTGACTTTGCATGTAAACTGGCTGCTCCTGCTGCGTTCGGTGTGAACGCAGCATAAGAAAGTGAAGCATGTGCGATCATGTGACTCCACTGATCCGGTCAGAAGCAAAATAAAGAGAATGATGGATAACCCCATTGAAGAAGCTTCTAACATAGCTGAGCGCGCAGAGAAGAGGTCAAGAGGGCGTAGTCAGAGTTGTGTGCGTGGCAGACGTTTTTGAGCGAGGATGCGAGGGTTTAAACGACGTACATTGTTCTCATTGCACACTCAGATTGGTGGCACCAAAATTACGCCACAGATGTTGAGCAAAAGAACACGAAACGCTAATTTTTTCTGAAATCGGGTCTATCAAAAGTAACACATCCAACCTCCAAGCTGTTTAGTTTAAAGATGTGCAAAAGGCTCCATTACCTTTGCACAAAAATGTTTGCAAGAGAGGAAACATTATTCACCTGTTCAATGAGACATTGTTTAATGTTCAAACCTGAATAGGTACAATAATTTAATATTAAATTGAAAGTAATATGAAATGTGATTTATTCAATGTATAAATTATAAATAGCTCAGTTGCATTTCCTGCACATGCCTTTAATTCTGATAGAGCAGCTGGGGAATTTATTGTTATCGAGGTAAAACTGTCCAATTTAAGGTGATACTGATTTGAGGTGATATCGCCCCGCCCTAGTTAGGATACTGTTTTATAAGCTCTGGTAAGAACTTGACCACAACGATCATTTGTTTCAAATGGTTCTCTAAAAGTCCTCAGAGGTTTTCATAGAACGTATACTGAGATAAAAATGATGCATAAGAGGACTCCATGCACTCAGGGGACTTTTAAAAGCATCTGGATTATAGTTAGGACTGTCAGAATATTAGGAGACTCAATACAACTTTTAATTATAAAACATGTGAAAACAATAAATCTTGTTCATGTCAAAACTATAAATTTAATGGTGCTGGTCTGCATAATTGTCCCTTATAAACAAGTACAAGATCTCTTGTAATGCACCAAACAGGCAGTGGTGCACATTTCCTCCAGTTTTCTTTACACTTGGTCTTGATTAAAAGTATCTTATTATTGTAAAGCTAATTTAAAAGGGTTTGGACCGCATTGAACATAAAGAAGATATAAAAATCTTACCTTGAGCTTCATTGCATCAATTGCATCCAGGACCCAGCCCACAGTGCCATCACCTCCACATACTAACACCCGGACCCTGCCGGGGGGGAGTAAGGTGCACAGCTGGAGGGCTTTGGAAGGAGTCAGCTCAGATAGGTCAAACACCTGGAGAAGGACGGAGACGTTCTGATCAAAATGGAGGGCGACACACCTGGAGGGAGACAAACGAAGCAAGAGACACTGACCTGCACAGGGTTGAGAAGGGTTCGAAACTCTCCCAGCAGAGCCTCCCCCATGTTGTTGCCGCTTCGTGTGTTGGCCAAAACCAATACAGGAGTCCAGCTGCTCCCACAGGAGGCCCCCAGCTGCAGAGCGCAGAAAGAAACAAAAAAATGGGAGTACAATATTCATTTGTCTGCTTAGATATACAACTTAAAACTATATAAGAAAAAATGGTCATTTAAGCCTTACCTTGCTGAACTCATCAGGATGCCGGCGCCGCAACTTGTTGACGCGGTAGAGGTAGTGCGGAGGGATGATGAGGCTGTGGAATTCACCCAGATCACACACGTCTCCATCCGCTAAGCCATCAACGCAGTCGTCATGGACTGTGGTCTGACACCAGGCGCACCTTAAAGGAGGAGCAGAGGGAGAAAAACAAATCAAAGAAGAAGAAAAGAGTTGCTGCTGCTCACAGACAGTGTTGACATTTTGGGGTTAAACTAGAAACATGGGGATGAATGTGAGCGATCCCTAAGCCTGGTCATCAGAAGAAAACTATTCAAGATACAAGGTTCAAATCTGCCTGATTTTTACCCCAGACTAAAACCTAGAACGATCAACTTATTTCTTCTAAAATGATGATACAAATGTGAAACAAGCCTTCTGATATGAGAGCCAAAGACATTAAGCTATAAAGGAGGAACGTCTCCTTCTTTGTTATGGAAACCTTGAAGAGTTTAAGTGTGTTTGATCTCCGTCTGTCAGACGGGTTCTGTCAACATCCCAGGATAAGAGGAAAGGCAGACGTCAGAGATACAGACGCCGAGGCGTAAACAGTGAAGCTGCAGCTTTGGAAGCTGTACTGCTGAAAAGTAGAGGAGTAGGGCTGGGCAGATTAGATTTTGATTCATACAGTTCTAAATCGATTCAATCTGTTTTTACAATAATGAAAGTGGTTCAATTGTGTTTCAAAATACTCATGTATTTTATTTTTTCCTCTCACATTAAACACAAAGTGCAAACTTGTAAATCAGACAGTTTAAACTCATAAGAGCAAATTGTTTGTGAAAAGTGAAAAAGTGAAGCCTCACTCACTCAGACATTCATGAGCTGCATTATCTTCGATGCACAAACTACAGGTGCTGGTCATAAAATTAGAATATCATGAAAAAGTAGATTGATTTCAGTAATTCCATTTAAAAAGTGAAACTTGTATATTATATTCATACATTACATACAAACTCATATATTTCAGATGTTTATTTTGTTTAATTTTGATGATTACAAATGACAACAAATGAAAATCTCAAATTCATCATATCAGAAAATTAGAATATTGTGAAAAGGTTCAAAATTGATGGCCCCTGGTGCCACACTCTAATCAGCTAATTAACTCAAACCACCTGCAAAAGCCTTTAAATGGTCTTTCAGTCTAGTTCTATAGGCTACACAATCATGGGGAAGACTGCTGACTTGACAGTTGTCCAAAAGACGACCATCGACACCTTGCACAAGGAGGGCAAGACACAAAAGGTCATCGCTAAAGAGGCTGGCTGTTCACAGAGCTCAGTGTCCAAGCACATTAATAGAGAGGCGAAGGGAAGGAAAAGATGTGGTCGAAAAAAGTGTACAAGCAAGAGAGATAACCGCACCCTGGAGAGGATTGTGAAACAAAACCCATTCAAAAATGTGGGGGAGATTCACAAAGAGTGGACTGCAGCTGGAGTGAGTGCTTCAAGAACCACCACACACAGACGTATGAAAGACATGGGTTTCTGCTGTCGCATTCCTTGTGTCAAGCCACTCTTGAACCACAGACAGCGTCAGAAGCGTCTTGTCTGGGCTAAAGAGAAACAGGACCAAAGTTATGTTCTCTGATGAAAGTAAATTTTGCATTTCCTTTGGAAATCAAGGTCCCAGAGTCTGGAGGAAAAGAAGAGAGGCACTTCATCCACGTTGCTTGAAGTCCAGTGTAAAGTTTCCACAGTCAGTGATGGTTTGGGGTGCCATGTCATCTGCTGGTGTTGGTCCATTGTGTTTTCTGAGGTCCAGGGTCAACGCAGCCACATACCAGGAAGTTTTAGAGCACTTCATGCTTCCTGCAGCTGACCAACTTTTTGGAGATGCAGATTTCATTTTCCAACAGGACTTGGCACCTGCACACAGTGCCAAAGCTACCAGTACCTGGTTGAAGGACCATGGTATCCCTGTTCTTAATTGGCCAGCAAACTCTCCTGACCTTAACCCCATAGAAAATCTATGGGGTATTGTGAAGAAGAAGATGCAATACACCAGACCCAACAATTCAGAAGAGCTAAAAGCCACTATTAGAGCAACCTGGGCTATCATAACACCTGAGCAGTGCCACAGACTGATCGACTCCATGCCACGCCGCATTGCTGCAGTAATACAGGCCAAAGGAGGCCCAACTAAATACTGAGTGCTGTACATGCTCATACTTTTCATGTTCATACTTTTCAGTTGGCCAACATTTCTATAAATCCTTTGTTTTTATTGGTCTTCAGTAATATTCTAATTTTCTGATATGATGAATTTCAGATTTTCATTTGTTGTCATTTGTAATCATCAAAATTAAACAAAATAAACATCTGAAATATATGAGTTTGTATGTAATGTATGAATATAATATACAAGTTTCACTTTTTAAATGGAATTACTGAAATCAATCTACTTTTTCATGATATTCTAATTTTATGACCAGCACCTGTATATGTGCAGCGTTGTCTGTAACAACTACAGGGTGTTTGCTGGTCAGCCTCCATTTGTTAATGTCTTCAGTCAACCTATTGGCTATATTTGCAGCTTTCTGGCTTGAAGTCATCTTAATTTGAATGTGAACATCACGCGCGTCACTATAAAACTAATCGATCTCATTCGCTAGATATCGATTTTACAAAAATGTAAAGGAATCGATTCAAAATCGATTAATACATTTTTTTTATTCAGCCCTATAGAGGAGGTTGCAAATCTTTTAAATATCAGGGCATAATTAAAAAAACTGTAGATTTGCTCATATTCAATAACTGTCCATTAAAAAAAAAAGCCAGGTTTTCTATTATGGAATGTCTCACATTATTAATCTTTTATAGATCATCGCTTCAGCTTATTAAGGTTAAATGAAACACGATAACATGAGGTTGGATTGAAAAATCAGTCTCTGTTTATATTGAGATTAAATGATTAGCCCTCCACCCAAATTCATTTATATATTATATATATCCTCAGAGAAGTAAGATGGGGACAGTAGAACCTGATTTTAGAATAGAAGTTCTACTTTCTATTCAATTCTGTATATAGCCTCTGCAAAGTAAGATAAGGTCAGTAGAATCAGATCTTAGAATAGAAATTCTATTTTCTATTATATTCTGTTCTATTTTATATATATAGTCTCTGTAAAGTAAGATAGTGACAGTAGAACCTGATCTTATCTATACTTTTAAGCTTAGACAAAACATTGCAATGAGATTACTGTTTATTTGCTCACCAAAAAACAAAACTGTAGGCTACTGACAAATACTATTTTTTTTTTTTTTAGAATATGATTTAACAGGTTACAGTTGATTATACTATGAATAAAGATCAGGTTCTACTAATCGCCACCGGATGCAGATATGTCTCAAAGACTCTTGACAACAATTTTATATTTTTCCTATTAAAAAAACTAAAATAAAGGTATATATGGACTACAGATTTACAGATTCTTTGTTTATTTACCTAACTGACAAAACCTGAATGTATAAATCCTTGCTGAGTTTAGAGTACTTTGCATATTTGACTGTATGTATGACCAGAGGCGTAGCCAGAAATTTTTTATAAGGGTGGCCAGGCAATAACCAATGTAGACAGAGGGGTGGCCAAAAGTAGATAACCTCAGAACCTCCGGTTCAATATGCACTGTTCCAACAGGAAAATAATGAGCATAACTTCCAGATTTTCTAAATAAAGACAAACTATACTTTCCCACAGCCTTTGCTAACAAACAGACAAATATATCCAAACATCCATGCTTTCTAGATTACTTACCTACTTTTATCAGTAATCTTTATGCATAAAATTGATATTTACAAGCACTAATATCTACATAAATTGATTATTTAAAATGTTTTTATTAAAAATGTATCTATGATTTCACTGAAGACTCCTAGATGACTTGCAGAGACACATCATTTTCTCTTCACCCTATAAAACACAAAATGTATTTCTGCTTGAATTCTGTATTTATCATCTTTAATGTTAGTATATTTATGTGCATAATTAACCACAGTGTTTTTGTTGTCAAGTAATTGTTAATATATGCAAAATAAAATGTTCATCCAGCTGCGCCCCTGTGTATGACTGGGGTTACCTGAGGTCGCACAGTTTGGGCTGGGTACCACACTGCTGTTTGCACACAGCACAGTAACTAGCCAGGGGCACATTTCCGCGGACCCAGCGGTGCTCCATGGTTCCGTCGGGTCGGGACGGAGCCACGATCTCCTTGCAGGGGAGGCTCCGGTCGGCCCGATGCAAACATTCCTCATCCGCGCACACGCCGCAGCAGTCGCAGTAAGCTCCGTGCAGGATGTGCTGGGAGCAGACGCAGCAGTAGGTGGGCTTATTGAACAGGTCGGTGTAATGCCAGCCGTGTTTGCTCTTCCTGAAGAACTCCTTGATGTAGGTTTTCCTCTTGGAGCGCTGCGCGCTGCACCACAGCGTCAGGAGGACCGGGATGATGACGGCCAGAGAGGTCCAGAATAACAGCGTCCACTCCTCCCTGGAGCCGCAGTCCTCCTGCTGCCCCTCGCCCCCCTCCTGGCACATGGCGGCCGCGGTTCGGACACAAGCGACGGGCGGATTTTAACAAGAGAAGCGCAGAGTCACCAAAAAGCGACGTTTTTCCGCTAAGGCCATGTTCTCTGGCATCAACAGGATGCTGCTCTGTAGTTTGGAGACAGGAAAACTACAAACAGGAAGAGGACGACGTCACCCTGACGTCACTTCTGAAGAGAGCATTTGCACATCAAGATAATTCCTCCACACGAGAAGTACAGGCTGACTTCTTGAGGGAGATTATACAAACATCGATTTTAAAGGCTGTATCCTCGTTCTGTGTGGACTGGATTCTTCGAGGTCTGTGAAAATAAGGAGACTTAATCATTTCTTTTATGAATGTAAAGAAGTAAGAAACCTATGGGATCGACTTCAGATCTAGATCTATAAATGTGGACTTTAATTCCTTAAAAATAATCCAGTTTGGTTTATATATCAATGAAAAAAAGTGGAATTCTTTTTTAATGCTTTTGATGATTTTAGCCAAATATTATATCCATAAATGTCTTTATGCAGAATGCTCCCTCTCATTCTCTGCTCTCAAAAACTTTCCTCCTTTAACCGATGTCTGAAAAACATGCAGAACCTTAAAGCAAATAAACTGTCTGATTTAATGGAAGAGTTTCAGTTAGTCCCCTCTTCATAATAATTTAATTTTTATTTTATTTTTGTTTGTTTGTTTGTTTTCCCACCCTGTTCTAACCTCAAATTTAATAGGAGTTGTGATCTTATTTTTTTTTGTAATGTTCATTATTGACGTATTGTTTGAGATTGTCATTGATATTCTTTATTTTCAATGAAAAATAAATAAATAAAAAGAAAATAAGGATGCGTTTTGGCGGTGAATTCAAATCAAATACACTTCCCTGCTGTCAGTCTCATATCTTATATGGACATGGTGCTATTGCACTCCGGAAATGAAGGGGGCGCTAGTGACACTATTTCCTGTACCAATATAAATGATCTTTGGCGCACTTGCCCGGGTTCCAAACTGCGCATGCGCGGTGGTCAGCTCCAGTGGCGCAAAGGCAACATCACACATCAGAGGGATCCAGGCAAAGTGCTTATTTAATTGCTCACGCTTTCTGGAAAAAACAAAAGAAAAAAGAAAAAACTACGAGAAGTGGGAACGGAAATAATGACACAGAATGACGTACTCGGGTTTTTGTTTTTCTTTGTAGTCGTACATAAACATAAATCACATAGATATTTATTGAGAATCAGTCTATTAAAACCCGTGGACAACTGGAATCTAGCCTCAGATGTTTTAAAGTATAAAGCTTAGTTTAATTTCTCAATTCCAAATCTAAAATCTCCCATGAAATGTGATTCTAGATAAGGTGATCAGGCTTGTCTGAGAAAGCCAGAGGAATCCGTGGATCTCCGTGTTAGTACTGCCATCTAGTGGTTGACCCTCTCCATTACTGCTGCCACCGAAATTATTACTAGCACCCTCAATGCAATCAGAATCAGAAAATCTGATTGCATTGGGGGTGCTAATAAGGCAGAACCTACTGTAAAAAATTGATAGATATACATTTGACTAGAAAATAGAGTTGATGAAGGAAATAGTGCCTGTTCTAAAATGATTTTAAGACAACATAAAAAAGCAAAGAGAAAACAGAGTAGTGATATATATGAAACAGGTGCTTTATAGGTAAGTGTACCTTTAGACTAGCTGCACAACACACTCCCCAACCACTAAACATATCCAGTACCTGCCTTTACCCTCTTCTGTTTTAATTTATAATGATATAGCTTGTGTCAAAGAATGATAGCATTAAACAATCTCTGAAGCTTAGTTTTCGCATGATGTTAATCTCTTGTTCCACCACACCCCGATGGAGCTCCATTGATTTGAGATACGGTTAGACTAAAATCCACTGAAGTACTATTAACTCTAAATCTTTAAGAAACCAGTTTAGGATGCTGAATGCACTGCTGTTAAATGTAGCAATCAGAATCAGAATCAGGTTTATTGCCATTGGTAATAAAGATGGGTAGGATACAGACAGAATGGAAATTGTTCAGGAATTACACTCCTTCAGGAGGATATAGTGTCATTCACTATCACACAAGACATTAATCCCACATACTATGACCAGGCAACATGAGTGAGTTGATTTTAACTGCAGTGACTGTTTCCTGTTTTTAATTAGAACAAGAGGCCCCAACTACGTTCCTCTGCTGTTCTAGCCTCTCTGTCAGAAATTGCCTTTTTTTTATTTATTATTTATGTGTTTGTAGCAAATTGTTTTGCTTCTTCTTCTCTAATTGCCTCTGATTTACCTGTAGCAACATTTTTAGCAGAATGATTGAAAGATTTTAAGACATTTGCAGAAATATTTCTTAAAATCTATAGCCTCCCTAACTAAAAAAAAGAAGCAAAAAAACAGCTTAGTACATTTGCACAATATTTACCAAGTTTGTGGGTGATGGGAAGGAGGAGGAAGAGAAGGAGGAGAATTCCCCCCCGTTATACATTTTGGGCTGTGGTGTTGAGCTCAGAGTAGAGAAGACTCAGGTGGGAAAGATGAAGATGAAGCTGGTGGTTGTTTTGCTTTGCCTGGTCCTGCTGACTGTTCACACAGGTAGGAATGCATAAGGAAATAAATCTGATGATAAAATCTAATTTACAGGAACATGTGGCAAGAGGATTATAAGAAAACCTTATCGTGTATATTCACTGTGTTGCTCCAGTAGTGAGAATATTTCTCTATCCAGATTATAAAGGATAAAGCATCCCATAAAAAAATGTTCCTTGTTTTGTTTGCATACATTATTTACTTTTAAAAACTGATCTAAGTAATAGCATCTAAAGTTTTTGTTTATATAACTCAGGCTGGCTGATTTCTTTTTAAGACCATTAAATATCATAGATGTCACATTTTTTTTCCATTTGATATCCGTATTTGTGGGTGAAAAAAAATTGCCACGTATTAATGTGAGGTCATGGCTGCAGTAGACTGGGCCCTAATGTTGACAAAAGTAGGAACCTTTCCCCTGCTGCTCCCTCTCGCAGCAGAGGAAGACAGTGCCTCCCTGGCTGCATGCTCGAGTCACGTGCTGCTCAGACTCCCCTCTCTCCAAGGAGTGTGAAGGATGAATGAGCACTTTGTTACCTAACTGGCCTCCTAACACAGCCCTGGGCTTACAGAGAGCAAGAGAGAGGGGACAGAGAGTCCTCATTCTGCAGAGAGCAATGTTTACAGTACCAGATCCCATGGGATTGGCTTTGGGGGGAAAAAATCTGCCTCACATCGACAAATAGAGCTAAATTGCGCTATCTGTAGACTGCTTTCAATGTGAAGGGGTGTTGATCTGATTAGCCAATACCAGCTGTCACAAAAAAGCTGGTATGTTTATGGAAAGACAAACAAAAACAGACTGAGTTTCAACGTCAAGCTGAGAATACGAGGAAGCACATTGACTCACAACCATGTGGCCAAACATTGAAAAAAAAAAACCCCAACAAAATAGCAAAAACAGTCCCTGTACTTGGTAATACAATTAACCAGAAAACAATGAATACATTCAGAATAACTCCTTTTTCCCCTCTTCAGATGCCAACCCTATTATTACAGAGAAGAATGCCAAGCAACTTCTTCGCCGCAAGAGACAGGACAGGCCGCAGAAGGCCGGCCACCCTGACGAGCCGATGAGGGTAAGGGTCACTGGGAGGCAAAAACACAAACATAAATATTCAACATTCATTTGTATATTTCTGTCAGATTTACATATCATTTTTCATATTATTCAACATGATAAAGGATTAAACATTTTATATTATCTGTCAGGGTCAATGGGGGCTGGTGCTTATCTCCAACAATCTTTGGGTGAAAGGCAGGATAAATCCTGGACAGGTCACCCAATCGATCACAGAAATAAAACAACTCAAAGCAGAAAATGACAAGAAGATCCATAAAAAAAAATAAATAAATAAAATAAAAATATATATATATATTGCTGCACTTTAGTCTCATAATTCAAAATTGTTCACTTAGACCATGATATGTTTTCTCCTGTTCTTTTTTCTATGTTTCATTCTTATCTGCACTGAAAAATGCGGTTCAGGTGTCGGTTAATGTTTCAGAAGACAATTGCAATGCTTCCATAAGTGAAAATTTGCTCTTTTTTTTTTACAAGCAACACAGCAAAAACCTATTCCATTATGAATTCAAATCCTACATTTTGACTGAAACTGTCCAGTTGAGTAAAACAGCAGCAAACATCAGTTGGTTCAGATGTAAAAAAGATACATGGAAAATCTGTGATCCTGTGGGCCAAGTTTCTATTTCCTAAGGTCCTGAAAGATCTTGTCAGATCTCAGAGCATCTGTACTCCTTTAAATTAACAAATTAATAAAATACAAATACTAAAACATCCTACTTCCTTGGCCATCCCAGTGTTTAGAAATAACTGAAAAGAGGGGAGTATGGAAGAGCACGAGAGCTTATGTGATGAATGAATTGTGAAAGATCCTCGCAGGGTCCCAACCTTGAGAATGTTGTGTCGGTCTATATGCAATAGATAGTTATGATTATTTTGATAACAGTAGTTTCTTAATGGTGAGTCCTATACTGTATTTCTAAGGTATTTAGACATCTTTATCAGGGAAAAAAACAAAAAAAAGCAATAATTGCTCAAAGTACTATGTTAGATCATTTCCCCCAGAGCAGAAACATTTGATAAAAGCTGAGCCAAATTAAATTTGCTTTGAAACTGGGATTAGAACACAGCGCTATAAAACTGCACAGATGAAAGAATAGAATAGTGGGGTGTGGTGGTGGATTTAGATCTGGGTTATGTGGCTCATTGCCCAGGGCAGTGAGGGCCGTGTGGGTGGTCCAAGCACAATCCTGCTATGCCTTTCTAGTGAAATGGGAATGTGCTTCCCCTGGTGTTGTGCAGACAGTATAAATTAACATATAATACTCCATATTTGGCAGGGAAGCTGAAATATAGTGTTCAATTTAAAGCCTTCAATCAAAAAAATAAATGCACTGATAAGGTATATAATTTTTCCTCTTCTGGCTTCTTTTTTGGAGTATGCGTTACTTGTTTACAGCAGGAACGGTGATATATTCGGCTTGGATGCAAAAAGGCATCCAGTATGCTATTTATGCAGTATTGCCACCGCTAAAGTATTATGTTTTTTAACTTCATATAACACAAAATGAATAATACAAACCCTACCGTTCTAAATCAACAGGGATTTTTAGTTGCAAAAGGTTTCTGAACCAGTGTGAATGTGAAATAGCACTGATTCAGTGGGGGGAAGTGAACTGTAGAAATCATCTATTGGTTTGGTTTCTTATGATCACCTCAGGGGGGCGCTATAGAACATCAGAAATCAGTTTAAAATGTCATTTATTTCGCTCAGTCTACAGCATAAGGAGAATATTTGGAAGGACACAGCGGAGCACCAGTGTGTGCTTTTTTTTTTTTTTTTTTTCTAAATGGGAGAGTCCATTTTATTTTGGTTATCTGTGCACTAGTTTTTACTAAGCAGTTAAAACTAAAGGTTGCGCAGCTCAGTGGCGTAACGACACAACAAAAGGCCCGAAAGCAACATTATCTGGATGGGCCCCATATGAAGTACAACATGTAATGGTTATGTTTTCCATTTATGCTCTGGATTACCCATAATTACAAGTTGTATTGTAAAAAAAAAAAAAAAAAAAAAATACTCAAATACATCCTTGTTTTAAGATCTTTATTGCAGTTTGAAACATATGATATGAGTGTATTTTTTTTAACCAACCGTCTAATGAACTAAGTTATTAACATAGTAATTAAAAGTACCACTGTCTGCTTTCTCTTATAAGTTTGTAAGATTGGAAATGGAAAATACTTTTGAAGTAAAGTCAAATGATATGTGAATAATCTAATTAGGTTATATTTAAATTTCTATACAAACATTAATTCTTGTTAATTTAGTTAAAAGTAAGCATATTAGGTTGGTCCTATGTCAATATATTAGTTTGGTTGATGAACTGAAATGTTCAGAAAATAACTTGGAATAGGGCAAAGATTTTAAGTTGTGTCAAGTGCAGTATTATTGTTTACATCAACATAATATAATCAGGTCATATCAAGAGATTAAATTCAGATTTTGTGAAGTCAAATATTTTACATGTGATATCTGGACATCATTTCTTTTAGTTTGACTAAGGTTATACTTTTTCCAGTGTAGCAAAAAGCATTATACTTGAAGTAAATTCTATTAAGAATACTTAAGTATACCAAACATTGTACTTTTAGTGTACTTGAAGTATTACTAAAGTAATCCTTTTTCTAACTCAATTGGGGCATTTTTAAGTTTACTAAAGTATACTTTAAGTATACTTTAGTAAACAATAAAGTAAACAATAGTATAGTCAAGTACACTTGACTATACTATTTTTAAGTATATGAAATATAGTTTAAAATAAGTAAACTCTAAGTGCACTGCCTGATTTTAAGTGTTAAATTATTGCCATTTAGTATACTTGAATAAACTAAATTTAGCTAAGAGTTGCTATTGGCTCACCATCCTGCTGAACTCTGCCATGTGTTGGGGTATAAATAAGGTCCGGTCAATCAGATCAAATCATCAGAGCCATATTACATCTGCAAAGAGACGTCCTAGTCCTCAATTGCGTAGTGGGCCTACCATGTCTTAGTGATGGGGCCCCTAAGCAACTGCATAGTCTGCTTACCGATAGTTACGCAATTGGCGCAAATAAATTCGACTTATCTATGCACTTTGGCTCCCTCCACATGCCTAAACTTAATCTGAATCTGCAGGGTTTCACTCTGACTCTGTGATCGTCTCATTTAGTTGAATTTGTGCAAAAGGTCAAACAGGCTATGATCCATCATGGCTCATGCGGCTGCTCTCTGGATGTTTAATGTCTCCATAGGAACATATGCTCCACATGCAGGCTCTGCAGCAGAGGGCCCAGGAGACCAACATGGAGTACTGGCTGAACCCACACTGCCCACCGCGCTGCGACAGAAACTACGGCCACCCGGTCTGAGCAGCACCAAGGTCTCCAAATGTCCAGATTTAGTCTGTCTGCTGCTGACTTTATTAATTATTGACTTCATCTATGAGTAGAAAAACCAATAGATCCTCCTCTCTGCGCGCTATTTCTTTATTTGCATGAAGGCCTACCAAATAACGCGTCTGCAAATGTTCATCTACATTTTATTCCCTGTATTATTTTTTAAACATCCTATAGGTTAAATCAGAGACAGTAAAAAGATGCAAATAGCACCTTATTGTTCAAACATCAGCAGCAGAGATTCTGTGTTTTACTTTAGTCTAATTTCTAATGTCCTCCATCTGTTTTGCAGAGAACCATCTGGAGCGACGGATTTCACGAAGAGAAATGGAAACAAGCGTTAAAAATATATCCTAAAACTTTTCTTCTCACAATTTCTGGAGAAACGTTGTTAGAAATATTTCCTAATGTAGAAAAGTGTAGTTTACCTCCTTTAATAGCTTTTATTTTCTGTATTTTTTATAGTACCAATTATGAAAAGAAATAAATAATACAAAAATAAACTAACATTGAATAAATAACACACGCCCAGCCCATTATTATTATTATAATTAAGCTTTAAACCTACATATTGATATTTTCAAAATAAGCGCGCATTGGAACCTGCAGGTAAAACCTAATATTTATCTGTTAAAGTTTTAACAAGTCGAACCATTTGCTGCTTGATGTAAACGCATTTGTTGTTCTTTATTTTGTCTGTAAATGATCAGTCATCCGGTGTCATGGCAACCACAAACAGGTAGGGTGACCAAACGTCCGTATTTCCCGGGACATATCCGTATTTCACGTCCTGTCCCGGGCGTCCCGGGTTTTTTTTAGAAAGTGAGGAAATGTCCTGATTTCACTGCGCACGACGCTCCGTGTGACGTAATCCCTGAGCCGCGTCAGTGCGGGCAGCCCTGCTCTTAATCAGAGGCTCTGTTCGAAAACCTGGGCTGCATCCTCCAAGGACGCGGTCTACCTAGACTGGATCCTTCGAAGTCCTTGAAAATAAGGAGGCCGGAAGAGTTTTGGCTGTAAATTTGAACAGGTCCTCCCTTCGGCGGGTTTTACCGCCGTATGCTCTGTTGCTTAGCAACCGTGAAAGTTGACACACAAAGCAGGAAAAGAATGAATACCGAGGTTTTCAAAACTGTTTGTTTATTTATTTATTTAAAAAAAAAGTTAAAGTGAACAAAGACTACACTCACAAGAATCCAGAGTGGAATAAAGGTTCCAACCAGCGGGAGCAGGAACAAATAAAATCAAATGTAATGATAGAAACCTTAGTCAGTTAAATAACGTGCTGCTGTCATTCTGCACATCTCTGATGTTGCTGCTATTTTCAAATATCCATTACTGTAAAAATGTCCATAGCTGCATATTGGTTATTTATTCTACAGTTTATATTGTTAAAACACTTTACAGAATTGTATTGTTTATATTTTAACTCTTCCCTATTATGTTATTCTTATACATTTTTCTAAGGTCCTCATTTGTGTGACCATTTTCAATAATCTTTCTGCTGCTGTAAATGTCCCCATTGTGGGACAATAAAGGGATTTTCTATTCTATTCTATAAAAGGGTTAAAAATATATAAGTAAATCTAAACAATGTATCTACAAAATGTATCTGCAAAATCTCTAATATTCAACAACAAAAAATACTTAGTTAAGCATATTGTGCAAAACAACAATAAAAAAATTAAACTCCTATTAGATGTATAGTTCCCACTCTGCAGATCTATTAGAATCTGTCCTTAAATTACAGCCAAACCCATTTACATAATAACAGATAAAAACCTTTAGATAAATCAAACATTACCGCCACATATCTGACTCTATAACCATTAAAACAACTTGTAACAAGTAACACTTCCTCTCATCACTGAGCAAATCCCGATGATGAGACATTTGTTCTTTCAATCAACCCCCCCCGCCCCCCCTCCAAGGTGTCCTGATTTTCCCAAATGAAAATATGGTCACCCTAAAACAGGCTTAGATTGGAAGGCAGATTTTCGTTTCCAGGAGTCTGGCGCGCGCCAACAGATATGGAAACGATTCCTGGATAGACGTCTAAAAGTCTTCAGAAAACTGAGACAAGGTCCGGTTTCCTTCCGATCTAAGCCTGTGTGTTCATTCTTTGTTTATTAATTTTATTAAATAAAGCCCACTTTATAGGCATACTGGGTGGTTTAAAAATATATATATATAAACGCAGACCTACAGTGCGCACGCAGGCGCGCGTTTCTAAACTGCATATAAAAAAATTATATTTTTAAAATGTGTTGAGATGCCACTGTATTAAGGTTTAGCTTGGTTTTCAGTTAAAATGAAAAAGCTTCGCATTAAAAATAAATAAATAACACAACCATCTTTTTTTATTCTAGCAGGCCTAAACTTCCTACTCAGGGATTCATAGTAACACATTTTAAAAGTAATTTTACCAATTAGTCTTTTTGAAAGAATAAAAATCGATTTTTTTTTGTCACAACCATCTATTTATTTTATAGGATATATAAAACTTTAGGTAATCTTTGTAGTTTAGAAGAAGTCCCCTGTTAGGAAAAAAAAAGAAGACCACTAAGCTCAAAGAACTGATTTATTGCAAAGCATCTAAAAACTTTCTGTTACATCAAACATTTCTAGGAAAATATAAAATGGGGTGTTGTAATGGGAAAAGTTTGAAGTATGAAACCTGGACAAAAGTTTTTTCTTTATGCTAAAAATACAAAACTCCTTAGGAAAACAAATATATATATATATTTTTTAAATATGTCTGAAGTAAAAGTGCTTGAGTTCCTTTTTAAATACAAACCTCTTCTTAAGCAGCCAAGTTAATACAGACTAAATGTAGCTTTTAAAGAGTCATCTTGTTTTAACTAAACTTGGAGAATATACTGAAAAGAAAACTCATGTTACTGAATTCAGCAGGAAAATAGTGAAATCCAGGAGTGCTGTACAGTGGGTTGCTTCCTCATGTAAAGGAAGCATCACATTCACTGACACCCTAGGTCAAACCGACTTCATTTTATTTGGTCAATACATTCAATATATGTCCAACATTTTATTTATACACATATGAATATTAGAAAGTAATTAGCCTCTATACACGATATACAAAACCGTGTTGCTTATATCTCATATACTTCAGAGTCAGAAAAAACAAAGTGGTTCAGAATCATCTTTTGTCCTTAAAGAAGCCCTTTGAGGTGCTGCTCTCCTTGATGGTGACAGTCAGGAAGTTGGCGGTGACGTCCGTCACCAGCACCTTCTCCACGTCGCTGAGGTTCGGCCTCCAGGTCGTTTCTTCCTGGTCGTCGTCATCCAACCTGGTTGGTGACTGCCTGTCCAGAAAGTAAGGCTTTTCCATCTGCGGGAACTCGGCGGCTCCACTTCTGCTCTGGTTGGTTTTGTGATGGTGTTTGACCTGAGCTGCTGCCAGATAGCTGCAGCGGTCCTTCGTCCTGTGTGGGTGTGTGCTGTGATGAGAAAGGAACCGTTTGTAGGAACCGCCGCTGGACAGTTTCTGTGTGAGGTGATGATGATAGTGGTGCTGATAGTGGTGTTTAGAGCTGCGAGGGTGGTCCTCTGAGTGTCTGTGGGACAACTTCTGCAGCCTCATCTCACCTCCATGCAATTTGGAGAGTTTGTAAGGACCTTGCCCCCCCACCTCCTCAGCTATCCTCTTGCTTGTCTCCAAGACCACCGGGCTGCGGCCGTCACCTATAAAGCGGAGCTTTGGCTTGGGCCCCCTCTTTTTGGGTGTCTGGACAAGCCTGTCTGAAACACTCTGCTGAGGCGACGGCTGGTGCTCGTGGGGAATCACGTGCACGCTTTCTCCTCGGTTGATTGTGCTCGGTGGAAAGATGGTGGGAACAACCGCTCTCAGGCCCTCTCTAGCCCTGGGGGTGAAGACCGGCTCGGGGGTTAGATAGGTGATGTGCATCCCTCTGACTGCCTCGCTCCTGAACTCATAAGACTTAGTTTTAACTTTAGCCTGGGCCTAAAAGAAAACATAAAATTAGCCATTTTTTAATAAAACAAAAAAAATAAATTGTGTTTATTTATTCTTTCATCTTGATAGCTTAATAAAACCTCTACCTATCAGAGTTTGGGCTTTTTTTGGGGTACTGTCTAATTAAAAACGGTTTATAAAAGAAAATCCGCAAATATAACCCTTTCACATGATTTCACATGGCCTGTATTATTACCTAAACATTTTTTTACCCGAATCAAAATACAAAATCCCATAATATTATCAGCTTATATTTCTGTTCACGTAAATCAAAGCCCTTATAACAACAGAGATGCTCCATAGAGAAAATTCATCAAGTACTTTCCTTAGTTATCATGACATGACATTTGATTCATTTTACTATTTCATTTAGTCTTTTATTTATTGAAAGGAATAACAGAAACATCAATAACTTTGCTCCTTTCCCTCCGAAAAGAAATAGGATATATATTTTTTTAAATTTTATATTACACCATATCTAAACAACTTGGTAAGTATGAGATTTCATAATCTGAAAATAATATAAAAAAATATATATATTAAAACAAGAAACAAATAGACCCCAAAATTGTTGCAATTTCCAAACACTATAGGAGTTAAATCACAATCCATCCAGTTGAATGATTTTGCACTTTGTTAAGAATTGCCATCACTGGAGTGCTTATAGAAATTACTACAAAAATAAAATGATATATAAACATGTCTATAATTGACATTCCAACTGCTATCTATTTAAACAAGTTAGGGATTCAATGCTAGCAAACTGGTTGTAATGACTCTATAACAATCTAAGAAACATTCAAGGATGGATCATATAAAATTAAGGACAAACACTGCTCTGGTGGCAGGTGTGTTTACTAAAAGTTGGACATCCAAAGGAGTTTGTTCTATTTTTTATTTTTTTATAATGACTAATTTCTGCACAAATTGACAAACGAAGAATTTTAAGAAGACAACAGCGTAATGAAAGAACATATAGAAAAATCAAACATTCAGCTCAGGGCCTTCCCGGGTTGGCTCTGATTGCAGCTCCCAGAGAGTAAAATGAAATGATCAAACACGAGGAAGCTGTAAAAATAAATAACAACATCGGATAAAAAATAAATTCACCTTGAGGAGAAAGGTTTTCGGTTTTGGTCCCCTCTTTTTGGGTCCATACAGCTCTCTCTCACGCTCTCTGTTAAAACAACGACAGAGAGAGACATGCCTGCTGAAGTGCCATGGGAGCAAAGTGCACGAAGCGTAAGTGTGCAGACTTTATTCTATGTTTACTGGCTCTGTCCATAAATGCTTAAACATGAATCACCTTTGCTCGAAAGCGGCAAACAAGCGAGAGTCCAAAATGTTCTCCTCTGGCTCCCAAGTGCTGTATCTGCGGAGTGAAGCACTAAATCAGACTGACAGCTCTATACTGGTTAGCCCCACAGCTAAAAGCCCTCTAGGTGATTTTAATCCCGCTAGCTTCTGCGAACCAACCAAACGCTGAGCGGTACAGACAGCTCTGCGTTTCGTTAAAAACATATCAAAGATGCAGTGTAGCACAACTTACTTGGGCGACCATCCCTTCCATTTCACCAGGTACTCAATGCTACCCTACGTGCCGTCAGAAGCAAACAGAACGGGACTCGGTTAGCTTACGGAGGCAACAGTACTGTTACGGTGATGATAACGCTGTATTCTGGGATAGCAGAATAGAACCTCCTCCCTCCTTACCTTCCTTATCCTCCGTTTGATAATAGACTCGGCCGCGAACACCCTCTCCCCAACGGCAGACAGCTCCATGTTTACTCCAGTGCTACCTACCGTTAGCCTGATGGGCGCTAGTTCAGTAGATATCCCCCTCCCCTCCCTTCGACAGAATTCCCGACAGACCATAATAGTGCGAAACAGCAAAGGACGTCAGCACAGTTTTTTTTTTACGGTGTTGCTAAGTAACCGCAGACGGTGGAATCACTGCTTGGCCGCTCATTGGTCCAGCCATTAACACGTGATTCGGACTTGTTAGTGGAGGAGGAGCGTGGATGAATTCTTTCGAAGAGTAAAATGGTGGCCTATTTTTTTTTTATTCAGCTTAACCTGCGCAACAAATGAATTCTCTCACTCAACCTATATGACGTCAACTAAATAATTTACTATATTTACTGATGTGATGGTGCTGTCAAGTCAATAAACAAACAACATGGAACAAAATTACACATCTACGAAATGTATAATGAAAGTTTTAGATAATGTTAAATCGTTATTAATTTGATCAATTTAATTGGTTTATTCAGTTTTCATATGTAATAAAAATCGGGTTAGTAGTACAATATATATTACTGTTACGTTTTTATTTATTTATTTATTGACTAGCCTATGATATATATATATTTTTTTTTTGTTTCCGGAATTTTTTTGAAATAATAATAATAATAAAAAAATGACCTCAAAGTTTGCAAAGAGGTCAAAGCTTAAGGGTTCAATTATTGTTAAATATTTATATCCGATTCTTTACAAAGGAATAGTCAAAATCTCCTAAATTTAGAAAGCAATTGTTTGGATTATTTTAAATAAAATGAACCGATAACCTATAGGCCTATCTTAAAAAAAGATAATAGTTTCTGTAAGTTTTTTTATTTATTTATTTATTTATTTTTTCTTTTTTACCTTAAATTAGGTCTGTTAGGGAAATAATGATAATAAAATTATATGGTCATTATTAAAATACGAGGCCGGGAAGTTTTTTCATGTAGCTCTATATAACGCTGCAACTGAGCAATAATAGTGTTGCAAGTTTAAACCCTTTTTTGTAAATTATGTATTTTTTGGTATCAAATATGTTGTAATAAACGTCTTATACATGTCACGGGGAGTTTAAAAAAATAAACGATAGCATAACAACAAAGCACAATTTATTTCAATAAACAATAGTCTACAGATGACGTAAATGGAAAGATACAATCAACGCAATTACACATTAACACAACATTTTTATTATAAGGAATATAATCAGGCCTGTGATAACTACAGTTGCTTGTTCTTATCTGAATAAGCTGGGGTTTTAAATTAATTGGTTATTCCTGATGCACCCAAACGCCGCACGAGACATTCTGTGACCATGAATCCAAGTCGATGGGTCATATGTATATATATAAAAAAAAAAAGTGTCACAATGTGACTTTAAGCTTGAAGAATGTCTTTGACTTTCGGAAATAAATGGAGCCAATCGTACAAATTGGGCTCAAGGTTGTGTAATAAATGATTTGATGAGATTTAACCTCGAGATTAATCCAAAACTAATGCGCAAAAGCGTGTTTGAAATAATTAAAGTGCTTTAGTTCGGATGTCGACGGGATCTGTTTTATTCCCTATTAGTTGTAGAATTAAATTAACCAGCGACACTAAAGATTATACAATATTAAACCAAGGCTTTCACCCACATTTTCTTTCTTTTTTTATCAATCAATAGTCTGATCAGAGTTATTGGGACGTTCTGAGACATTTGATAAACCTATTATAGATACATAGGCCTAAAAAATAAACACCTCAGTGAAACATGATATCTAAAAGTAAAATGGTAAAACAAATCAAACCATCCAAATATTATGGCTATAATCTCATATTAAGCGCGAACTAAATAAATCGCCTAATGTCTTTAATAAACTACAATGGATACCATTAATTCCTGTATGCACTGCTCCTCAAAAACACTGTTGAACACTCAAAACCTAAATGCAGCAATTCATGAAAGGAACTTAAATAAAGAGATTTTCCTTACTGTGCTTCTAGAAGATAATTGGGCCTTAATCTGGACGAGATGCAGATTTGAACACAGATCATTTCAGTTTGATTTCCGCTCTGATATTCAACCAAGCAGTTTGCGCATAGTCTGATGCACGGGAAGTTTGCTCATTTTAACACATTAAGCTTTATTATTCAAATCTATATAAATATTACACAGAATATCCAGTTGTTTAAAAAATGCAAGCAGTAGATAAACCAAGACGCACCACATTTTAAGGGGAGTTCTGTTCTTTTACAGTCTGAGTTTAAAAATATTAGGATCAAATACACTAAAGATTTTTTTTTTTATTTAAGGATGAATCCCGAAATAGCTGAAACTAGACCCAAAATATGTATCCTTAAATATAATACAGGCTACAAATTGCCTGGTTAGATGGCAGGGGACTTCCTCCGCTTTCACACAGCACATCACAGCAATGATATATCTAATTGATTACAAATCTGCGAGCATCTGAATGAACAAAATAGCAGACAGAAAATGGAAGATGGGCGCAGCTCAGAGTGAGGCTGCGATTGGTCTCGGCGCGCCTGCAGTGCAGCACCGCTGCTGCGTTCTGATACCATTGGCTGGCTTGTATCCGGGCAAAGACGCGCGGGTTGTCGGTGCGCAAGAGACAGGAAAAAACACAAACTCCGCTCAGAACCCCAGACAGATAAAGGATGATTCACATTGGGATTCAGCTTTTACATCTTAGGTGTAGAATGACGCGTTCCAAAGAATCGCGTAAAAACCATGCAGTAAAACTATCTGTTTATATTATAATTAATGGGTCCAGGTAGCCTTCTTCTTCTTTTTCAGTCCCAATATTATAATTGCCAAAAACAAAAACAAACAAACACTGAGTTCATGGATTTATTACAGCCAAACAAGCACATTTAGCTTTATGTGTTTTTGCAAATGCGTGTCAAGAAAGCAGAGAACTTCCCTCAAACCCTGTTATTTTAGGATTACAAACTTAAAAGGCCCAGGATCAGAGATGCAGGCTGACACATAGCATATGCCTCCAACCCAGCAGAAACGACCCAAACGTTTTCAGGGTATCCATGGTTCTATAATTGGTACCAAATTTCAAGTCTTTTTATTATTTATTTTTTTTTTTTACATTTTCCAACTAAACAGAAGGTTATTCATCCGAATAACTAATTTGGTGGGATGTCATTTCAGTGTAGTCAGAGCGGTGCCAATTGTCATTTGTTATTTATGGGTTTGTACTGGCAATCAGCATTCCAGCTAATTTAAATCAATGCTTTTAACATTTCAAACTGGGAGTTTTCATTTTTATGACTCATCATACATTAAATACATTTTAATTGTTGTTCTCTGGAAATTATGATCTATAGATTTGTAGATACTCAATGTTGCTCATGGTCTCTCCTGGGGATTTAAGCTGCATATGGTCCAGGCTGCATGGCTACCTCCAAAAGCTTTAAAAGCTGGAGCACATCATGACAAATTTGCATGCTGATTGATAACACAGCCATAAATGCAATTAGACAACGATTTTTCAAAAGCAGAAAGTGCACCATTCTTATTTTACAAAAAAAATTGTTAATCCAGATTAACATAATCTATTATCCAGTTTTTAAATCGACCCAACTGGGATTACACATAAATGTTAGGGCGCAAATGATTGCACAGATTAATTAGTTTTGTTTAATTCTTTAAACTTCCATTTGTTCGACAGAGTTAATATCAACCACATAGATTTTGCTGAAACGCATTTATTTGTGCATTTAAAAAAAATAAGTCCATACAGATGGAAAACATGTTCCGGAAGCTCATTCTAGCTGCTTTTTTTCTGATTTTCTATGAGTTCCTCTTTCATAAGCAGAACCAATCCACTCCCTGAGAGTTTCTTATTAAAGATCAGCGGGTGGCCCAGCCTTAATCATGTGTGCAAATTCTGCCTCCGTTCTTAGAAAATGACTTTATACATCTGAATCTGTGTGTGAGATGACGCCGCATCTTATTATAGGCTGTTAATTATATGCAAGACAACAAGCCGCAGGCTTGCGCAAATTCTGCAGCTATACGCGGGGAATCTGTTGCGCGTCTTTTTGGAACAGAAACTGCGCAGAGGAGAGGAGCGAGGACAGCCATTTTCTCTGTCGTTGCTCACATTAATGCGGGCTGAGAGCTGTTCCACTTGCAGCAGAGGAGGAAATGGTTGAGCTGCTGCCGCTTTCTTCGCCAAATCATCTCGTTTCCTTCCAAACAAAGGAGGATATCAGCCAGTTGTTTTTATTTTAGTGGTCAGAAAAGACGCATTTGGTTCTTTTCGGGCAAGAGAGCGCCAAAGTGCGCCCTGCACCTTGTAGGGAAATATCCTCTCATTTAATTACTGTCGAAATATCTTTTACTTTGCTTTTATGACACATGGAACATGCATTCAAACCTTAAAGAGGTGACTGAAAGAGCCTCTCAGGTCTATACGTCCAGCTTTTAATGAGTATATTTTACCGGGAGGACTCTATTCAACCATTTTACCATCTAAATTATGGTTTTTAGGTCTGTTCATTTGAATAAAACCAAATTTCTGTTAAATAAAGCACAAACTACTGACTAATCACACAAAAAAATGTTGATAGACTGACATAGTGAACATGTCACTGCTATAGAAGCTGGTTGTTCTCAGAATGTCATTTATAAGCATTTATGGTGGAAGTAAACATTGCAGTCAAGTTCAAAGCAATGGGGATAGCAGTTGAGATAATTGAAATGATTCACAAGCAGGACTCAGGGTTTTTATAAAGCCAACAAATGGTTGGACTTTTTCCCTTGTGGTCCTATATTCAGATTAAAATACATTTTTAATTTGAGTCTGAAGAGAGTGGAAAGACACAGATCCCATGATGCCCAAGATCCGCTGTGAAGTTAACACAGTGAGACATCATTCTCATCTGCTGGTGGTGGTCCTCTGATTTTATTTGGTCTAAAGTGCATGCTGTCATCTCTCTCAGGACACTTTAAGGTGTTTTCTGCTGACAAGCTTTATAATTATGCTCATTTCATTTCCCAGCAGGTCCCGGTATCTCACACTTAGAAAAGTGCCAGCACCTGACATGACCCAGATATCAGAATCAGCTTTATTTAACAATATTGAGAGGGTTTGATTTCGGATCCAGGAACCCTTTCCACACTAAAAATAAGTGTAAATACTCATCTTAAGCGAAAATCATAAGAAAACCCAAGCAGTACAGGATGCTTTTTTATATATCTACACCCTTTTTTTTACTCCTTAGTTGATCAGTATACCTGCCTGACCCGAGCCTGCTGAATCTGTGTGGTTTTGTAGAGAAGAAGATATGAGGCATCAGACTCAACAACGCAGATGAGCTCAATGCTGCATCCTGGGATTCCATAACACCTCAGCAGAGACACACTGGACTAACATTGTAGTTCATGCAAGAGAAGCCCCAACAAGTGCATAGAAGTAGATAACTATTAGCCATAATCTGTTTTAAAAAAAAATCTTTATTTTTATTTTGATGTTTTCTGAAAAATGTCAAAGAAATGTGGACATTTTCAAACTGTAAATCAGAATTCAAATCAACAAATGCTTGCAACAACCCTCTGCATTGAACAAATATGGGTTTCAAATTTGAAATGAGCTTTTATTGATACCTAAACTGATAAGGTGACACCCACTAAACACAGCACAGACTAGCTCTGCACAGTCTGCATGATAATCCTCCAAAAAGACTCCCCAGTTTCTGATATCCCCCAGTATACAAAGAGGCCACAAACAGTCAGATCACTGAAAAAAAAAGAATGAAAGTGTTTTTGGCATTTATCTAATTATATTTAGTAACTTTAACACAATTGTTTTATGTTAATAGGGTAGGACAAAACAATTGTGTTAAAGTAACTAAATATGATTAAGTAAATGCAAAAAGTGATTGCATTATTTTTTTCAGTGTATAAAATTGGCTTCAGAACCTCTACACATGTTGAGGTCACAGTAGTCCAGGCATTGAACATTACAGATAAAAGCGGTATAAAGAGAATTACACCTTACAGATTTTCTTGCAGAAAAAAACAAAACAAAAAAGAATTATTGCAATTAGTATCATGGGGAATCTTCAGTTTTTTATTCTGCTCCTTTTGTTCCCATTAACCATGAGGCTTCAAATGTTATCTGAAAAGGGTTTAAAGTTGCTGCTGTTCCCCCCCCCCCCCCCCCCCCCCCCCCCCCCAAAGTTGATTGTGCCCGAACTCCCACTAAAAGAAGACCCCGTTAGTAGGTTAAACAGATGCTGGAAACTAAACGGAAGTGACTTGTGCTCAGTTTAAGATCATAGGGGGCATAAAGGTTCTGAAACGAAACAATAGGTGATCATGACTGATGGTCACCTTTCTTCTGGTTCTATGACACACATTGACAGTAAAGGTGCTTAATTTGTCTTTATCTGCCCGTCTAAACATGCCTAATGGCATCATCAACATCCAAGCAGCACACATTCATGTTTAAAACAGTCCCAGTCTCTAACACACATACATACACACACTCTCTGACACAGTGTATTGTACCTTGATTAGATATATTTTTTCCCTTACAAAAACTCTCTTTAAAGCCTACATTTATCCAATATTATCCATAGACAGCTGAGTGTATAAATCCAATTATATCCATGAAAAACTTTCTACAAATGTAAGTGCGTGTTACGCTAGTTTAATCAATTATTTGATTACAATTTGCAGCTCAGATAAGGCTTAAACTTGAAAATACCAACAGATGGGCTTGTACTTAGAAAATATACAAGAAAAGCAGTAAAAGAGTCTTTCTTGTTGAACTCTTGAGTTTTACAAAATGAAAACATTAATGCCTGATCTGCACATTCAGGAATCAGAAAATACAAATATGTCCTGCAGGTGGTACCCAGCCGTGTTATGCTGTTATGTATTCCTTAAAGGTAACGGTGAGGCAGTTTGCAGTAATGTCTGTGATGACTATATTCCCAAGGCTAGGCTGGAAAGAAGGAAAGGCCTCTTCTTTTTTTGCTTGGTGGGGGGAACCAGACACAGAGTCGACTCGCTCCTCCATTGAGGGGCTGTGTGTCTCAGTCTGGCTCTCTGTTTTTGTGTCTGTCTGTGTTGGTGTGTCGTGTGATTGTACATGTTCCTCGGTTTGTGTCTCCGGCTCAGTCTCGCAAAAGACTGAGGATACGGGCCTCGACTTTACAATACTCAGGTCCATGGGCTCCTCTTGGTCTGCGTAGCGATAGTCCTGCAGTAAAGCGGGACTCAGTCCGTTTTGGTCGAACGCAGGGCTCTGGGAGGGAGGAGGAATAGTGTTGAGAACACTGATGCTTTTGTTACTTATTAACCTCTTACTGCATCCGTGTTCCTCAGCATCTGCATCAGAGAGGTGCCGCTTTAGTCCATGAAGCCCATTCTGGGTACCTCTAAAGTCTAGGGCCCCTCTCTCTGGGGGTACATGTAGTAGGTCGGGCTTATTTGTCAGCTGTAAAGGCTGATGTTGTGGAAACTGCCCCTCGCCCCCTACCGCTGTGGGTTTATCCTGTTCGGCCACAGTTCGATCTGTTTGAGGGGATAGTTCTTTCTCTTTGCAGCAATCTCCATTTATTCCCGGACCGGGAGGGGTCAGGTTGTCTTTGGGTTGCTTAGGGAATCCGTTCATAAGGCCAAGCTTTTTGACGAGCTTCATTTTTGCCAGGTGCCTCTCCATGCTGCTGTCTGCACCTTGCAGTGGCCTTTCAGCGCCATCAGAGTCTCCGTGTTTGGTTTTAGCGCTCTGTATTCCGTTTTCCATGTACTTGCTCATGACAATGACAATCCGCCCGTTCTTGTTCTTGTTCTTAACAATTTTTAGTTTACTGCTGCTGACACCGTTGGGATGTGGAGAGGTGTCCTCTTTAGGTTTTATCCTCTCTGGCTCTTTTTGTCCGTTAAGGTCAGCTGGAAGTTTCTTTAGCTCCATAGTAATATCCTTCACTTTAGTCAGACAGCCCGAGTCCTTGTCCCGAACCCACTTTTGCTGCAACACTGCTGGGAGGTTATATCCTTTGTTAGCCAGCTCTGGAGCTTGTATGTCTCTGGGTTTGCTGAAAACAGGCTCTTGTGACTTCAGGTCAGGTTGATACTGGTGATGCTTCTTGCTGTTGAGCTCATAGAAGAACTTCTTGCCATTGGGTTGCTGCTCTGCCTCACGCTCCCTGCTCAGAGGCTGGTACTGGTGAAGCTTCTTATTGTTCAGCTGGAACTGCTGGGACTGGGGGCGTATCATCTGGATAGGGCTGGATTTCTGACAGCTGTCATCTTCCAGGGACGCCTCCTGAAGTTTTGCCAGAAAGTTGGACCTCTTGGCAAATGATGGCACCTGCAAAACAGGACAACAATTACTCAAAAGGCACATGTTTGACGTAAATAATTAGGTGTTCTTTGAATAGAGACTTCCTTTTATCTAAAAAAATCTAATTAATGGCGCATCTATGTCAGAGTACAACAGAAAGCCCATTGCTTTCATGGTGCTGCTACAGAGACGCTAAGATTGGAATGTGTGCGAGGGTTCTTGTGAGGCCCAAATGAGTACACAGTTTATTTCAGGGGCCTTGAGCCCATGTTCACACAGCCCTCCTGCAGTTCCCCTGCAGCTCTTCGAGCCACCAGGCCGGAGATCAGAGTGACATTTCAAAGTGTCTCCTGTGGCTGTGACCTCAGCCTTGAGGAATGTCACTTGTGGCTTTGTGTATCCTCATTGACTTTATCCCATGTGTTACCAAAACACCCTCCTGAGAGGAACAAAGACCGCCTCTGAGGGGGATCCTTTGACCTTTAGGGAGCCTCGATTGATACATTAAATCAACGATTTGCACTTTTTTAATAACAGCTATAGATTTAGGAATCTGGAGGTTAATTAAACTAAAAACAATAGAATCATTGAAATCTGAGTAACTGCTAGTAACAACCAAATGGTACCTCTCATTTCTTACAAATGTATTTACATCCATTTCATATTTTTACTGCTAAAAACACAAGCTTATATCTATTTTCTATGTTTGTAATAGAGCAAGACAAAGTATCCCAATAAAAAGAGTACACGGTTTTCTTGCTTTACGTCACAAATCTGAGAAATTAGGCCTGTTTTTATAAGCTTAAATCTCCTTAGAGGCTGCAAGTCTCTATCTCTGTCAAGCCTCTATAGTTTTTAAAGTTGAGTGCTGCTTACAACTAGTATTTGCTGCATCAACAGATGCTGTTAACTGATCAGTGGATCCTCTTCCTGGTTAGCCACAGTCAGTTCTGATCAATGGACATGTATTGGTAGGATGCTGTTGTGTCCGTTTTCAAAAGATGGATTGAATAGTGCTATTGAGATGGTATGGATACAGGATATGGTTTTATAACCAAATATAGCTTTAAACTTTCATGGTGTTCTTTGGTATTTGTGATGCATTTTCTTTTAAATTAACCTTCTAGAAAAAGCCTCAAAAGCCTTCACAGAAAAGCTGGAGTTAAATCAATGGTCTAAATTGTTGGACTTCATTTACTGTAAGGTTACTAGAAAAAAGAGGGCTAAACGTACATGATACCACTATTTTCAAATCTTTATTTGTTTGAGTTGGTCTACCACATAAAATCCCAATAAAATACCTTGCAGTCTGATAGCAAACAGAAAAAGTTCTGGAAGAGGGAATGGTCTCAACATAATACTAATTCACATTTTTATGAAAATAAATTCTATTTATTTGTCTTACCTGAACAAGAAGGTGCTTAGGCTTGGGTCCTCTCTTGCGGTATCCCATCAGCTGCTCCTGACGTTCCCTGTGGGAGTGGAAAACAGCAGCTAATCAGTCACCGTTGCATGGCAACAAAACGTCACAGATGATCCCTTCAGGTTGGGTCACACTGAGTCAATGCTATAACTCAGAGTGACGCTTTCTTTAGAAAATTATCCTCAGCCTTCCATTCTCTCTTTGAATCCAAAAGGTGTGACTCTGAGGGCTTATTCTCATCATCCCTTTAGAATAAAGCATGATCTCATGTACCGCTTGGTTGTGCATATCCTACTTGAAGGCGAAGGAAACCCCTGTTTGCTCTGTCTCAATGGGCGCCTCTCCAAGGGTAGTAACTCAACACCGCAGACAGGAGTGATGTCAGATTCCTCCCCTGCCCTCCCTCCCATCACGTCTAATTACAATGACGACTCGGTGTATTTTCATTGCCTGGCATTCAGGCGATCTGGCTCCCCAGAGGGATGCGTAATTAGTTTCAATAAACCCCCCCTCCTCCCCTTTAAACAGAAGACTGGTGATAATTGCAAAAACAGAGGCAGACTTTGCTCTCTAACGTGTGACCTGTACCTTAAAGGGTACTGAGGCTGAGAGAAAAGCCAGTGACAGTTTAACATGCTGCACGGCTGAGAAATTCAATAACAAAGACCAGCAGCTGTGAGGCCACACGCACCGAACGGTGATCATGTAGCCAGAACAAGAACATTTTTATTTATTCTGCTGTGACATTATAACCGTTAACATATCACTTTATTGGGCATGTATGGGTCTTCCATGTCACTTACAAAAGGAAGCTGTGAATTTGGTCTTCACAGTGCAAAGCGATGAAATGGCCTGAGTTTGAATCCCACTGGACGTGTCTTGTTCTTAAGGAAGTTTTTTTTTCTCCCATGCTCAATACACATCTAATTTGTTTAGACCTGGGCTCATGTAGTACATGATGTCATGCTATGCTGATGATATTCAAATGTCTGATACTTTTTAACCTTAAAAGTATCAGTCCTACACAACTGAATGAAAGGCGGAACGCTGTCTTTTATTTTTGAGCTTTGAAAAACGCAAGTGTTGCAAAATGCCAACACATTGCGTTCCCAATGTGTTGGCGATTCGGATCCATTTTCCACACATTCTTAGGACAGACTTTTACTCATTTGATCTATATGTCAAATTGCTCTTGTCTTTGCAGAGGAATAGTATTAAACTAAGAATGTTGACATAAAAATGTAGCTCCTCATTCTTATTATTTATTTTTTATTAAGCTTTTTATATATTTTTCCAAGCTTTTTGAATTGATCTCATTTGAGCTGGACTTTCTGGATTTACTCCCCCTTTAATACAGTTTTTTTTTTGGCTTTGTATGGTTCTTCTCCTTTTCTAAAAAATGGGAAGCTGGCTACCCGTTCTAGAGAGAAGATGTTCTGATTAACAAGTCTAAAAACATCAACCAGCAGTACCGATTAACATTTCTTTAAGATACAGGTTAGCGATATATAATCTGATGAATCAACACAGATTCTCTTGTAATTCCCTAATCTTCCATTTAAAAACTCTATTAGACAATCTACAGTCCGTTCTTACCCTCATGTTTTAAAATACTTAGAATCTAAATGGCCAGATCAAACCTTAAATAATACAAGGACCTTGTATAACCCACAAAAAGCCTTTTGGGTTCTTCCTGGAGCCTACCTACTTAGACCTACAGCTAAAGCACTCATTTAGAGCTCTGGTCATGGTTCACTTCTGGAATCTCCTGTAGTATAAAAAGGTGTCAAAAAGTAGCTGCTTAACACGGTTGCTTTCTTTGTCCTGGTAACCTGACACACGGATAATTCTAAAATAAACACAACCCTAAATCCAGATACTCTTAGCATCTCTGACTGACAAGCAATGCAGACCAGTCACTGAGGGATCATCCAAGAAACTGGGTTTGAACCAACAAACACACATTAATTTCCTGCGAACCAATGGCGGTTAAGGTCAAGTTCTGTGACTGGAACCAGAAAGGTGGGAAACTATTCATCTATAAACCAGTTTTTTTATTGTTGTTTTATTTTTTCTTGAAGGTGTCCTTACTTGTGAAGCTGGTTTATCCAACTCTGAACTCACCTATCTTGGAAAGCATCTAGCAGCCTTGGATCCAGTATGTTTTCCTCTGGTTCCCATGTATTGTATCTGCACAGAGAGGAAAAGTGGAGAAACCAGTTGGGAAAAGCTGTCTAAAAAAAAAAGGCTGATATTGACAGGCAGTGAAGTTGTTATTAACACAGAGTGTAGTTTATGAGCCCTCATATCCCTCTTAAAGCAGGTTTGCACATGAGTTAACACGCCGAGACACTTGTCCCTCCTCAGTTGGTACACGTGTAATAAATCAGTCACAACTTTTTACGCGCTCAGATTCAGATCACAAACCCACATCTACAGGCGGGGTTCTTTACCATCGCCCCCCCAATTACAGACCTCTAATTGGCACATTGGGGATTGCACAGATCGTAAAACCACATCCATCATCGGGGCCAACGAGCCGGGCGCCCGAGACCAAGAACGCCCAAACCGCCCATCTGCGCGCACCCGTCCACAAGAAATCTCCCGTTTGCTCGCCCCTGTTATTTATTTATTCCGATTGCTGATGTTAAGCGATGCTGTTTCCGGACTCACCTTGGAGACCATCCTCTCCACTTGACCAGATACTCGACCCTCCCCTGTGTTTGAGAAATAGAGAGAGAGAAAGCAAACGGGATGAGATGACTTTACTCATCGCTGCACCGTCACCATTAGAGGAATATATTAATAAAGCATAATAAACATGCAGACAGTTGTATTAAACAGATGTGATAAATCATTCCCGCATGCATGTGCGTAAAAAGCCAACCTTCCTGCTGCGCTTCTTTTCGATGCTCTCCACCGCAAAGACGTGCTCTCCAGCGGCGGGTAGCTCCATTTTCCAGCGTAAGAGAGGCGACTCTGGTTTCTCTTAGCGCGGACACCTGATCTATTCTGTCAGGGCTTCCTTTATTTTTTCCCCCCCACCAATCTCTCTCTCTCTCCTGCGTCTTCCCTGATGTAAAGGATCCCCCTCTTACTCCACCTCCTCCTGGTTTAACTGCGCTTCTTCCCTCGCTTTTACCCCTCGGAGACTATCACTCTGCAGGCGAGTTGGGGCTGCAGCACGAAAACACTTCATGCAAATAGCCGTGGGTGTGACGTTTCATCACGGGGGTGGCGACTGGGGTGGAGTTTGTTAGCTGCGCTACCTTCAGGGGCTGTTGGAAAAATGAAGAACCACGACTTCAAGCATCTGGTGACAGGTTTTAGGCTTTCAGATTGATAGATAGATAGATAGATAGATAGATAGATAGATAGATAGATAGATAGATAGATAGATAGATAGATAGATAGATAGATAGATAGATAGACAGACAGACAGACAGACAGACAGACAGACAGACAGACAGATCTACAGCATGCCATCTTTTCAGATGGTCCATGGTCAGCTAAATCAGGAGGTGTTTCACGCATGGGAAGAGGCCAAGGGACGACCCAGGACATGCTGGGGGGAATTAATTTTGTGAGTCTCTGCCTTGACTGCTAAGAGGTCTGGCCCCATGGCCAGATGATGAGTTTAGCTTTGTCTCCCATAACAGACCGATTAACAGAGACGGGACTGGCTTGCTGCTCAGTGGGGCAGTGGGTAGCAATACGGCTTTACAGCAAGAAGGGTCTGGGTTCAATTGGGGTCTTCTGGGGTCTTCTGCATGGAGTTGGCATGGTGAGTTCTCTCCAGGTACTCTTGCTTCCTCACAGTCTAAAAACATGACTGTTAAGGTTAATTTGCACCTCACTCCTTAGGTGTGAGTGTTTGTGTGAATGGTTGTTTGTGTCTGCCCTGTGATAGACTGGTGACCTGTCCAGGGTGTACCCCGCCTCTCGCCTTCGACTGCTGGAGATAGGCACCAGAACCCCTCGGGACCCAAACTGGGATAAATCGTGACAGAAAATGTATGGATGGACTGATGGTATCTTGTACCTTAATTTATGTAACAGATATTTTTGCCAATATATAATAATTTGGAAATATATTCTGTTTTCAGAAGGTTTACATCGTTTTAAATCTAAAATTCCTGTTTAGAGATGCTTTTTTTTTATTTCAATCTGAGCTGAGTGACATCTATTAGAGATCCTCTACCTATTGTGTAAACACATGGAAAATTGCTAGAAAGCAAACATTCAAAAAGTGTGGTTAAATGTGGTTGAAAGGTTGTTCGGGTTAAACAAATAGGATAATCAAGCCTAATTTTTACATTTAGGCAAAATACGTTTTCAGCATGCTGTGGACAATCACTTGCCAACCGGATATATAAAAAGATCCTCTTAAAAGAATCATAATTTATTTTATGACAAATATCATCTTCTCAGCCTTGAGGCTACATTTTCTTCTTTTGTCTGCTGCAAAAAATGGTTTGATTCAGAGAGCTGGCAATACTTTGCTGTTTGCCAAATGTCAAAAGAGAGGAAGAAGAAAATTTTGTCAGATGACTTCCGAGCAGTTTTTGTTTACTTGTAATTGCTGAATGATTTGATTATATATAGGAGTATGAACTGTTTCCTTAAAACAAATGTCCTTGCTGTCCGTTTCCACAGTTGTGTATTTGGTGTCATTTTTTGTAACACTTGCACTGTAACAGGGATTAGAAAAGCTGTTTTGTCATAGGTAGCTATTGATTACTCTTGTATTCTCATTGTGCAAATAATATACATTTCATATCTGTTTATCGTCTACTGGGAAAGTAATATGCTGACTTATTGCTCATGCTACTTAAAACAGCTTTCTTTTTTACTTCCAAACAAGTTTTAAGTATAATTAAACAGGGTAATAATAAGGTATACAACAAGTATAGACCATCTTGCTACAACCATTTTGTTACTATCATTATCATACCTTACATTAATATCTTTTTTGTGTCTTAATTTAGTTTAAATCTAGATTAACTGCATCTGAAGCTAACGGATTGTTGAATTCAATTAAATTCTATTTATGCAGCACCAATTCACAACACATATAATCTAAAGGAAATTAACATGAATAATTCAGTCAAGTCATACAGACAAAAGAGTCATTTACTTTGCAGGATTCGCTCCTTCAGGAAGAGCATGTTGCGACAGTAGACTTGCATTATATTGTTGACTCTGTCCCTATAGGTGGACTTCTACCATCTTAAAGAAAATTTTCAAAAAGGAGATCATTGCAGTGCTGTTGTACTGAACTTTATATTGCTGGTATTATTCTATTGGTTGGATGGTAATATGGGGGGTCTTTACCTTAGTAATCAAAGGTAAATAGAGGAAGAGATCTTTCAGGTAATACATAGTAAGAATGTAACTTACTAAGAGTTACTGTACCTATCAGAGAGGCTTAATGTCTATTTTCTATATCCAAATACTTTGGTCAGATTCCTTGAGGGGTTCTAGTGCCTATTTCCACACTCAGAAACACATTCAGAACTTAGGAGAAACTTAGAAAGATAGATTGATTGACTTTATTGATCTCACAGTGGAGACATTTACTCATTACATCAGCTCAAATAGTCAAAAAGAAGAAGGAGGTGCAGAAAAGGTGCATGGGGGTATATACAGTATATAATACCCCTTGTTTTAAGCAGGATTATTATACAGGGTTATTGCACACAGGGTATTTAGATGGGTATTTATATAGATGGTTAATTATTAACCATCTATATAAATTACTAGTATAATCAATATAAATCTACATAAATTATTAGTATAATTAAGTTAAAGGGGTCATAGAATGCAAAACCGAGTTTACCTTGTCATAGATGAATAATGATAGTTCAGTGAGTGAATTAATTAATTTATTTATTTGATTTAACCTTTATTTAACCAGGAAAAATCCAATTGACATTAAAAGCCAAATTTTCAAGGGAGCCAAGAGGCAGCAAAGTTACATAATAAACAGAGATACATTCAATTAAATGACAGGTACATAAAAAAAACATATCAAGTAAACCAATTACTGATTATTGAGGCTGCTTGAAATTCTTTCACTTTCAATTTAAAAGCATTTAAAGATAAAAACTCAGCCAACTTCCAGTTTCTTTGTAAAAAAAATCCACACACAGGGAGCTGTTTAGCTAAAGGCTTTCTTTCCTAGTTCTGTGCAGGCAAAAGGAACAGTGAGCAACAGCTGATTGTTGGATCTCAGGGCATAAGAAGCCATGCTTTTCTGTGTAAGTAAGGTACAAATGTAAGAGGGCAGTAATCCAAGAAGGGCCTTGGAAATAAAAGTGTACCAATGACACTGCGTTCTCGTAGAGAGGGAAGGCCATCCCTCCTGAGAGTACAGGTCAGTGATGTGTCATGGCTCTACAGTTTGTGTTAACCTTAATGAAGCATGGTAAACAGAGTCCAACATTTGAAGACATGAAGAAGTAGCATTCTTATACAAAAGGTCACCATAATCTAAGACCGGTAAAAACGTGGCAGAGACAAGGTGCTTTTTTACTACAAAAGAAAAACATGTCTTATTAAGAAAGAAGAAACCCACTTTAACTTTTAATTTCTTCAAAAGTTTATCAATAAAACATTTGAAGGTGAGGGAGTCATCAATTCCAATTCCAAGGTATTTATATTCATGTACCGCCACAATGACATTCCCCTCCAGAGCGGGTACTACTGGAAGGGTTTGAGGCACCTTTCTATTATTTGAAAACAACATTAACTTTGTTTTGTCAGCATTAAGAAATAATTTAAGATGAATAAACGAATACTGTACAGCAACAAAGGCTTTCTGCAGGGAATAAATAGCCTGTTCAAGAGACGACCCAAAGCAATAAATAATGTTATCATCAGCATAAAAACACATATTAACATCAGAGAAATTGTTGATGCACAAGATAAATAACAGAACAAAGAACAGTAACAAATCCAAAACAAAGCCCCTCACATTTTATACACTGGGACCTGTTTTCTAGATAATTTGAAAATCAAGCAGCCGCATGCTCTGACAGTCCGATGAGAAGTTGCCTGCATTTTAAAACAGCATGGTCTACGGTGTCTAAAGCTTTTGAAAGATCGATAAAGAGTGAAGCACAGTACTGTTTTTATCAAGTGCTACAATTATATAATTTATCACCTTCATAGTAGCATTAATAGTGCTGTGCTTTTTTTCTGACACCTGAATGATATTTAGAAAGGATTTCATTAGAATGGAGGAACTCTTTCAATTGATCACAAACAAGAGACTCCAGAATTTTAGATAAAACACATACATTTGAAATTGGCCTATAAATGGTAAGAACTGATGGATCACCTCCTTTAAAAAAAGGAAGGACAAATGCAGATTTTCAAATCGATGGGATGTCCTTGTTTTCAATTGAAAGATTAAAAAGAATGGACAATGGCTGTGGTATGAAATCAGCTGCCAGTTTTAGGAAGTAAGACTAAATTAAGTCAGGTCGAGGGGGCTTTCTGTGGTCTAATGTTCTTAAAGGTAAAATTAAAAGGCTCTACAACAAAACATGGGAGATTCTGCACAAATATTCCTGCTAGTTGTTTTTTTTTAATAGAGAACCAGACGACAAACAAATGCTGGTTAAAACAATTCAACATTTTAGTTCTATCACAAACTGGGACTAAGTCTTTAAGTACAAATGTTGGAAGAGCCTGTGAATTTTAATTAACAGTAAGAGATTTGATCACTTTCCAGAATTTCAGTGGCTCATTGAAGTTTTCAGTGGTCATGGACAAAAATTAATTTTGCTTTGGCCTTTTTAATAAGCAAAGTGCATTTATTTCAAGCTGTCTAAAATATGACCAATCACTTTGTCTTGCCTTGTCCCATGCTTTATTACGCTCATGAAAGCCATTTGCCAGATCTGGAGAAAAACACTGATTTTCTCGCCCCTTTATCTGTAATTTCTTCAAAGGTGCATGTTTATTTATTACTTGCATGAAAATGTCTCTCAAAAAGGTCCAAGCTAGCTCTACATCTGGAATTTGATTTATATATTCCCAGTTCACCATAGACAAATCATGATGAAAGGCTTGTTCATTAAAGATTCCTTCTGCGAACTATACGGGGTTTGCATTTTGGAATCCTAGTGCTTCTACATGCAGCAACCACACAATAATCACTTAGGGCATTACAGAAGACACCCAAGGAAGATAATT